GACAATCATACCTTAATGCTTGACATGCTTCACTCAAACATGTCAGTTGTGTGTACCTACCATTGTAGAGGTGTCTTTCATGAAAAATATTTTTTGGTGGGGCTGTTATTCTTTGTTGATCTTTGTAACCAAAAAAAGCTGGTAAAGGCACCAAACTTCAATTTTTATGTACACAAGGCACACTCTAAGGTGGAAGAGTAGAAGACCATAGACTGATGTTTACCAGGCACTTGCACTCACCACAATGATATATTCAAGCAATACTCTACAAATATAAAACTGATAAGATGATGTCTTCAACCCTTTACACCCTAATATCGGCATGCTTCTTCTTCATACTGTTCTCCATACATTTCCTGATGTGCTAGGAAGGAGAATTTGTTTAACAATCAAGAGGTTCTTCAGTTGATTATCGTTTCCTTTATTCTCATGACCTTAAATTAAAATGGGCCCTGCTATTTTAATTCATGTTTTTACTTTGACCTGCATGAAAGTTAAATTAATTGGCATCTGCATAATACACAAAGAAAGAATATGAATGACTTAGCTTAATAGGTTATAGAATTGAAATAGGAAAGTTGTGCAGACCATATCTTGCCTTTTATCCTTTTCTGGATATTTACTCAAATAACATAGTCACTACCAGTCTCTCTCATTCTCACTTTCCACTGAGCTTGTGGAAAGATGATAACCTCAGTATTTTTTTAAATGAAGAAAGGAAAGCCTGCCCTCTTACCACAGATAGTTCTTTTGTGCATCGTTGGTACATACCTAGTCTTATTTGTACATGAAGTTGATTTTTCTAGGTAGGTTAACCTATCAAATTAGTTGTGTAAATTTCTTTGTTTGACTCAATTTTACCTGACAAACCTAAACTTTATAAATAGAGAAAATACCATCAAAAACTTTTCAATCCAGTTAATGTAGCCAAGAACGAAATCAACTCAAATTTAAAACTAAAGAGAAAACTTTATTGATGTTTGGAATTGATTGCTGTGATGTAAAAATGAAATCCAGGTATTATCTCAAGTTTTCCACAAATGTCTTCATGATCGAATCCTAAGTCTCTCTTCGTCATCGAGTTTTAATCACGACATTTTAGCTCAAGCTTGTCTTCTTTTAAAGCAAACTTTTGCAGTGCAAGAAACATGTTAGACAAATTTCGTACCTCATTAGCTAGAGTTGCTAAGATCCATGTGGGCAGTTAGCTTAAAGAAACCTACATTGTAAGTAGTTACATCAGAGGTTACTGAATCAAAGAACAGAAAGAATCTCTAAAAGACGCCGTGTATTTCCAGCCAGAGGACAATCATGGGCAAAGTTTCCGCATAGCCCCATACTTCACTATGCATACAGTCCTTTGATAGAAGAAAACGATAGCGCAAAAAAATAGATTACCTTTGGGACTATTCGCTTTGTTTTCAAGGAGTTGAATTTTTTTTAAGTCTTTATTCAAACCTTCGAAAATTTGCTCATCACATCGGGAACAACAACGAAAGTCTACAGCTGCTTGAAGATACCACTAACTAGCATGCGTTTTACCGCAAGTTGTGAGAACGTCGTCCCCAGGTTCCAGACCTCGCCAATTTTTCCCTTCCCTCCCCACCCCCGGACTGGTCTCATAATCCCCATGAAGAAACTCTTCTACAGCCAGTGCTGAAGAGTTTTATTACAGTTTTAATTATAATGAGGGGCTAGAAAATAAACTAACAGGAGCTCCGCTTTTAGGTTTGGCTAAGTCTATATATTATTCTATTAAAGATGACGCAAGATTTTAAGTTATGAATTGTATGATTTGTGTTATTTCTAAAAAGCTGAAAACCGCGGGAGATTTCCCTCTGAATACGTTGGGAAAAGGCGAGAAGTTCAAGATACTTAATATTAATATTGTGTGACGTTTTTCAAAGATGATGAGTATTGGAGACTTGATTAAAGTTGGCTTAAGTAAGAGAGAGGATATCCACACAGCATTACCCCAGTTTGGGTGAAATGTGAACGAAGCTGTTGCCATGCATGGATTATATTCTGTTCATAACATTTAACCTACACGAATCCGCCGTCCTTTTGTTTATACTCGTAGGGAAAAGAACTAGGTTGAAAGTTATAAAACATAGAAAAGAGATTGCGCGATGATCAACAGCGCGGAACATTAGTTACTAAAAGTTCGTCTCACTTGGAAGATTTTATTAGGAAAATGAAGGAAAAGCACTGTTATCCTTTGCGACCATCTGAAATTAGACTGAAAGATTGTGCAAACACGCAGGGAGCCTATCTTTTTGCGCTTGTCTCTCTACAACAAATTTGGCAAACAATTCGCCCAAGCCCAGCAAACAAGTTTGCTGGGCTTGTATCAAATTCTATGGCTCAAGCATTTCTCTGAAAATGCTTTTTCTTTTCCCACTGACTCTGATCTTTCTTGATTCATCTTTGAACCCTGTCATTTACTGTTGGAAATTAATAGGTATTCGACAAGCGATCATAGACGTACTACGGAACATGTCTCGGACGGACATCCATCCCGCGAAATTTGAAATCGCTCCTCAAGTGTTTTCCCTGCCAGCAACTAAACCAGTGTTTGTGACTTGTAAGAGCAGCATGTAGTATGTTCTCAGCACTGTAATTGAAGGAGCCAAAGCTAAGATTTTTTACACATAAAATGCAGCGGCAAACAACTTACAAATTAATCGGGGAAGAAAGAAACTTATTGAACAGTAGAGTTAGGTTCAATTTTTCGATGGACAATGAAATTGTTATTAAGTGTTGAAAGTTGTAGCATTGTTTTCTGCATAGACGTTTTTGCGTTTTTATCACTTTTCGAAAGCGGAATACAACCCATGAAATAAAGCTGTTGATTGCTTTGAACACTGAAGGAATTTAACTCCGTGTTGGGAGTTTTTCTAAGTCGCTTGTAGCGTTTCTCTAACTCAAACCAACCATCTTCAAGTCTCAAAACAATAATCGCCATTTTTGAAGAAACTGACCCAAGAACTCCTTTCGTCCACGCTTTCGGGGGGGGGGGGGGAGGAGGGGAAGTCTCTCACGATTTTCAAAAAAGATTAGCGTCGATTATTTTCAGTCAGTTTACCAATATGTTGGTTACTTGAATCATTTGTACTAGTAAAATAAAAAGCTTAAGAAATTTTTCTTGAGGAAGGTCGCAGGGTGACCGGTCGGTTATCGAGGCACATAGAGGTCTATTGTTGTAAATTTTCTGTGACTAAAGTTTTCCGCAAAAACGTGCAACTTTTAGAATGATGAATATAGGTGTTGAAGAAGTTTTGCCATTTTTTTTGTTTGCATCGGCCGACAGGCGCCGATCTCAGAAAACTTGATTAAGTGCACTTTGTTCTTAACTTGGTAACTAGGAGTGCTGTGTTGCTGCTTTGGCACTGTCTCTGTCTCCGTCTACAGCTCTTGTCCATCCTTAGTTAATATTACAAATTTGGTAAAAAATCCTATTACGGTACTCTCTTGGCGTATATTCCCCCTCAAGTATTGAGGCAATGTTCTTGTCCATTCAAAAGTGACTCAGTTCAACGTCTGGTTAGGGGGTATTGTTTTTGTGATAACATTCATAAACTTATGAAAATGCGAGTTTCATGAATTAACAGTTCTTCTTTTCTACGGATACTTTTTAGTTATAACTCCGCAGACGGCGGAAGGTGATTCAGGCCTCTGCTGAGAAGGGAAAATTAAAGAATTTAATTCTCGGAAGGAGAGATTGCCACGTCTCACTTACAAGTGAGAAACGCGGTTAAAATTTCGTGTTAGTAAAATAGTTAAATATGTTAATTTCAGAAGAGTGTCTAAAGTGGCGCCGTGGCGTCGCAACAATTTGTTCAAAATTTATTTTCAAAGATGATATCACATAAAAGTTTCGGGCTCTTACGTTTTCGACATCTATAGCCAACCTGTTTATTTCTAGATGCTCTTAACTACAAACGTAATGTCATCTTTGTCAAACACAGTTTGTCATATCTTACTCAAAAACTCGTTGCCAATATTGCGATATTGTTTCCGTCAAATTTCGTTAACAATAACAATAGCCTGGCTTACAATATCAATAATTCAACAACTTATTTGAAAATAGACAGAAACAGCAGCCTTTGCACGAAATGGACAAAAGTGGCGGCTTTAATTTAACTTTTCAGCTATAAAACTAAAAAATTTCCCATTTCGGCGCAGGCTGAAATGGGAAATTGAGAGTTTATGGTATGAGTGGCAGTCTCGGTTCGCTTGGCCGCGAGTAACAGTTTCGTGATAATTAACAGTTTTTGTTAATTTCAAAAGAGTGAAAATGATTGTGCATAAGTAAGTTTAAAAAAAGCGTCCAATAAAAATTGTTTGAAAGTCGTTTTTACTGATGATATGACATTCAGCTTTGGGGCTCTAAGTGTGCGGCACCTTTATTCTCTATTTTGCACGTTGAATATTTATTTGTCATGGTGTTAGTTTAAGCTTTTCTCTTAAAAATCGCGTATGCCTCTCCATGGCATTTTAGATGAGAGTGGTCTGTATTTTTTTTTTGTGGCCTCGTTTAAGTCTCAATTCATACTTTGTTGACAAAGTCCACGTTTAACTGCAAAACGGCTTGTTGTGCACAAAGTCTTATTGTATTCAGTGGTCATTCGCAACAACGAGGTCTATCTTTATTGAGCCATATTGACCATTAGTTGGACAAGCTGAACTGTAGCATCGGCAGATATCCTACTTATTTCGCTTGAGATCATCACGATTGCAAATGGAAAAGAGGAAATTAAAGTGAATTCAGCCGTATCCGTTCGTGTCGAAAGAGGAAAACATTATCCCGCAAAGGGCAATACAACATTCTGTTTGTCTAAAGTTCCCATTTTTTATTTCATGTGGGAGTTGACATTATGAACGGTTTGTATTGCAACGAGTCTTCCCAACATTATCCCTCTATCGCCGATTTCAAAGATCTGCGGCCAACCATCATCACAAACTGTATCTTCAACAGTTTTCTAACTTACACTGCCATCATGTTCAACATTGTGACAATTTACGCGATACACAAAGCTGCGACAATTGCAAAACCTTTAAAAACGCTTCTTCTACACCTCGCCTTTTCCGATGTGGCCGTTGGTTTATTTGGTCAACCACTTTACATTTCACTTCTTATCAAGTGGTTACGAATGGAGAATCCAAGCTGTAACGCTTACTTAATATTAAGTATTTCTGGCGCTTTATTGTCCCTTGCTTCGTCCTTAGGTGTTCTGGTTGTAAGTATGGAAAGGTTCTTAGCTGTTCATCTTCACCTCAGATACCAAGAGCTTGTGACTCACAAGCGTGTTGTTTATATGGTGATCTCTATGTGGGTGTACAGTACATTTGTTTCTTTAACAACATTGTGGGGGCTGCGTAGCACTCGAGATGCCATTGGTTTAGCTAGTGCAGCTATTGGCTTTATTCTCATATTGGTATTCTATATCAAGATTTATTTAACTGTCCGAAGGCACAAGAATCAGATGCAGTCCATGCAAATACAAGGAGAAGCTCAGTCAGATGAGATAAAAAAATTTGCTGCCCTCATTAAATCTACAATTAGTATTTTCTACGTAACTATCGTGCTTGCAATTTGTTATTTGCCTTTCCAAATTTGCTCGGCTGGTTTTAGAATCTATGGCTCGAGCACTGCTTTGAAAAAATTCAATCTTCTCTCTCTGACCCTCATCTTTCTTAATTCATCGCTGAACCCTGTCATCTACTGTTGGAAGATGAGACATGTTCGACGCGCTATCATAGACATACTTCGCAAGATGTCTCGGAGCAGAAACCAGTCACCCCGCCTAATGTACAATCAGTCTTCAAGGGTCGTTCCTGATAATCACTGAACACCTTTCTTTGTCTGCGTGACAGATTTTATGACATTCAAGTTTCAGGCTTTTAAATGTACGGCATTATTAATGTCTGTTTTGTAAATACAAAACTAGTTAACATTTCTTACCTTCTAAAATGTTGACTTAAGTCATACGTTTCAAAATGGTGTATACTTTTGTATGAAGTTAGCAACAATCGAGCATATTTTAAGACGAAGGTAGAGTCAGTGAACGGATCCACTCGTGTCAAATTTCCAAAAAATACATATACCGTAAACATTAGCATAACAATATGTAGCTATCTGAAGTTCCCAGTTTTAATTCAATTGGTAAGGAGCTCAAATCTTTGCAGTTTTATCCCTCCAGTGTCGACACCAGAGACCTTCTTTCAACAATGATAGCCGACTTTATTTTTAACAGTTTTCTAACTTATACCGCCATCATATTGAACGTTGTGACAATCTACGCTGTGCACAAAGCTTCGACAACTGCAAAAGCAGTTGAATCTTTCCTTTTCTGATGTGGCTTGCGGTTTATTTGGTCAACCATTTTACACTTCACTTCTTGTTAAGTGGTTGCAGATGGAGAATCTAAGGTAAAACGCTCACCTGATACTGAGTATTTCTGGAGTTATATTTATAGCTGCATCGCCGCGTGGGGGATGTGAAGCACTCATGATGCCATGGGCTTAGTTAGTGCAGCTGTTGGCTTCATTCCCACATTAATTCATATTCCACATCAGAATATAACTAATTGTATATCGCATGCATATAATTTGTTATGCGCCTTTTCAAATTTGCTCGGCTGATCATCAGATTCTATGGCTTAAGTATCGCTCTGAAAAAACTTTTTCGCCTTTGAGAGATTTTGATCTTTCTTAGTTCATCTTTAAACCGGGTCATTTATTTTTGGAGGATGAGACACATTCGACGAGGCATCATAGACGTACTATGGAACTTGTTTCGCAAGAGACATCCATCCCGCTGTATTTACAATCGGTCGTCTAATGTTGTCCTTGCTAATAACTGAACCCTTGCGTGAGACTTACATGAACTGTGTGCAATTTTTTTAAGTGGGTAAAAGGTGACAAACCCAAGATTATCTACCCGTAAGGTACAGAAGCCAAACAACGATGGTATACAACTTATTAACTGGGAAAGATGGATTTCAATGGAACTGTAATGCTAGATTTATTTTCGGTGGACAGTGAAATTGTTGTTGTTGATAAAAATAAAAGTAGAAGCAGGCATATCATTTTCTATATCAACTTTTAGATAAATTTTCGAAAGCAGAGTAGAACCAATCAAACAGGGTACTTGACTACCCTAAACGAAGAAATAAACTCGATATAGAGCTCCTTAATCTCCTGCTCGTCTCACTTTGCTCCGCCGAATTGTTTGTCAAATTTGTTATAGAGAGACAAGCGCAAGAATATATGCTCCCTCTGTGTGTTTGCACACTCTTTTTAAATTTCAGATGGTCGCGGAGGATAATAGTGCTTTTACTTCATTTTTCTAATAGTATCTTCTAAATGAGACGAAGTTTTAGTAACTAATGTTCTGCACTGTTGATCAGTTATTGCAGTAGCTAGCTTCATTCTGACATTCGTGTTGTACATCAGGATATATTCAAATGTTCGACGGCACAATAATCAGATGCGCGCGGTCCATACAAATACGAGGTGAAGCTCAGTCTGATGAGATGAAAAACTTTGCTGCCCGCATTAAATCTGCAGTTGGTATATTCTACATAAATCTCATGCATATAATTTGTTATCTGCCTTTTCAAATTTTCTGGGCTTGTATCAAATTCTATGGCTCAAGCATTGCTCCTGAAAAGACTTTTTCTTTTCTCACTGACTCTGATCTTTCTTAATTCATCTTTGAACCCTGTCATTTATTGTTGTAAATTAATAGATATTCAACAAGCGATCGTAGACATACTGCGGAACATGTCTGGGAGGAGACATCCATCTTGCGAAATTTGAAATCGCTCCTCAAGTGTTGTCCCTGCTAGCAACTGAACCCCACTGTGCGTGACTTGCAAGAGCAGCATGTAGTATGTTCTCAGCACTGTAATCAGAGGAGGCAAAACCAAGATTTTTTACACATAAAATGCAGCAATCAAACAACTTACAAATTAATCGGGAAAGAAAGAAATGTATATGAATAGTAGAGTTAAGTTAATTTTTCGATTTACAATGAAATTGTTTCTACTTGTTAAAAGTTTTAGTAGACATATTGTATTCTGCACAGACATTTTTATCACTTTTCGAAAGTGGACTCTTGTATGATACAACCCATGGAATAGAGCTGTTGATTGCTTTGAACACTGAAGGAACTTAACTCCGTGTTGGGAGTTTTTTTTTAAATCCCTTGTTGCATTTCTAAGACTCAAGCCAAATTATCACAATGTTCAACATGATGGCAGTATGAGTTAAGTGTCAGTAGAGCTCGATTATTATTAACGTCAGGGAGAGGAAAAGACGACTTTGAAGAAAGAGTATGGCCAAAGGTAGAGATGTTAAAAATCCTAAAAGTTAAGTGTCATGCATATCATTGATCTGTCAAAATGAATTTCAAAGAGTTTTCATAACTTTCTATCAAATATAATTATACGTATTCTTATCAGATGCTCTTTTGAAATTGATTCAAAACGTTTCATTAAAACATCAACAACAAAAAAACAACATTACTGTTACTCGCATAAGCGAACCGAGACAATGACTCATTCCTTAAATTAACGGTTAAGAATATATGAAAGTCATATATTTGAACTGCGGATAAAGACATGAATGAAAGTGATCCTCGCAGTGATATGCACTACTTAGGCAGTAGTGAAAATAAGGCCTGAAAAAAAATTCAGGCCTGTACGGGATTTGAACCCATGACCTCTGCGATACCGGTGCAGCGCTCTACCAACTGAGCTAACAAGCCAACTGGGAGCTGGTCATGATGGTGGTTCTAAATAAACCCGTGAAGTGATGATTAGGCAGTAGTGAAAATAAGGCCTAAAAAAAATTCAGGCATATCATCACTTCACGGGTTTATTTAGAACCACCATCATGACCAGCTCCCAGTTGGCTTGTTAGCTCAGTTGGTAGAGCGCCCGTACAGGCCTGAATTTTTTTCAGGCCTTATTTTCACTACTGCCTAAGTAGTGCATATCACTGCGAGGATCACTTTCATTCATGTCTTTATCCGCAGTTCAAATATATGACTTTCATAAATTCTTAACCGTACATTCATCACTTCACGGGTTTATTGAAAAAGATCAAATTTGACAAACAATTCGGCGGAGCAAAGTGAGATGAGCAGGAGATTAAGGAACCTTACGCCGAGTTTAGTTCCTCGTTCAAATCAGTCAAGCGCCCTGTTTGATTGGTTGTATACCGCTTTCGAAAATTTATCTAAAATTTGATATAGAAAATGATATGCTTGCTTCTACTTTATTTTTATCAACAACAACAGTTTCATTGTCCGTCGAAAATAAATCTAGCATTACTGTTCCCTTGAAATCCATCTTTCCCAATTAATAATTTGTATACTATCGTTGTTTGGCTTCTGTATCTTACGGGTAGATATTCTTGGGTTTGTCACCTTTTACCCGCTGAAAACAAATTGCACACAGTTCATATGTCTCACGCAAGGGTTCAGTTATTAGCAAGGACAAAATTGGATGACCGATTGTAAATATAGCGGGATGAATGTCTCTTGCGAGGCAAGTTCCATACTACGTCTATGATGCCTCGTCGAATTTGTCTCATCCTCCAACAGATGACCGGGTTCAAAGATGAATTAAGAAAGATTAGTGTCTCTAAAAGGCGTAAAAGTTTTTTCAGAGTGATACTTGAGTCTGATGATCAGCCGAGCAAATTTGAAAAACGGCATGCATGCGATATACAATTAGTTATATCCTGATGTGGAACATGAATTAATGTGTGAATCAAGCCAACAGCTGCACTAATAAATCCAATGGCATCATGAATGCTTCACAATCCCCACGCGGCGATGCAGTTATAAATATAACTCCAGAAATACTCAGCATCAGGTAAGCGTTAATTACGGCTTGGATTCTCCATCTGCAGTCAGTTAAAAAGAAGAGAAGTGTAAAGTGGTTGACCAAATAAACGGCAAGCCACATCAGAAAAGGAAAGGTTCAGGGGAAGCGTTTAAAGCTCTTGCAGTCAGGTTGTCAAAGCTTTGTGTATGATGTAGATTGTCACGACGTTCAATGTGATGTAGATATATATAAGTTAGAAAACTGTTAAAAATAAAGTCGGCTATCATGGTTGGAAGAAGATCTCTAGTGTCGACATTGGAGGGATAATACTGCAAAGACTCGAGCTCGTTACTTCTTGAATCAAAAGTTAGAACTTCCGATAAATATATATATTGTTATGTTACTGTTTACGGTAAATTTTTTTTTGGAAATTTGACACGAGTGAATCACTGACCCTATCTTCTTCATAAAATATTACCTTTTAGCTATCCTTTCATAAATGTGATGATCCTAAGCTCAATAGAGCTCGATTGTTGTTAACTACATACAAAAGTATACACCATTTTGAAAAGTATGGCTAAAGTCAACATCTTAAAAGGTCGAGATGTTGTCCATGATGGCGTGTCGAACGTGTCTCTTCTTCCAACAGTAGATGACACGGTTCAGTGATGAATGAAGAAAGTTGATTTAAATTTTTTCAAAGCAGTGCTCGAGCCATAGATTCTAAAACTAACCGAGCAAATGTGAAAAGGCAGATGACAAATAGCAAACACGAGATTTAGAAAATACTAATCGTAGATTTAATGAGGGCAGCAAATTTTTTCATCTCATCTGACTGAGCTTCTTCTCGTATTCGCACGGATTGTATCTGATTCTTGTGCCTTCAGACAGTTAAATAAATTTTGATATAGAATGTAAATATGAGAATAAAGCCAATAGCTACAGTAACTGAACTAAAAGCATTTGGAGTCCCACGCAGCCCCCACAATGTCATCGAAGAAACAAATGTAATGTAAACCCATATTGAGATCACCATATAAACAACACGCTTGTGAGTCATAAGCTCTTGGTATCTGAGGTAAAGATGAACAGCTAAGAACCTGTCCATATTTACAACCACGACACCCAAACACGAAGCAAGTGCTAATAAATGGCCAGAATTACTTAGGATTCGGTAAACGTTACGGCTTGGATTCTCCATTTGTAACCACTTGACAAGAAGTGAAATGTAAACTGGGTGACATAAGAAACCGACAGCCACATCAGAAAAGGCGAGGTGCAGAAGAAGCGTTTTTAAAGGTTTTGCAATTGTTGCAGCTTTGTGTATCGCGTAAATTGTCTCAATGTTCAACATGATGGCAGTATGAGTTAGAAAACTGTCGAAGATACAGTTGGCGATAATGGTTGACCGAAGATCTTTGAAATCGGCGTTGGAGGGATAATACTGGAAAGACTCGTTACAATAAAATTCGCTAATGATGTCAATTCCGCTTCTCTTGAAAGAAAAATGGGAATCTCAGACAAACAGAATGTTGTGCTAATTTTTACAGGATAGTTTTTAACTCGTGAATTGCGCGCATACGCAAGAGCGAGTTATAGATATGGTGTGGGGAATGGCATTCGCTCGCTCGCTCGCTCGCTCGCTCGATTGGTCGATTCCTGTAAACTTTTTTTAGATTTTAGGCTTTTTGAGTGCATTTGATAGTTTTTGGCGAGCAATAAACAGACGAAATGGCGACATTTGTTGCTAAGAATAGTGGTGGGGTGAAAAAGAAGCCAATGATAATCTTAAAAGAGTTTTTTTTTTTCGTTTTAGTTTCAACAAGCGGCGCCAGCGACTGGCGGGCATGCAAGGATTCACACTGAAATAACAGAACAACCTTTGTTTTTCATAAAATTGTAATTTACAATCCTTGAACTTGAAAACAATCCGAAGATTCATTGAAAATATCACTTACTGCGAAGCGCTCGGAGTTTACAAATGTTCAAAAGCTTTTCTGTTATGGCGTGAGATTGAGGACAAAATTGATCATTAATTTCGTCGCGTGTGTTTTTCCTGTGTGAAGCAACAAAAGATGCCGGCGACTGACGAAACAACAAGTTAACATGAAAATCAAATAACACCTAAACAAACAATTTTAGCTACCGATTTTCAGTGAATTTTTAATTTGAAGATTCAACATACATACAACGTACTAAAATGCGAAAGTTACACACCACAAAATTGATAAATAGGCCTGAAATGAAATTCTATCTTGTTATTGATTATACGTTGCCTAGCACGTGACTTTAATCTACCCAGGCGGAGATCCAAAATGACGGTGGCAGGCTTGGCTTAGTTATATCACTCAAAACTCGTTCCCGTTTGTCTCATTTGATAAAGAGGGAATCGTTAATGTTTTCATTAAGACAGTATTGCCTTGATTTTCTAATAGTTACAACGAAAGACAGTAAATTTCACTTTTCACCCACATTTACTTCCGACCTTTTCTTTTGAACCAGAAACAAAAATGATAGACGTTTAAAACACATGACATCATCCACCTTGTCAAATGTAATAGCATGATCATTTCAATTGCAATGCCTTCTTATCCCAACGTTACTTTGTTTCTTTGCTACATTAGCGAACACTGAACTACTGCTCGTACTCTAGATATGACAATCAACCACAAAATTCCCTAAACCAGATAACATTAAACATAATCTAAAAAAACATGTGTCAATTCACGAGTTTGCTCACAGAGCAATTTGATTACTCTTACGACACTGACTAGTTGATCACTGACTCCCCTTTTTTCCTGAAATTATTTTAATACTAATGTTCCCATGCGAAAGGATAATGTTACCAGATCAGCTTGTCCGGCTTATGGTCCACATATAGCTCTAAAAAACACGTGAATACTTTTGTTGAGAATCACTAGTCTTCACAACAAAACCACTTGTGCGTAAACTAAGACAACAAGCCGTTTTGCGGTTGAACTTACCCATCGGGCGTATAAATTTAGAGTTAAACGAGGCCACAAAAAAATTTAGCCCATTTAATTGAGAAGTCAATAGAGCGTGATTACTATTAACGTCATGGAGAGGCATACACGATTTTGAAGAGTATGGTTAAAGGTAGAGATATTTTGTTTTGTTTTCACTGGCTGACAGGCGCCGATCTCAGAAAACTTGATTAAGTGCACTTTGTTTTTAACTTTGTGAATAGGAATGCTGTGATGCTGCCTTAACACCGTCTCTGTCTCCGTCTTCAGCTCTTGTCCATCCTTAGTTAATATTACAAATTTGGTAAAAAATCCTACTACGTTACTCTCTTGGCGTATATTTCCCCTCAAGTATTGACGCGATGTTCTCGTCCATTCAAAAGAGACTCAGTTCAACGTCTGGTGAGCAGATTTTGTTTTTGTGATAACGTGCATGAACTTATGAAAATACGAGTTTAATTAATTGACAGTTCTTCTTTTCCACCGACATTTTTAGCAACAACTCCGCGGACAGTGGTAGGTGATTCAGGCCTCTGCTGAGAGGGGTAAATTTGAGAACTTTACTCTGGGAAGGAGAGATTGCCACGGCTCAATTACACGTAAGAAACACAGTTAGAATTTCGTGTTAATAAAATAGTTAAATATTTTAATTCGGCAAAAGAGTGTCTGAAGAGGCGCCAAAGCGTCTCAAGAAATTGTTTAAAATTCATTTTGAAAGATGATATGACATTAAGGTTTCGGGCTTCTATGTTTTCGACTTTTGCACTATTGTCTTCCAAAGTTTAGTTGAATATCCTCACCTGTCAGAGGGTCTGAATGGGGTCTCTACTGCTCATGATTAAAATAATGGCCATTTACGGCAAACGATTCATTTTCTTCCTATGTAATTAAAAAAAAACCGTCAACTTTTTTTGCGACTAACGGTTAAAATTTGTGAATGTTTTATGCGTAACAGCAATTTTTTTGGCCGTTTCATGGCTAACAATTAACCCTATTGCGACCCACCTGTCAGAATTTTTTTGCTTTTTTCTTAAAAACGGTTTATGCCTTTCCATAACATTAATGATAATCAGCCTTATGAACGTTTCAATAACAATTGTAAGTACGTTAAATCTGTTTGTGGACTTTTTTAAGTCTCAATTTATACGAGATAATGCACCCAATAAGATATTCAAATTGCACAACGGCATGTTGTCTCAGTTTAAGCACAGTTGGTTTTGTTATGTAATTAAGTCATACTCAATAATTCATTACATCGACGTCTTTCTCCTAAGTCATACATCAGAAAAGCGAGCTGATGTGGCAGCATCATCACGACATCTGGCCCCTCATCTTAGGAGCATCACATTTGTGTAGGCAAAGGTAACAGTTCAAGAAGAAAGTGAAGAAAATGATGATTTTGTGTCGAAAGAGGAAATAATCTACCTGCAGAGAGTAAAGTAACATTGTGTCTGAAGTTCCCATTTTTCTTTCAAGACAGAGCGGAATTGACACCATTAGCGACTTCTATTGTAACGAGTCTTTCCAGTATCATCCTTCCAACGTCGATTTCAAAGAACTTAGGTCAACTATTATGGCCGACTTAATCTTCAACAGTTTTCTGACTTATACCGCCGTTATGTTGAATATTGTGACAATCTACGCATTGCACAAAGCTTCGACGATTGCAAAACCTTTAAAAACGCTTCTTCTGCACCTCGCCTTTTCTGATTTGGCTGTCGGTTTATTTGGTCAACCACTTTATATTTCACTTCTTGTCAAGTGGTTACAAATAGAGACTCCTAGCTGTGACGTTTACCTAATGCTGAGTATTTATGGTTATTTATTTATAGGTACTTCGTTCCTAGGTATGGTGGCTGTAAGTATGGAAAGGTTCTTAGCTGTTCATCTTCACCTCAGATACCAAGAGCTTGTGACTCACAAGCGCGTTGTTACTGTGGTAATCTCAATATGGGTATTCAGTGTATTATTATCTTCAATAACATTGTGGGGGCCGCGTAGCACTCGGGATGCTATTGGTTTAGTTATTACAGCAGTTGGCTTCATTCTCACATTCGTATTTTACATCAGGATATATTTAATTGTTCGACGGCACAAGAATCAGATCCAGTCCATACAAATACGAGGTGAAGCTCAGTCTGATGCGATGAAAAACTTTGCTGCCCGCATTAAATCTACAGTTGGTATATTCTACGTCTATGTCTTATTTATGATTTGTTTTCTGCCTTCCCTAATTAGCTCGGCTGCCATCAGAATCTTTGGCTCGAGCATCGTTTTGAAAAGATTTCATCTTCTTTCAGTGACTCTGATCTATCTTAATTCATCTTTGAACCCTGTCATTTACTGCTGGAAGATGAGACACGTTAGACACGCTATCTTAAACATACTACGAAACATGTTTCGGAGCAGAAATGAGCCATCTCGTTGAATCAAGTGTTGTCTATGTTGATAACTAAACCCTTGCCTGTGGCTTACAGGAAGTTGCAGTTTGCAGACTGTTCTTGACAAAGCAAACGCTGGGAAAATGACGAGTATTGTGTACTTATATGGTGCAGCAGCAACCCGACATTTATGTATAAAACAAAATACAAATTGATCGGGAATAAGACTAAGAGATTTACTGAATAGTAGTGCTAGATATCTTCACAGTCGTGCTAAATATCTTTACAGCAGAAAATGTATTGTTATTATCAACGCAAATAAAGGTGGAGTAGCAGATAGCAGAATAAAACCACTAAAACAAAGAAATTTAGTGTTTGAAAGAGGTCCAGAATTCCGTGTAGGTTTTTTTTTACCTCCTGTTGACTTTTCCAATGACTGCATAATGGTCGTCCAAAATCTTAAAAAAAAATTTGAAAAAGTTATCAGTCAAGTGTGGTGTTTCAGCGTCAAATTTAACTGAAATGAAACTTGAGCTTGAGATTCTGTGGGTAATACCTAAATTGCAGAAAACTATGATTTATATCTAACTGTTTGAAGACTTGTAGGACATCAGAAAATAATTTCAAAGTTAGCGCATGGCTGAGAACATACAAATATAATATATCAAACCGCATATTTTAGAGTTCTTTCTGTACACAGTATCATGCAGCTGCAGTCAAGTCGACTATAACTAGCGGCATCATAATTTTAAAACGACTCGATTAATTTTCCTAAAATTCACTCAGCAGCGAAGGTTTATTTTAAAAAAGAAAATATATTTGGAAGATTTTCCTAGACTGTCCCCAAAAATTGTTTTACAGGTTTTCCCATCACATTGGCATAATAATAGTGATTGCCATGCCGCGTCCTTCATTTCAAATTAAACTTAAATTATTTGATGAACACGTATGTGAAATTGGTCCGTCTGTGAGGAGGGAAGTTGGTTTTCGAGCACTTTGTTTGTAGGTTTCTCAAAAAAACTGTTTCCAGTCACCTTCATATATGAGAGTTTTTGCTATTATTTTTAATTTTCATCGGTCAACAGGCGCCGATTACGCGAACGTGTTTATAACTTACAGCATAATTAATATCGCTGCCATAACCTTGTCTCCGTCTACAGTCCTTTTTTCATATGTTTATATCAACACTCAGATAACAAGCAGTATTAGCATATACATTAGAAGTGAATAGTGCTTTTTCACGCGCGCTGAGTGGTGGCTTTAATTTGACATTTCAACGATGACTCCATGCACAGACCGCAGCAGGTGATTCTGGCTTCTGCTGAGACAGGAAATGTTGAGGACTTAATTTTTAGGAATTATTTCGGCACACCTACACGTGATCAACCGTTAAATTTTTCGTGTGGATAACAAGATTATTTTAAAAATTTCTAAATTTCTATTTCATTTTGAGAGATGATATTACGTTCAGCTTTTGTTTCGAGCCTTTCAGTCTTCAACGTCTTTATTGCCTATTTTGCACATTATCTTCCAGATTTAGTGAGTATCCCACCTGTCAGAGTTTTAGCTCCAACTTTTCTTTTAAAATGGTGTACACCTCTCCATGATGTTGGTGATAATCGAGCTTGGCTTCTCTATTACAGTTGTTAATGGGCTAAATTTGTTTGTGGCCTCGTTCATGTCACAATTTATACGAGATATTGCACCCAATAAGAAATTCAAAATGCATAACGGCTTGTTATCTTAGTTTAAGCACAATTGGTTTTGTTACGTAATTTAGTCATACTCAAAAATTACATTTACATCTTTTTCTTGAGCTATATATGGGTCATAACTCAGACAAGCCGATCCGATAACATCTTCAAGAAGGCTGCCTCATTTCGCTTAGGATTGTCACATTCCTAAAAAAAAAAGGTAACAGTTCCAGAAGACAGTAGAGTCAGTAAACCCCTTTCGTATCGAAAAAGGAAAAAATTTTCCTGCAAAGAGTCAAATACCACTATGTTCTCCTGAATTTCCCATTTTTCATTCAAGATAAGCGAGGAGAGGAGACGACATCGACACCGAGGCTCTCCGGCCAACCATCTTGGCCAAATTTATTTTCAACAATTTTCCAACTTATACTGCCATCTTGTAGAATATTGTGACAATGCACACGATGCTTTGACGATGCGAAACCTTCGCCAAATTTTACTTCATAATTGGCATAGAGAAAAAAGCGCGGAAAGGGTTTTAAGGGTTTACGAAGTTTAAATGGCCAATGTTCTACCAATTAACTAATATTCTGCACATTGGTGTCTTGAGAAACTACTTCTTTCCCGTACATGTTCAAGAACATTTGACGACGGGTGGGATCATCTATGGTGACCCTGTTTCACATTTCATCCAAACTGGGGTAATGCTGCGAGGATATCCTCTTTCCAACTCAAGCCAACCATCATCAAGCCTCCAATACTCGTCATCTTTGAAGAAATATGTCCTCTCATTCCCATTCCAGGTCATGACAGAGTCCATGTTGTGTGGCAAACCTTAAACGTCATGTTAAACACAGATTAAATAAATGAAAACCCATTGCACGGTAGCCTTCTACCTTTGTCCATAAACGGTATCCAAACCATAATTGATGGTTTGAAACTTGAGAGAATTGGAAAAAATTGAGAAGATTGTAAATTCTGAACTTGGTCGTCGAATAAAGAAAGTTGTTATTCGTTTATGTGACTAGCGTGGGACGACAGAACACCACACCCTTCAGTTATCGAGCTCCCACATGTTACCACTGCGGAAAACCTTACAAGGCAATTAGCTAAGTTCAAAGTTATCAGGTTCGGATATGAAAAGTGGCCCTTGTTCTGTTTCGACATGCACTATCGAAAGCGCCGAGTCTAACATCGCAAAAAATTTTGAAAAACTGTGAACATATATTGCGTCCTTCATAAACTCAGGTTGCAATGTTTCCCAATCCGTCGAGAAAAGGAAACAGACAAGAAATTAAACAATAAGGACCAATTCAAGTCTTGTGATTTTCTCTTACCCCAAGCAATTATAGACTTTGGATAATTTTTATCCACAGCTTTGTTGAACTCGTTATATCGCCAGTAGTTGTTCCCTTTGAAGAAATACGTCTTTTTATTGCCTCCCCAAACAAACGCCGCATCAGGATCACTCAGTGACGATGGCAGACCAATTTGACGGATGTCACCAGGACCTTCTTCGAGTATGTCACCGTAATATTTCCAGTATCTGTGCAGTAAGACAACAATAAAACCAAAGTTGTCATGATCAAGGAGTAAAGTGGAGAATGTAATGCTGTGTAGTTCCATGCACGTCGATGCAAGGTGACAAGTTTTAACTGAATATCTTTCTTGATTTTTTCCCAACCCCGATCTTTAATGCGCATAGTTTCTTTCAAAGGAATATGTTTCATCGTATTACTTACATGCCTCCTTTGAAAAATACCATCCTTCCGTCTCGATTGGTATAGGCGCTGTTGATGGGTGTTTCAAGTTCTTTCCATTTACTTGTTACCTTTAGCGGGCCATCTTCGACACTGAGAGAAGCTGACAGTACCCAGAAATAATCTCCACTAAACACGTACGTCTTGCCATCTGCGCCCATCATAAAAGAGTCAAACCTATGCATGTTACAGATATCCCCCACAAAGGGAGAAGATGAAGGTGTTTCTGTGACTGTTAGTGTCGTATCCTCCGTTTCTGCTGCGGTAGTTACTGCGTGAGTAACCTTATCCGTGATTAATGCTGCACTGGCTTTACTTGTAGTCACTTCGGTAAATGCTAAAGCTTTGGTCCTTGCAGGTGGTCTTGATGTCGGACTTGGTTTGCCTGAATGTTGAAATAACGATCATACATGAATCTTTATTGGTAAAGTCTTAAGAATCTTTTACAGTTATTCACCGAAATTGAAGTGAAAAGAAATGGACTTTTTACATTTCCACCACTTTCACCGACGCTGAGGTGACTAATTTTCCTAATGTAGACCGCGCAAAGAACGAAATGTACACGAAACATATCCCGCTTATAACCCTTTACACTCCAGCATAAGAATGCATATTCTCTACACTGTTCTACATACATTTCCTAAGGTACTGACAGAGATTAAGATCGTTTCCTATATTCTCATAATATTAATACTTGATTCAGGGATAATAGTGTTAGGAGAAACTAGATGCCAGTCACTCTTAGGGATTTAAAGGTTAAACCAATTTTTTAGTCGAGAGTAGAACGTAAAATTAGAATGCATTAGGGTAATTAAGTACTATCAACGGAGTTGATAACGTAAACTGGCTACCGTAAAGAGTTTACAAGCTGAAGTTCCGAGTGGTTGCCTGATCTCAGCTTTGAAAATCTTTACTCTTTACTCTTTACGGTGGCCAATTTACGTTATCAACTCAGTTGGTAAAATGAAATTACCCTGTTATACTCTCCCACCGACGCAGCACCTCAGTTTCTTTAGGAACTTAACCTTTTCATTTGATTGCATTAACTTTGACTCAGTATGCACCGTTAGTTATTGGTCAGAGAATTTATCGCCATTTTCTCAACCAATCAAAACAAAACTAAAATCAGTCGCATTTTTATGGGTATCCTTATTCAAGTATTTTCCCTTTTGTTTTGACTCGTGGATATATGATTAATTTCGATGTAGTTTCACTGCACTTAATTGGGGGAGCCCTCCATCCTCAACTGAGATAAACTCTTCCTGAATACTCAGTTTACTACTTACCAAACAGGGCTTGCAACTGATCGATATCGCTCTGGCTAAGCTCGAGATTCGGAAAGTAACCTTGGTACCAGGGATACATGACGGAGTAACGTACGTTGGAATGTTTCAGACCTAAGGTGTGGCCAAGTTCATGTAGAGCCACCCAGTCCAAGTTCATGCCACTGCTTGTATTTGTGGTGAAAGGTTCGCTGTCATCAAAATATACCTTAACTTAAAAAATTAAGGACAGTTAAAGAAAATTCTTTGCACATGCGCGTAAATTAATTTGCAAAGTAAGCCTATTAAAGTAAAAAACGCACGACTTTCTTATTCATGTCTCGTATGCTTTACCATTGAGGTGAAGAGGATTGGAGTGACGGCTGGTATAGTGACTGGTTACTGAATTAGAATCGCAAGGCAAGCGCATCCTACCAGCTATTAATACGGGTAACTTGGAAGATCTGATCCTGTCTTCAACCTTATTTGTTCCATGAGACATGAACAACAAATCAGAGTTTGTTTAAACACTAAGTGTTTAACTTACTTTTGCTATCATTTGAAAAAAAAACCTCTCCAAATGTTCCTCCTTTTCCATCAAACGGATATTGATCACTGCTGTTGGGTTGTACAAAGCTTATCTCTATTTCCCCTCTCTTCTCTGCGTTTCTCGAGCGCCGATTACGGCACTTTGCTACACCAGGAATCCTTTTTTGCCAAATTTTAATCTGCCTAGAAATTGTACTTCTAGAGCATCTCTAGGAAAGCGATTTGAGGGTTCCTTGATAATGTAGTTCTACGGAAAGAGCAAATTTTGTTTTATTATTGAAGTACACATCACAACGGACAACAAAACTGCGATCCTTCCTTTCACCTTTTCTACACTCCTAACAATGCGAAGTGAACCATAACCAATTCAGTCACCGATTACGTTCAACCAGTGCAAATGAAAACTGTTCACAAACAATTGCACCTTTTAACTGGGCTTGGATGCTTAACCTCTGCGTGTGCGTTTTTCGCCCGTCTCCACTGAGCAAAGCGTGACACAGGGTATTTTTTCATTTTGTTCGTGTATACCTATTTCCGTCGCTAAATCTCTTACGCTGACCAGATCCTCTTAAATTTGGCTCTGTCACACAAAATCCACTTATCTTACCAACCTATCAATTGTGCGAAAGTGGTCTAACCACCTTCATACAATAAGCTTCACCAGAAAGTCACAAATTATCATTAAGAATGTCTGTTTATACATGAGTGTCGGCTTTACGAACTGTTTTGGCGTTTTCACACATTTCTCATTTCTCATTTTCACTCACATTTAGTCTATTACATACTACAGCAAGGTAGTCGTCGGTAGAATCACGTTTTCTCCTTCTTTGTCTTGCTTCACCATAGAGGGATAACTCATTTGCTTCCCCTGTGTTTCCACATCTAGGAATCACGAACAACTTTTTGGTCTCAAAGTCCAACTCTCCAGTGACATTTATTCCAGCCATGCGCTGAACTGAAGCAATTCCTTTTTCGAGCCCAGGAGTTGGCGCACTCGGTCCTACCCCAGATAATATCTTGTATTTTTTTATCCATTCCTGACAAAGGAATTTCAACTTTCACTGAGTAATATACTGAGACATATTTGAATTCATGGACATAAAAGCATTAGAGGAAAGACCGAGGAAAATTTCTATGAATCTGGCCGTTAAAAAATCAAGAGCAAACAAATGAAGGATCATGATAGAGGTAAAGTGTTATGTAGGATAACGAGGCAATAGTCGGCAGCAAAGCCAAACAGCAAGTTGTTAAGCTTGAAACATATTTTTGGTGGATTTACTTCTTCCCTCTCTTAGATGGCTGTTGCGAAAATAACAAAGTAATTCAACCAAAGTTTGAGTGATGGTATGGTTATCATCCTTCTTCATCTGCAACATCTGTACAGTAGACCGCCTTTTGATCATGAAGAGTAGGCCCTCACAGCCCATCTAGGAAGTGTTTTAGCCGTAAAACTGAACTTGGTAGAGCTGCACTGGCATTTCTACTCGAGATCGATGAAAGGATACCGAAATCAAGTGATATTTGCACGAAAAACAATGTTTTTCTTTCAAAGGCCAAAGTCGTCTTAAGTTACTTACTCCAGTATGTTTTTGGAGGCAGAAGATGAACAAACACCTCGAAATTTGAATGAACGTTCATGTCATTATAACATCATAAAAATAAATAATGAGGTAGAGTCTTAGGCCAGATAGAGAATGCTTCATTAAATTCTTAGCATTATGTGAGGACGGAAATCTATAAATTGGTTGGTATGTCCGCAACACATGTTCGAAAATCATTTTTTTACTAGCCAACTTCGGTTGGAGATCAATTCCCGAAATTTTTAACTGATAGCATGGTGGCAAATGAGTCCTGGGGAGGTTGACCAAAATAGTTGCGATGCTTGCCTCTCCATTACAGAAATTCTAAATAAATGCCCAGAGTATACTGTGTTTGGCGTGTGCTACCCCAATAAGCTTTGTGATGCCTTAGTAAGATACCAATCGGAAACAACCCAAGAATTAAAGTTCGCGAAGCTTCCGTTTGGTGATATGTCAATGAACGTCTTGGCAACAGATGCGTCTGCTTGCCTTCCCAATGGGCGATTAGAACTTACCCAAAACAACAAAAAGAATATATGATACAGACGTTGGAAAAACAAACAAGTCATTGTCAAAATGGTAAAGCATACTACAAGGCCAACAGATTTTGATAAATCTTTCTCCAAACTAAAGAAAACATTTGAATATTTATCACAGTTAAGGAAATTCCTTTTGGCAAGGAAAGAAATTCACAGTTAGCATGGACCAAATATCCTACCATCAGAGCAATGAAAATGCAAGATTTGTTTCAACGTTAAAGTTTTTTTCTTACAATGAATAAAGGTAATGTTCTCAGAGGTGCAAAAGAGTTTTTTTTTACCTTTCTTCGTATTTGAAAGTACCTTTTCTCGGCTGTAACTGGACTCGCTCTGACGAAGGGCTAACGCTCGAAACGTTAGCTTTATAAACTCTTTATGGTGACCAATGTAAATCTATAAACTCAGTTGGTAAAACCAAAAAATCTTGTTATACTCCCCCACCGAAACAGGAGCACCCCTATACGTAACTGAAATAACAACACTGCACAAACTCCATGCTAGTAAGATTAACTACAAAGAAGACAACCGATACTTATGCGGGACGGAGAGGGAGGGGGAAGAAATGAAGCGTATTGCTTACAGTTTGATATTTATTGGTGTTGATTCCCAGTCATTATTTTAGAGAATGGTTTGATCCCAGTGATGAATATGCGATGCAGAATTTGGAAAAACAAGCGCGTAAAAAGTCACAATACCTCGGCGTCTTTAAGTGTCACTGCATCAACGACTGCTACTGACGGTTTGCTTGAGTCTGGGAAAGGAAGGGGCGCTGCTGAGGTACATTCACTATACCAACAGTTAATTAACAAACCAACTGTGAGTAAATGCCATGGAGATCTCAGATCTATAGAAAGAATCGACGACTTCTTGAAACTCATGACCAAAGCGCACAAATGCAAAAATCCAACTTGAACTTTGACTTAAGGTCCGGTCTGTAAAGAGTAAACAATGAAGCAAACAAAGTTTGCCTCGATGACAGAATGAGATTATTAAGATTTAGAGGTTTTCACGAAAGAGCTTCGGGCACTTAAACTTGCATTTGAAATTAATTAGCCAGGATACTTAATACTCAATTTCTATGTAATCAAAAACAAATTATTCCCTCTCGTGGCCGGTGTTCTTTGATACTTGTGTACTTAGGTTACTAGCGATAGCGATCTCAGAAGCAGGATGTAATTATGCCGCCTGTGGTTTTTTACCACGTGTGCAAAGACATGAAAGCATTGAGGCCCTCAGAGGAACATCACTGATTCATTACTCGATTCTACTAAGACAGTAAACAGAGATTTGTTGGGTCAAGTGTTGCGAGGGGAAATGAGCAATCCGATTAGAAGTGATGATCGAAATCAACCAGTATGAACTGCAAGTCACCAACCTTCGAGGCTGGTCGACGCAAACCAATGCAAATCAATCTGGAATCAATAAGCCACCAAATAATTTCTTTGGATGTCAATAGCTCCCAAAAATCTGCAAGACAGAGCTTTTAGTGTTAAGTTACAATCTCCATGAAACAGTTAAAAAGGTGGACAGACTGAGAGTTGGAAGGTAATTGAATAACTGCTGAGATGTCTTAAACAATTTTCAACCTCATCGCCCCTTTTAAGTGTTTTTCGTATTTTATTTCGGATTGGGCAGTTACGAATAAGCATCATCAAGGAACTTTTGTATACGCAGTGCCAATTTAGCAAAATGGCTGAAGGGATGGGTATTCGTGTATACTATTATTTCTCCGTTGTTCACTCTACTGGTACCAAAATCAAAATAGCTTATTTAGAAGGCCGATTTCAGCATGACTTTTCCGGCATCAAACGTAAGGTCATTGAGCATGGCTGTTTATAGAACAATATTTTTGTGAAGCCCATTTTCAGCCCCAGACCTTCCTTTAGTCAATGAAGAGGATCATAGCATAGCTGAGACGTATTTTGGCCTAAACGGTGTGATTTACGTCAAAATTTTTCTTTACTATTCACGTACGTACCTCACTTGTCGCCTGAGTAGGACTAATGCTACAACTAACTTCACCTTACTTGGTACAAATGCAAACAAAAGGGGAATTATTTGAGAATCCTAAATATAGCTGCCGAAGTTGATCCTTTTTGACTTTATACTGGTTTGATTTGATCCAAGGAAAACAAATCGTGATGGTGGTCTCGGCATTTTTTTTTACAAAGAAAGTCGTCCCGTAGGGTGCTACTTACATTCCAAACATTCCCCTGTATCAATCAAGTTGACCCATTCCAAGGTTATTCAATTCTCAATGACCAGTTTTATAATCTAGTTTTATAATTCTCAATTGACCAGTTTTATAATCCTCGAATACATTTCAATTCTTATTACGGTACTTTTAAGATCGAGGACCATTAGTTCATCAGTTGAATTACTGTTGTGTGTTATACCCTCCTTAAATAAAGTAATTATTATTATTATTATTATTATTATTAATGTGAGCCACAAATAGTTCAAGAAACCCATCGTTTTCCGAACTTTATTTCATAGCAGTATACACTCGTTTTTCTTATTTTATTATAAGAATGTGCAACTTAGGGGCTGAGGCTGGACGTTGTTTGTTTATGCGATTTGAGCCTGAAAACGTTCACAACATGTTGTTTGAGATACACAGCATAGTATTTAAAAAAATCAAATTCGGTCGTGACCTTAATTTACCCTTTCCTTATATAAATTCCTCTTTTAAGTAATCTGACTGTCTGGGTTGTGCTTTCTTGTTTTCGTGAGGTTTTCGTGAGGTTTTTCAGTTCCCTTTTTGGCTTTAAGAATGATACGCAAGCTCTTTTCGCTGATGATGATGACAATTGAAGGACAAGAAAATGTCGATCAGTCAAGCAATAAATCAATCCGCAATTGATTATTTGAAAATGTTTATTTTCTCATCTTTACTTGTAAGTTGATTATGTAGCAGTCAAAGCATGCGATACTATTTTTCTTCGGGGGTGGGGGGGGGTTCAAAATAGATGATCTGTTGGGAGACGTGAAATATTTATCAGTATAAACATGGTTTCAGATGTGATTTTCTTTAACAAATCGATCAATCGAAGAAGATTTGTCGAACTCACTCTAACCCAGTACACTCTCCAGTACACGTTTTACTCGCTCCAAGCTTTGAACGTTTAAATTAATTCAGTATGGCGGCTTGAACCCTCGATTGGAATATTTTAGCAGTTCTCGCGGGCTCAACTGGCATTCAACTTCACGAAAAGATGAAGCGCCGGTTTTTTAAAAGTAGAATCTTGTCTAGTGTAAAACTCTTTCAAGGCGGATATCTTTTTGTATGATACGTCCCATCAAACACATTTTGCAGAGCGCCTCGGAAACTTTAATTTCATTTCAGCAAGTTTTCCGAGCTTGACTGGTTTCGCAACAAGTATCCCTCTCCTTGGCCAATAACAAATGATTCCTTGTTAATAGAATAAGAGAGATAGTAAAATGGTGATAATAATTTCTTACTTGTGTAACTGAAGCTTAAACTAACCGGGCTTATCTAAATTGTATGAACGATGGTCATAAAATTCTAAGAATTTTGTTCTTTCCTTGTTGTGAAGGGAAAATTCACAATAAATTCTCATTTTCAACCTGTTTATATGTCAATGCATCGCATCCAAGCAGGGCCGATAATACGCGGGTATCCAGACACCATTCTAAGGGCGCCATCATCTAGCTTCCAATACTCGCTGTTTCTGAAGAAATAGGTTCTGCGATTTCCTTTCCATGTAATGGCTGCGTCCACTTGGTGAGGAAGACCTTGAATGTTAATCAAAAGGCAAATCAGTATCTCTAGTTTCAGATGAAAGAAGCGTCCAGCACACTGCCAGGATCAACACACGTAAAATTGGAATGACGGTTTCTTTATGAATTTTTGAATGAATAAAATTCAAAACACACACAGGCTAGTCAGTCGACCAGTAAGAGATAGTTGACGGAGCGAAATTGAAGTTAATATGAGACCATAATCAGTCAATCGATCAGACGAAACGAAAAAACACTGACAGGTGTGTAAAAGGGCGGCAAATTTTATCCATCCGGTTTTAAGTTTTAATTTTTCCTCAAACTTGTGGCAATTTTTTCCAAGTTTTATTGAATAATCGTCAATTTACCTCTCTTTATTGTCAGTGGTCCTCTTGACGGAAAAACTTACAAATTTTATCGCGCCCTTCTAATTTCTGTTTACTATTTTCTGACGACGAATTTCTTATGGTTGTAAAAGGTCAAGTTATGCAGTTATTCCGGTCGAGAAACAATAGCTCTTTTACCAGACGGTAATTTATCACTTAGTCCCTTCCTTTTTCCCTTCTTTTTTAGGACTTGAAGAAAATGAGTATAAACTCTACCAGAGTAACGTTGCTCAGGCATGCAAACATTCTATTTCCACAAGCAATCAAGCGCAGTTTACCTCATGTAAAACACATTTGAAATGACAGACCAGTCAATTTTCGAAGTAAAGATACCTTACCCCAAACTGAAATAGGTCTTGGATAATTATCGTCTGCGATATTTTTGAACTCGTTGTATCGCCAGTAATTATTCCCTTTGAAGAAATACGTCTTGCCATTGCCTCCCCAAACAAATGCTGCATCAGGATCAGTCAGTGACGAAGGCAGGCCGAAGCGAGTTATCTCTCTGGGGCCTTCCTCGAGAATGAAACCATAATACTTCCAGTATCTGTCAAAATTAAAAACGATGCAGTTGAAGATAAAGAACGCTTTTCGCCTAAATAAAATAAACTTATTACAACGGCTAATGGAAATAAGAAAAGCTGGAAACGTTACCTTAAAAAAGAAAGCCATAGAGCACTCATAAGAAATACAATTTAACTTACGCCAAGGTGGAGAAATGTGAATAACTTAGTCAGCATCAAGAGTTTTTGGGCTAGTGGCGGTCAACAGTTGAGTAAAGTAAACTTACAGGCTTCCTTTAAAAAACACAGTCCTTCTGTTAGAATTGGTATACACGCTGTTGATTGGTGTCTGGAGTTCCCTCCATTTTGATTTGATCTTCATTGGGCCCTGATAAATCTCGAGGTCTGGAGATAACGACCAAAAATATTCTCCACTGAACACGTATGTCCTACCGTCCGTGCCCATCAAGAAAGCGTCAAACTTCGACACTTTGCAAATATCAAGAACTGGTTGTATACCAGGGGTAGTTGGTTTCTCTGTAAATGCTTTGGTCGTGGGCTTAGTCGTGGCCATCGTTGTTGCTTTAGGTGTCGTCGCTTCCGTCGTTGTAGGGAGCTTGGTTGTCGTCGCTTCAGTTGTAGTCGGAGAGGTGGTTGTCGTCGCTTCGGTGGTGGTCGGAGGGGTGGTTGTCGTTGCTTCGGTGGTAGTCGGAGGGGTGGTTGTCGTCGCTTCGGTGGTAGTCGGAGGGGTGGTTGTCGTCGCTTCGGTGGTAGTCGGAGGGGTGGTTGTCGTCGCTTCGGTGGTAGTCGGAGGGGTGGTTGTCGTCGCTTCGGTGGTAGTCGGAGGAGTGGTTGTTGTTGGGACTTGTGGTTGGTGGTTTACCTACAAGATGAATTCAACGATAATGATCAGTCGCATGTTTAAACATTTGCACACATGATGTATCATAATCATGGGTATCATAAGAAGACATAAAATCCACAAAAAGGGCATTGTCGGAGGATTTGTTTGAGTAGAACGTATCGTTGTAATAGGCTTTTCTACAATTCATTAATGACCAAAGAGAAGATAAAAATTTGGAACCATTTTTTAGGCCACAAACAAATTTGCATAATTTTCAATGACCAAAGAGAAGATAAAAATTTGGAACCATTTTTTAGGCCACAAACAAATTTGCATAATTTTCAATGAAGATGTGAAACTTAATTGCCGCGCCGTAAGAAAATGGGAACTCTCAGTTTTTTGGCAAACCTATTGTATACCCCAACCGCCTCAGATACTCCACCACTTTGTCACTGAGAGGCTTACTGAGGCAGCGATCTATCGAACCCAAATAATGATACTTGCTTGACGCATAAGATGGAGTAAAAGTATTTGTAATCGCGATGGCACCATTACCGGACAATTTTCACCGAATGAGTTTCTGATCCAGGCATCCCAATTTCTGGATAGACAGGAGCGAGTTGAGTTTCGTGCTTTTACTCCGGGGCACTTACCATAAATGTCTTGTATACCAAGGATATCATCCTCAGTAAGCTCGATATTAGGAAAATAACCCTTGTACCAAGGGTACATAATGGATTCTCGTACGTTGGAGTGTTCCAGACCCATGCTGTGTCCAAATTCGTGAACCGCCACCCAGTCTAGGTTGATGCCATTTGGTGTTCCCGTGGTAAACAGCTCATCGTCATCAAAATGAGCGTCACCGGACAAGCCTAGGAGGGAAATTATCTTTTGAAAAACGGTGATATAAAATGACAGCTTGAAAATAAACTTAAGAAAAATCATCGTTTCTTGTCAAGATTAGTATCAGAACTGTTAAAGTTACATGCGTGTGAGAGCGAAATATCCACAATCACACACACTCCATTTCGCCAAGCCATGGAATAAAAGATTTCGTCATAGATACAGTGTCCAAACAGCTCTAAAGTATTTTATATCTTAGCAGGTTTATGCAGCCTTCAAATACGCTTCCCTCGATTGACCACCGGAGGTGGAAAAAGTTATCAATAAAGGCCATATAGGGATGCAAAATGACTATTAAACCCCATTCTCCAGCGTATTAACATCCTTTTTCGAAGGAGAATTATCAATAAACACCGATTTCGAATGAAATCCATAGATGGGAGCAAAATTACCAATAAACGCCGCAGTGAGTCTGCCAAAAATCGGGTTCATTCGAGAATTAAATGATAAAAGAATTTGCACGCATGGTGCTTCTTGCCAATCTACACCATCACTGGTAACTGATAATAAGAGGCAATAAGACTTATTAAACGAACTGCGTTTAATCGACGAAATACAGCCTTGATTGAAGGTGTTGATACTAACCTCTGTTATTGTGCGGGTAATACGCATGCGCTAATGTTCCTCCTACGCCGTCAAAGGGGTACGGATCAAAATGGTAGCCTGCAACAAATGAAATGAGTATCTCCACATCGTCATTAGGCACTGATGGATCAGTTTGCTCCCGGACGGTCAGGGTGCTGACGTCTGCCCATTTTTTGATCATTTTTCGAAGAATGTCTCTCTGGACGTCGACAGGAAGATCTTTTGTGGGTGTCAAGAAACGGTAAGAAAGGTTCTTTAAAAGAGAGAAGAGCAAACATTACTTTTGTTATACAGTTTAGATAAACCTTCACATTATTATAAGATCACCAACCCTTATCGAGATATTCCTGCCAGGTACTGTTTTGGAAGGGAGAAAGGATTTTCTTACAGAACGCAAAATAACGCTAGGTCGGAGAAATTTCTTGTACAACATGAAACTGCGCGAGTTATAACTGCTTTGGGACTTTTTTTCGTTTTTCAGTTTCTTTTGTATCTTTCTGGTTTTCTTTTGCTGTTAGAGTGTGAATGGTCGCGAAGGTTCAACGTTCAGGTTCAATAGTGTAGTATTATTTACTATTAAGGGAAACGGCTTCATTGGAGGAAATAACGAGTCGATCAAATCGAAGCCTAAATATCCCCCCTCCGGGCAACCCCCTGAGTATTTGAACCTTTTGAAGATTGGTTTGTTCAAATGCCTCACCCAATCTTTCTTGGAAAAGGCAAAATGAGCGACTGTTACTTTCTACACATTGACCGGGCATTAAAAACTAGACCTTGTAGACCATTTGTTCTAAGGTATTCGCGCGCGGATGTATTATTCTTAAACTCCAGCATAATTGAAGATATAACACTTGTATACACTTCCACTTCAAATTTCCCACCCGAGCCAAGTAACGTTTAAGTATTCCTTCTCCGGGCACGGACGACGGTCAAATACCCGTGGGTTGGGGTGTTGCAGCTTCGAATTGATCGGCGCATAAACCCCACGTGTACAAAAACCGCACTTTGTACACCAAAAAGCTATTTAAATTACACTTACTCTTTTTTTCCATTCTGTCCCTTGTTTAGTATACCGTTTAATTCTTCCTCTTGATGGAAGTGAGCTGTGCTTTTGGTTCTCGTCTTCTTGCTCCCGGACGCCACATCGTGGTAGCACAAAAAGCTTTTTGGTCTCATAGTCCAACTTTCCAGTTACATTTAGTCCACCCCGGTACTGAATTTTTGCAATCATGTCCGTGAAATTGACGGCCTGTCCGGGTTTTTTAATCCCGTACTTTTCCATCCATTTCTGAGAAAGAAATGAGTCGGTTCAAGTCAATAACTTTTCAGTGGACCGAAAGGAGATGGGAGCCTGAAAAAATCCACTCAAGTCATTTAAGGATTTTAATCTACAAAATACCACACAACAATTTTTTTTACTTAACTCCCTTTAAGACTCCTTACACCCACTTTGAACGCCGCCATTTTGAATATTGGCGCTTAACCCCTTCAGGCGTCGTCACAGCCTATGTCCAGGCTCTCATCATTAGCGCCGTGGAAAGAGACATTTCTCGAATGGTTAGGTTACTTTTTGTACTCTAAAACTGGAGCATGAAGGGTTTTTTTTTTTAATGAGGGGAATACTTCTGCGTTGCTTTTGGCTGAATTAGCTCTTGCCAAAATGCTAATAGCAGCTTTCAAAAAGATAATGCTTGAGCTGATTATTCACTCTAGTGTTGAATGCTGACTTTGAATTTTACGTCACACAAGACGAATCTCAACGCAAGTGAAAATATCACTTTTTTTGACAAAAAAATGCCGCGCCTTAAAGCGGCTCGTGTTAAATCATACTTGAGGTCGTCCACGCGAACTAAAAATCACGCAAGATCGCCATGCCAATAGCTTACAGGTTGCAGCAGATCTGAGAGAGCATTTGATGTATCAGCAGTGGAATGGATAGATATTATATTAGAGGCTGTTGTGTTTCTTTTTCACGATAAGCAAAATTCAACGAGCAGCGAGGGTTTTGTCAACCGATTTTACGAAGGACGAACATCCGAGATAATCGGGTGTGTGGAAATACCATAATCCTATTCTATTTCTTGTTGCCGATAGGCAAAAATCACGAAAAGAAGCCCGAAAAAATCTTATACTAATAAATCAATCGGGCTTAAGTCTCTAATATTTTCGTAGCCGGTTTCAACAAAATATTGTATACAAGCGCCTTCTTGGAGAACAGCCTTAGAAACGTCAAGAGTAGAAAGAGTTTCTGTTTACTTCAGAAGTCTATCTCACTAAGCCATAAGCTTATTAGGTGGATTTTATAAAGGATTTTTTCCCCAGAGCAAAGCGATGCTTTCAACTGTGCATACACCTTCACATACCATATAGTCTGGCTGTTTAGAGTAGGGCCCAGCCTATTTTAACATGAATACCGAAAATTCACGGCGTGGCTGATTTTAAATTTTCCATGCGGGCCCCTTTTCCCCATACATATGTTTGAAAGTCTCTGACCTCCCCTTACTACGGCGTTATTAGCGAGAAAATCATTATCACAGATTTTTAACCACACTTCTATTTCTTCAACTTCAAACTTGATGCTATAAGCAACATTTGATAAAACGTAGTTTCGAATTTTTTTTTCATATTTTGGTACTTAGCGATTGTAGACATTACGCGTTGAATGAAACGTTTCTACGATTTCAGACATGTTCATATTCCCATGGGACGTGAGAATCGGCGGAAGTGTCTTTGATCAACGACAACAGCCAGCGCAAAGAGCATTTCCAGTTTGTAGAAGGAAAAGGGTAGGATTTTTTTTCTAACGACATGTGAGTGTCCCGGAGAGATTTTATGCATTGCTTAAACTTGTTTTGATAACCTATCTGAACCTATGTCACAATGAGCTATCTGTGTGTAAGGTCTGCTCGCTCCAAGCCTACAGATAGAAACTAAACTCCCTCATACGAAGGTTATGATCACTTACGAAACATAATTCGGTGTCCACTTTATCGATTAGTTCTTTGGGTGGCTTGCTAGGATCGTTGATAACACGTGCAATTGGTACTGCAGAGGTTCGATCGCAACACCACAGACAAAGTAAAGCGAAGAAGGTGATGAAAAGCCATGTTGAAATGCAGCTTTGAATCTTCAGCTTTGACCTCGTGAAATCCATCCTGGTTTTTCCAGGGGCCTCTGTGAGCAACGGCCTCAGTTTGGCCCTTTATCAGCAAAAAGTGACAGCAACTGTCCGTAGAAAGGACCTCAAGGTATCTTTGGCACGAGGGCCTTTACGCGAGCTTGAGACGTTTGCGAAACGGAGACTAAACAAAGTAATCCTGTAATGTGACACTACTTTGTAAACAAGATAACATACGCGAAGGAATTTTTATAGGCTCTTTCTATCTAGTTTGTTGATTTGTTATCTGTCACTTATTGTTTTCCTGTAATTGAAGGTGTGGCATTTAAATCGATCGGAGGCATTCTACAAAGTTTCACTAAATTAATCTACACAGATTTTTGAATGAATGAAGCAACTTTCCTTTTTATCTCCGGCAATAGATAACTTCTTTATGTATCACACAACGGAACTTCACTGGCGCGATAATTATGTCCCTTTTCGAGGATCATTTTCAAGAAGCTGATGTCTGCATCTGACAAAAAAATGTAAACAGAACTAGGTTTTAATTGATTGCCTTTGAAAATTCCAGAAAGTTGTAGTTTTATCAGTCCCAGTTTCTATGTCCTATTTTATATGCTGAAGAAACTGATATTTCGAGAGACGAGTGATTAATAAGATCATATCAAATTTGATCTGTACCGCACATAGTTGACCTTCCATTAAAATTTGATTTCCCCTGTTGTCGAGCCAATTTCACCTACGTTAACACGTCACAACTACTTAACATGTTACTCGACATTCCCTCTTTCTTACTGCTGAGCATTCCTATATAAACTAGTTTTCAAAAGAATCGGGTGTTTAAGGTGATAATGGAATAATTCTAGAAGATAGAGACGCGTAATAGAATCTCCTTTTTGGATGATGTGCTGACATCACAAAGATATTTTCGATCATCAATTTCCAGAGTCAGAAACAGGTGTGTGAAAGTGAAACGTAAAGTTTACGTTCATTGAATACAACAGATACAAGATACTGAGAGCCTGCTTTTACAGAAATTGATTGCAATTTAGTATTTTTCGCTGACTTAACCACTGCCAGCTCATTTTTCTAGTTTCTTCAAGGAAAGTTTCCGCCTCGAGCTAAATCAAACATTGTATTTGACTTCAAGTCACTGGAATCTATATGACTATTTGCTTTTGTATCACTCTCAACCAGGTTTCATTGAGATAATTTACACTCGACATAGATAACAAGAAAGTTCAGTTTGGAAACAAAATAATCTCGTAAAAATTCTTCGAGCATATCGCGTGTCAAGTTCCGAGAGATAAGCCTCGATATCTTACCTCGATGTAATTTGGCCGTCAAAATATCAACATGGCAGGATATGAAAACACTTAGGAGGTAATAATAAACAGGGCTGGAGCGAAGATTTTAAAGTTTGGATAAGATTGAAAGGAATGAAAACAACAAACTGGGGCTAAAAATTAGGTGGGAACAGTCATGTAGCTTGCTGAAAACAATGGGAACTCTGGAAGAAAACGTTCGTGACACGTGCGCAATAGACGATATTTGTTTATAAGAGTGGACTGCGTGATTTCCGGCTGAAATCAACATCTTTGAGAAGAATTTTACGTTTCGTGATCTGTGGTGTCAATTGCATCATCCAGGAAGGAAATGAGCGAAGGAAGTGGTTTGTCTCCAGCTATATCAAGACGAGAAATTTAGAGACAAATGGTGAAGGTTTCTTTACACTAACATTGAGCAAATTACAAACTTATCTTAAAATGATTGCCTGTTGTCACTTTATTTGTCGTTTGACTACAATACAAGTGTCAATTTTGTGTCAATTATAGAGCTACACGCAGGCCAACTTTTATGCCCCTTCGCCCTCAAGATTCGATAAATCCGTAATTCTCCTTTCTTGCCAACAAACAGTTGAGGGAATTCGAGACAACCCCTTCATACGCAACTTATGACGTGGCTTATTTCCATCGCAGGTTCGCTGGATATTGCATTTACATATATTCTCCAAAGAGGCTGGATGTTGCTCTAATAATACCCTGAGAACAAACCGTCAGATAATCATGCGTTTCTAAGATGTAAAGGGTTAGAGGAATAAATCTAATTGAGCGAAAGTGACGTGGCATATAAAAACTGAGTGTTTATTGATCAAAAAGAGGCTTTTCTATACGACAATCCACAAGGATTCTTTACGGAGCATTATTATGGTCACTCACGACAGAACTCATAAGTTCTTCTTAAGGTTCAGTCGTACCAACACCTCCATCACACCTCATCCACCCAGTTGCTATCGACTTAGGATTCCTCTCGCCTCTGTTCACTTTCCCGAACCTTTAGTAAGGCTCTTTGTTTACTTTTCCAAGCCTGTAGTAAGACTCTCCCTTGAAGACGTAAATTCTGTTGTTGTTGATCCAAGTTGTTACTGCGTCAGCATTTCGCAATCGTCGTGGCCTAATAATCTTCGGGGAATTCCGTCTATTCTGGTTACCACTGAGGCGCCAATACTTTGACCCTTTGATAAAATGGGTCACATTTCTGAAGGCGAAAACCGCATTCATGGTGCGTCTGAAACGATGCAATCTGTACCGCTTGCGAATCAATCCTCTACTGCGAAGGAGATTGTTACCTCTGTACGCCCAATATCTGCAGCAAAGAGTCAATGCAATTGCCTTTGGATGAGAAGCCTTTTTATGAATTGAAATGCTTTCAAACGCATGAAATTGAACTTGTTTGGAAAAGATTGAATCCTTAAATCAGGTGGTGGTGCTATATAAGGTTGCAAAATCAATTCTTGAAATGTAATTATATATAAAAATAGTTATATATTAATTAATGGATTAATAAAAATAACTATAGTCGATTGTTCTGGCAAAAAGTGAGAATAAACCGAACAAATAAGAGATTGAATTAATCAGTGAATAAATGAACGAACCGATGGATCACTGATTTACTGAAAAAAGTATGGGACGAATGACTATTAACTGATTTTCCTCTGCTAAAATAAAATCCAATACCTTCCTCCTTTGAAAAATACAATATCACCGTTTTCATCGCGAAAAGCTGCATCCAATGGACATCGAACATTACTCCAGAAGTCTGTGATTTTGTAAGGGTCACTTTTCTCCAATGAGTTGTTACCTGTCCAAAACTGATCCGCTGAAATACGTCCATTTTTCATCACCAAACACAGCGTCGTAGCGAGTTCCCGGTAAGCAGGCTGGGTGTTTAGGTTGTTTTTTGGTAATTGGTATTTCTGTGGTACTTGTGGATTCTGTGGTCATTGGCAACTCTGCGGTAGTTGCAACTCTTCTGTTGTTGGTGGTGGTCCTCCGGAGGTTGGTGATTCTGTGAAGGTTGATGATTCTGTTGTAGATGGTGATTCTGTGGTGATTGGCATTTGCGTTGTGGCCATTATCGGAGCTGATTAACAAGAAATAGCCGTCACTAATCTTCTATTTCCCTTTTTCCTTTTTCATTTCAAACATAAAAGTTCATTATAGGATTCTCATGACAAAAACAAAAACAACGCCAAAAACACAAACAATAACAGAAACAACAATAATCAAAAACAATTAAAAACAAAATCAAAAACAAAAGCAAAACAAAAACCACATTAACAATAACAATAAATAAAGAAAACTTACCTCCATACGATTCCTGAATACCCAAAACATACATAATAGCTTCCCGTACGTCTGAATGAGCCAGACCCAGACTGCGCCCAAACTCGTGAACCGCTACCGAATCGAGGTTGATGCCTAGAGGTGTCCCTGTGGTGAAGTCTTCATCGTCATCAAAATGTGCGTCACCAGATAGACCTTAATGTATAGAGTAACGTCATTAGAAAACTGTCCATAATTGACGGGAATTGTCCGCAATTGAACCAGTTAAGAAAATTCATATTGAATAAAAAATGGCAAGGACTATACAAGACATTTCCGTCACAACAATCTCTTTCAGTCCTCACAACCTCAACGTACTTAAGGATTGGCCGTTATTTATCTCTCAGGGGGTCGGTGGACTTTGGTTGTGTCTCTGTAAAATTTGCCTGATCCTCCCAAGGCTCTGTACGACTTAATGATCCCTTCTCCCACCAGCTGTCAGTTTTCTATACTCCCCCCTCCCTTTACAGTCATTCAGGGACGACTGACCCCCCTCCGTTCCCACGGAAAACCATAGGATCCCCCAAAATTTTCCTCCCCATAATCACGTGATAAACAATGACATGTCCTCTATTTCTACCAACTGCTCATAAGTGCCCTCACACTGTTATCCTACAAAAGGATCAATGCAAAATTTCCACACGCCTCCACTAAAAAATGTTCAATCTAACATAGAAACAGTCTTTCGACTGCTGCAAATTTTAAATGCTCCTAAAAAACCTATTCACCTTTAAATTCATTAGTTTTCTACTTCTTACCCATCCTCTCCCCTTTGGAATGCACCTCACCTTGATTGTTGGATGGGAAGAATGCATGAGCCAGTGTCCCTCCAGGTCCTTAAAATGGGGATCCGTCGCTATGATTCCTGGTGACGTAACTAATAAGGATGTCCGCAACACCCGATTGTACCTCTGTGAATTGTAATGTTGAAGCAGACTGCCACAAGTCTAAAGCTTTACGGAATATCTGTCTCTGTGTCTCTGGAGGTATTGTGTCGTTTGCGAAATTAACGATTCTATAGGTCAGATCCTATAACGATAACAAGCAAGAAAGGATAAGAAACGATTCATTATTAAATCCTGAATTATTCACTTTTTCGATTTATGCACAGGGAATGCCTCTCTTAATGTCTAAATTCTCAAGGACCCATGTATCAAATATTGTTTTAAAAAGATGTTTCCCGTGAAATTCCCAGAAATTATTAAGATGTAGCATCTCCTCGCGATATCAATCCATTCTACCACAATCGGGTCAGTAATAAGAACAACCTAACTTATCAGGTAGGAAGTGTTATTTAGCTGTGGCGCCAATTTCTCTCCTTTCCCTTTTCCAAGAAAATATTTATGAAATCAGAAAGATACAAATCCTTATCATACCAGGTTACTAAGAAGGGCGAATGGTTTTCATTTTTGACCAGTAAAATCACAATTAAAGGAACGTGACTTTTTTGAAATGATTTGAAATGTACATGTGGTGAATGCGGCTGACGGTTTTGCTTTCAGAATATCACAGACATGCTATATTGATTACATAGAAAGAGTAGCAAAAAATATGTGATATTGCTTGAGTTTGTCAAACGAGACGCACTAGTGCTATTAATCATAAGCTACCCATTCCAAAAGTCGCTAGAAAATTTGTTTCTCGTTAAAGACCGATGCCTGGAATTTGAAAAGTATGGGCTATGTGCATTTTACAAGCAATTACTTCTCATTCATTATTCATATATGGATTTATTTATTTATCTATTTATGTTATATCTTTTCTGCGGGAATATAGTGGAATTACAATGGGGTAACATCACAGGATTTGTTTCATCTGGCCCGTTTACAAGAACAGCCATGAAATATCCTTCATATATTCATCATTACCTTCATGATTACCTTTCTTTCTCCAAATATCTCCAAATACCTCCCAGCAAGTTGAATTCTCCCACATTCTTTTAGATATTCCTGACGTTGTTAGGTCTGGGTCCTTCACTCCACATCTTGACTTATTAAGTTACTTCGTTGTTTCTGTATCGATATTTCCTGTCATTGGAATATGTCCAAAACGTTGGAGCCTCATCATTGCTTTCTTAAACATGGGAGAATTTTCATACTTCACCAAGGCCATTTCACTTGAATTGAGGTAGCCATACTTAAGCATATATTTCGTTGCCTAAAAAGAAATAGACACATTTGGTTCGAGTGCAAATCCGAATTCAATACAAAACGTGTAAAGAATTAAGTGTTTTATGTTTCACGATATTAATCGCGAGATTCATCAAAATAGACAAGCCTGCTTTTCATTTTTTGTTGCAGAACTTTGAAGTTTAGACTATTGCACTACTCTATCTAAGCTCCATTATATTTGTTTTCGACGCTAACCGTTTTAGGCGCCTCGTTCGCAAATCTTACTAAGATTACTGTTATTGACTAAATAATAAATCTTTCACCCTTTCAGACTACGCCTATTATGGATATATATTTTCCCTTTTTGAGATCTATACATTTCGTTTCTTGATGGTCGGACACGCCAGCCCCTTACTGCTTACAGTTACACGAGGTAAAGAAATCTCAAAATTTCAATTGTATACTTGTCCCTTCCTTCTTACCCAATTCATCATATCCTTCTTTCCACCACCTCCCTGTCGACGGATGGGGCTATTTAGGATGCAACTCACATGAGCGTGAAGTACCACCAAGACTAAAAAGTTCTTCATCTCGAACATAGACGAATCTAAGCAACTCGTCCGTAGACAGCTTTGTCTGCTTTCGATTACATCGACAAAGTAAGCATGGACAGGTTTTATAGCAAACTATGTACGGTAGTTGCGTGGGTGTATGACACACTCCTTTCCACTTAGCTCGGCCGTACCGCTAATATTGATTTCATGACCTTTCCTTCCCGAGTTCATGACCTCTCCTTGCCAATATCGAAGGGGAGGAGCTTAACATTACATTATATCATTTAAAAATAGAATGATTTCAAAATTTTCAATCGATCTTGTACATTAGATCATATGTGTATTTTAAGTAAGTTATGTGTATTTAGAGAAAGCCATGAGTATTTTAAGTAATAAAGATAATTTTGGTCTAAAACAGCAGAACGATCTTAGCTGTTTTCTTGTTTGGTTCTGAAAAAGGCTATGATTTTAAGACATGACCCTAAGTTGTAGCTAGTGTGGATGTTAATAAGAGTTGCATAAATTGAAAGAGTGACCGAAACTGTAGGCATAGTACAAAGAAAAGTATCCACGTCGCCCTGGGACAATTCAACACCGACACTACGATTAAGTGTTGGAATGCTTCACAAAATACGACACAGAGAATTCGCGAATGTGTTAGGTTTTATACCAGATTTATACATGCAAATAGGAGCAAACGCAGGGAGTCGACTCGTAGGCTGGATTATTTCTAAAATAAAATATTCTATCTCGCACAGCTGTTTGGAATATGTACAAACATTAGGTTTGTTTGTTTTTTTCTTTTTGTTTGTTAGGATGTCAAGTTGACCATGATTACACACTTAAAACACGTGAGAAACAATAAATATTCTACCGCGCACAGCTGTTTTGAATATGTACAAATATGGAGTTTGTTTGTTTTGTTCTTTTTTTTTTTTGTTGTGGTGTTAAGTTGACCATAATTACGCACTTACGGCACCTAAGAGGCGATCAATATTCGCTCGTGAGAGACTTTTCTGCATTTTTAAATTTTCCGTTTGGTCGCATCATTATCCCTCTTGATTCGATTGCCAGCCCAAACAAAATGACGGAAATTCTGCCTCGCACTGTTGTTACCTACCTTGTAGAGACATCAATACATAATTTTACAAACAGGTGTGGAGAAGAGGCAGGGTTTTGAGCTTTATGGTGTCATCTGTATGTAACGCCAATCTCTCTTCACTGGTTTACAACGAATTAAATGTAATACATGCAAAATAATACAGAACGAAGGCTTACTAATCAGTTATTGGGGATTAAATAGTTAAACCATTAATTGCACAAGCGTCAACACTAACATCGTTCACTCTCAGAGTTAAGCTCGGATAAAACTTTTTATCACTATCATATATTTTACTTATAGATATTTCCTTACTTAGGTTTTTGAAATTGCTCTTTATTCGCTATGATTTTTTTAAGGATTCTTATGATAAACCTCTACGGCTGGGAGATTCAACTGACCCTTGTCTAAGATGAATTGTTACACCGACGACATAAATGAGCAAAAAAGAGGGATCGGAAGCTAATAATTTTATCTAGCAGCACACGCATTTGAGCGCCAGACTAACTCGATCTGTGAAAGGGAAATAACACAATAATTGCAAGACTCGAGATTTTGGGAAATATAAAACAATTTAGCGCATGACAGCCCATTGATCTAATTGCCCTGAGCACTAAGAATAACCTAAACAACACTTCAGGTCAACTTTGTGGCAATTCTTATTGCTGACTAATGGTTTATCAGTTGTATATTTATAATACTGTAACATTATCGTGTTCAAAAAAACAATTAGAAACATTTTTTATTCCTTTAAAATGGTAACATCAATATTACGAGCAGTATTACTACACTGGCTGATTCTCGAACCTTCGTGAGTAAGAACCTTTTTAATCCTCCTCGAGAAAGATTTAATTTTCCTTCCATTTCAAACGCAAGCACTGATTTTGAATTGCACTTCTTTTAAATGCCTGATATGAATTTTGGGATTCTAACAATTTCGATCCATATCCGAGCATTTTGTTGTTGACACAATAACTAATAAAATGTAAAAGAGAATAGAACATTCTTCAACTGACAGAATGAAAATTTCGGGATCACAGAAACATTCACGGATCGTTGAAACTCAAGTGTCTGGATGCCAATGCCCCAATGCTATGTCCTGTGGTGGATCTACACTTCGTCTACTTAAGAGCTGTGTTCCTCCCGTCTCCTCCTTGGAATTGTAGCATTGTGCTATGTTCCTGGACAGGACACTTTTCTTTCGTGGGGCTATCTTGACCCAGGCGTTTAAGTGGGTAACAGTAATCTGCCTGGGAAAGCCGATGAAATGTTTGGGGAGGGGGGAGTGGGATGGATTGTGATGGACCAGCATCCCATCCAGCGGAGAGGGGTAGGATTGCTTCAAATCACTTGCTATTACGGAAATTGGAATAAGCCGTCACATTGTGGGTCGGTAGGCTCCAAGGAATCATACTTGTCTACATCATTTTAAAGAACAGACTCTACTTGCGTACGAAGATACCTTCCGTCACCTACGAGTTTAAGTTAGCTGAGTGCCTTGGGAAATGACACACGGTTCATACTCTTTAATTGTGAAATTCTATAAACGCTTTTATTTCGAGAATTTAACCTTCAATTTGATAACAAGAAATCTTTCAGCAACTAACTATTTCAAAGTCTTGCATAAACTGCGTTACATGGTTTGCATGGATGCCTTTTCACTTAAAAACGCATCAGACAGACGCCACTGATCGTTGCTGTCAGTAATATTAACATTTTCAATTGCGCTCTCAGAAATCATACTCAAGCCTAGTAAGGAAAGCCAAACATTTTTTCTGGGAAGGCTTGATAACCCGTGCAGTCGGTGATCGCAACACCACAGACAAAGTAAAGCGAGGAAGGCGATGAAAAGCCATGTCGAAACGAAGCTTTGAATATTCGGCTTCGACCTCGTGGAATCCATCCTAGCCTTCCCAGGGGCCTCTATGAGCAACGGCCTCAGTTTGGCCCTTTACCAGCAAAAAGTGACAGCAACTGACCGAAGAAAGGACTTCAAGGTATCTTTGGCGTGAGGGCCTTTACGCGAGCTTGAAGACGTTTATGAAACTGTGAACAAACAAAGTAATCCTTTAACATGGCACTACTTTATAAACGAGTTAACATTCGCGCAGGAATTTTTATAGGCACCCTATATTTAGTTTGTTGAGTTGTTACCTGTCACTTACTGTTTTCCTGTAATTGAAGGTGTAGAATTCAGATCTATCGGAGGCATTCTATAAAGTTTCAATAAATCAGTTAATCCACACAGATTTTTGGATGAATGAGGCAACTCTTTTTTTATATCTCTAGCAATAGATAATTTCTCTAGGTATCCCATGACGGAAGAACTCAAGTACAGTACTTCACCAGCGTGATAAGTATATCCCTTGTTGAGGATCATTCGAGACACATTTTCAAGAAGCTGTCTGTATCTGGCAAAAAATGTTAACACAACTAGGCTTTCGTTGATTGCCTTTTAATTTGCCTTTTGTAAAATCGCGAAAGTTGTAGTTTTATCCGCCCCAGTTTATATATCCTATTTTATATGCTGAAGAAACTGATATTTCGAGAGACGAGTGATTAATGAGATGATATCAAACTCGATCCGTACCGCACGTAGTTGACCTCCCATCAAAATTGGATTTCCACTGTCACTCGACATTCCCTCTTTCTTACTGCGGTGCATTCCTACATAAACTAATTCTCAAGAGAATCGGGTGTTACATCAGCTGAGAACGGAATAATTCTCGTAGATAGAATTGCGTAAGAGAATCTTCTTTTTGGATGATGTGCTGACATCACAAGGAAATGTTCAATTACCAATTTCAAGAGTTTGTAAACCAGTTTTACGCACATTGAATACAACAGATACAAGGTAGTAAGAGCCCACTCGTGCAGAAAAGATTGATTTCAATTTACTATTTTCCGGTGATTTAAACACTGCCTGCCTGTTTCGATAAGAGTAGAAATCAAGCTCAACTCCGTGTCGAGCTGAATCAAGCATGATATTTGACGTCGTCACTGGAATCCTCTTGACTATTTGCTTTTGTCTCATTCTCAACCAGGTTTCATTGAGATAATTTACACTTGTCATAGAGGAAAGTTCAGTTTGGAAACAAAATAATCTCGTAAAAATTTTTCGAGCAAATCGCGTGTCAAGTTCCAAGAGATAAGCGTCGATATCTTGCCTCGGTTTAATCGGGCGATCCAAATATCAACATGGTAGGATATAAAAATACTTAGTAGGTAATAATAAACAGGGCTGGAGCGAAGATTTTCAAAGTTGGACAAGAATGAAACGGAATGAAAACAACAAAGTGGGGCTAAAAATTAGGTGAGAACAGCTATGTAGCTTTCTGAAAACAATGGAAACTCCGGAAGAAAACGTTCGTGACACGTGCGCAATGGACGACGGAATTAACCTCTTGCATCAATTTTCTCTCTCGGTACTTCCGCTATATGTACCCTGTGTGCGCGAGTTTTAGCAAAGAGGCAAGTATATATACCAACATCGGGTAGCGAGTGACTCGTCCTCCTCTTTGATGACGTCGCGGAGCACGCTCGTCATTGATGCTTCGTGCGGCCAGGGAGCAGAAAAATTGGCCGAGTGTTCTATAAGAGTGGACTGCGTGATTTCCGACTGTTATCAACATCTTTCAGAAGAATTTTACGTTTCGTAATCTTTGATATCAATATTGTATTATCCATGAAGGAAATGAGCGAAGAAAGTAGTTTGTCTCCCGCGATATCAAGATGAGAAATATAGAGACAAATGGCGAAGGTTTCTTTACACTAACTTTGGACAAATTACAAACTTATCTAAAAATGACTGCTTGTTGTCATTTTATTTGTCATTTTTTGTGTCAGTAATACTCCTTTCTTGTTGTCAAACATACTCAACTTATGACGTGGCTTATTTCCATCGTAGGTTCGCTGGATATTGCATTTATATTCGCGAAAGAAGCTGGACGTTGCCCTCATAATATTCTGAGAACAAACCGTTAGATAATCATGTGTTTCTAAGATTTAAAGGATTAGCGCCATATACTGAGGACCCGTCACTGAGTGTTTACTGATCAAAGAGGCTTTTCTATACGACAATCCACGATCATTCTTTACGGAGCATTATTGTGGCCACTCATTATTGTGGCCTTCTTCTTAAGGTACAGTCGTACCAACACCTCCATTACACCTCATCCACCTGGTTGCTATTGATTGAGGATACCGCTCGCCTCTGTTCACTTTTCCGAGCCTGTAGTAAGAGTCTCCCTTGAAGACGTAAATTCTGTTGTTGTTGATCCAAGTCGTTGCTGCGTCAGCATTTCGCAGTCGTCGTGACCTAATAGTCCTCGGGGAATTCCATCTATTTCGGTTACTACTGAGGCGCCAGTATTTTGACCCTCTGATAAAATGGATCACATTTCTGGAGGTGAAAGCCGCGTCCATGTTGCGTGCGAAACGACGCAATCTGTACCGCCTGCGAATCAATCCGGTAGTGAGAAGGACATTGTTGTCTCTGTACTCCCAGTATCTACAGCAAAGAGCCAATGCAAAGTGTAAGTATCCCGGATTGCCATTAGATAAGGGGCCTTTTTGTGAATTCAAGTACTCTCAAACGCATGTAACTGAACTGGTTTGGAAAAGGTTGAATCCTTAAACCGGGTGGTTGCGCTATATGCGGTTACACAATAAATTCTTTAAATGCATACATACATATATATATATAATTAATAAATGGAGTACTAAAAATAAGAATGGCAATTGTTCATGGTAAAAAGTGAAAAAAAAAACCAACAAATAAGAGAGTGAATTAATGGAGAAATGAACGAACCAATGTATCAATAAATTACTGAAAAAAAATTATCGGATGAATGACTTTCAAATGATTTTCCTTTGCTGAAATAAAATCCATTACCTTCCTCCTTTGAAAAATACAATATTCCCGTTTTCATTGCGAAAAGCTGCATCCAATGGACATTGAACATCACTCCAGAAGTCTGTGATTTTGTAAGGATCACTTTTCTCTAATGAGTTGTTAACTGTCCAAAACTGATCTCCTGAAAAGAAATACGTCAATTTGTCACCACTAAACACAGCGTCATAGCGAGTTCCTGGTAAGCATGCAGGGTGTTGAGGTTGTTTTGTGGTAATTGGTATTTCTGTGGTACTTGTGGATCCTGTAGTTATTGGCAACTCTGTGGTAGTAGGTAGCTCTGAAGTAACTAGTGGCTCGGTGGTAGTTGGCTGTTCTGTTGTTGTTGGTATCTCTGTGGAGGTTGGTGATTCCGTTGTAGATGGTGATTCTGTGGTGGTTGGCGTTTGCGTTGTGGCCACTATTGGAGCTGATTAACAAGAAATGGCGGTTACTAATCTTCTATTTCCCTTTTTCACTTTTCATTTCAAACATAAAAGTTCATTGTAGAATTCTTATGAAAAAAAAATCACATCAACAAAACAATAAATAAAGAAAACTTACCTCCATACAATTCCTGAATACCCAAAACATCGTCTCTGTTGAGCTGAATATCCGGGACATAACCCGTGTAAAATGGATACATAATAGCTTCCCGTACGTCTGAATGAGCCAGACCCAGACTGTGCCCAAACTCGTGAACAGCTACCCAGTCGAGGTTGATGCCTCGAGGTGTCCCTGTGGTGAAGACTTCATCGTCATCAAAGTGCGCGTCACCAGATAGACCTTAATGTAAGAAGTAGTGTCATCAGAAAACTGCAGCACATTGGGACTGTTTTACAGCACTCATAAATTAATTGACTGGAATTAACAGCAACATAGTTTGGAAAATTCATATTAGTGAAGTAGCAAGAGCTACACAAGACATTTCCGTCACAACAATCTCTTTAAGTCCTCATGACCTCAACGTACTTCTTAAAAATCGGCCATTATTTATCTCTCAGGGGTCGGTGGATTTTTGTTGTCACTTTAACATTTACCTGATCCTCCAAAGGCTCTGCACTACTATAATGATCCCTCCCCCCATCAGTAGTCAATTTTCTATACCCCCACCCATTTATAGTCAGTTAGCGACGACTGACCCCACCTCCGTTCTCCGTGAAAACTATGTGATCCCTAAAATTCTCCTTACCCCACCCACGTGATAGATAGTGACCTGTCCTTTATATCTATCAAACTGCTCAAAAGTGTCCTCACATTACTATCGTGCAAAAAGATCAAAGCGAAATGTCCACAAAATCTCCGAACTAACTCAGAAATAGTCTTTCGACTGCTGCAAATTTTAAACCCTCTGATTAAACCTATTCACGTCTAAATTAATCACTTTTCTACTTTTACACATTCTCCCCCCCCCTGGAATGCACCTGACCTCGATTGTTGGATGGGAAGAATGCATGAGCCAGTGTCCCCCCAGGTCCGTCAAATGGGAATCCGTCGCCATGATCCCTGATGTCGTAACTTATAATGATGTCCGCATCATCCGATTTCGGTACCTCTGTGAATCGTAATGTTGAAGCAGATTGCCACAAGTCTAAAGCTTTACGGAATATCTGTCTCTGTGTCTCTGGAGGTATTGGGTCGTTTGCGAAATTGTCGATTCTATAGGTCAGATCCTACAACGATAACAAGCAAGAAAAGATAAGAAACGATTCATTATTAAATCCTGAATTATTCAATTGTTCGATTTACGCACGGGGAATGCCTCTTATAATGGACTCTAAATTCTCGAGAACCCATGTATCAAATACTGTATCAAATACTGTATCAAATACTGTATCAAATACTGTATCAAATACTGTATCAAATACTGTATCAAATACTGTATCAAATACTGTATCAAATACTGTATCAAATACTGTATCAAATACTGTATCAAATACTGTATCAAATACTGTATCAAATACTGTATCAAATACTGTATCAAATACTGTATCAAATACTGTATCAAATACTGTATCAAATACTGTATCAAATACTGTATCAAATACTGTATCAAATACTGTTTGAAAAAGATGTTGCTTGAAATTACCAGAAATGATTGAGATGTAACATCTCCTCGTGATATCCATTGGGCAACAATTGGGCTAGTAATAGGAAGAAGCTAACTCATGAGGTAAGACGTGTTATTTAGATGTGGTGCCAATTCTCCTTTACTCCAAGATAATATATATTAAATCAGAAAGATACCAATCCATACTATACCAGATTATTAAGTAGGAAGAACAATTTACATTTTTTTTGCCAATAAACAAGCTTTTGAAATCTGCATCAGTGGTGAATGCGGCTGACGGTTTTGCTTTCAATGGTAAGAATATCACAAATATGCTGTATTGATTATATAGAAAGGTTACCTAAAAAATATCTGATATTGCTTGAGTTTGTTAAACGAGACACACCAGTGCTATTAATCATGTGCAGCTCGAAAATTTGTTTCTCGTTTAAGTTAGTTGCCCGGAAATTGGAAAGTATGGGCTATGAGCATTTCACAAGCAATCACTCCTCATTCATTATTTATATATTGATTTTTTTTTCATCTATATATATATATATTTATCCTTATGGAATTTACATCACAAGATTGGTTTCATCTCGCCCGTTTACATGACCAGCCATGAAATACCCTTCATGTAATATTACCTTCTTTCTCCAAATGCTTCCCTGCAAATTGAATTCTCCCACATTTCTTTTAGTTCTTCCTGTTAGGTCTGGGTCCTGCACTCCACATCTTGACTTGTTGAGTAACTTCATTGTTTCTGTATCGATATTTCCTGTCATTGGAACATGTCCAAATCGTTGGAGCCTCATCATTGCTTTTTTAAACATGGGAGAATTTTCATCTTTTACCAAGGCCATTTCACTTGAATTGAGGTAGCCATACTTATTCATGTATTTCTTTACCTAAAAAGAAAAAGACACATTTGGTTAGAGCGCAAATCTGAATTTAATAAAAAGCGTGTAAAGAATCAAGTGGTTTATGTTTCGCGAGATTTTTCTCGTTGAAGTTCAAACTATTGCACTGCCGAAACTTTGTGATACTCTATCTAAGCTACATTTATTTTGGACGACAGCCGAAAAAGAATTTTTAGGCGCCTCGTTCGCAAGTTCCACTTCGATTACTGTTATTGACTCAATAATTTATCTTTCACCCTTTCAGACTACATGTATTATGAATATTGTAATATCAGGTAGCCGACCATTCAAATAAAACACTCAGTATTTATGTTCCCTTCAATTTTGATATCTCTACATTTCGTTTCTTGATGGTCGGGCACGCTGGCCTCTTACAGCTCACAATTATATGAGGTTAAGAAATCTTCTCAAAATTCAGTTGTATACATGTTCCTTCCTTCTTACCCAATTCATCATATTCTTCTTTCCACGACCTCGCTGTCGACGGATGGGGCGGTTTAGGACGCAACTCACAAGAGCGAGAATTACTACCAAGACTAAAAAGTTCTTCATCTCGAACATAGACGAATCTAAGCAACTCGTCCGTACACAGCTTTGTCTCCTTTCGATTGCATCGCCAAAGTGAGCTCGGACAGGTTTTATAGAAAACTAAGTACGGTAGCGGCGTGGGTGTCTGACACACACCTTTTCACGTAGTTCGGCCTCACCGCTCATATTGATTTCATGACCTTTCCTTACCAAGTTCATGGATGATCACGCGCCGAACTGCCAATATCGAAAGGGGAGGGGGGGGGGGAAGGATGGGGCTTAAAATTACATTATGTCATTTAAAACTGGAATGATTTCAAGAATTTCAATTCATCCTGTACATTAGATTATATTTACATGTAGTCTTTTTTAGTAATAAAGACATTATTAGTCTAAAACAGCAGATCGATCGTAGTTGTTTGTCCTGTTTGGTTCCGAAAAAGGCTGTGATTTTAAGACATGATCTTAAGCTGCAGCCAGTGTGCACGTTAACAAGAGAGTCACACGAGTTCAAAGAGTAACTGAATCGAAACTGTTGGCATGGTACAAAGAAAATATCCCTGCCCCCTCCCCTACACTACCCCCCCCCGGACGATTCAAACCACACTGAGACATTACGATTCCGTGTTGGAATGCTCCACAAAATACGACACAGAGAATTCACGAATGTGTTAGGTTTTGTACTTTTAATTTGTACCAGATTTATACATGCAAATAGGAGCAAGCGCAGGGAGTGGACAGTATTCAACAAGGGCAAATGCAAAGATTTCGCTTTCTTGGCAGGTTTCCCCTATTTTTTGGTTGTCAATCGCCTTACATTACAGACCTGCGTGATTAAATATCCTTCCGGTTTTTCCTAAGTATGAAGTCGATTGACGTTCGTGAATAGATATTGCTAGAATATTTCAATTTTTTCTGCTGTGTCATCGACACGTAGGTTAGATTATTTCTAAAATAAAATATTCTGCCTCGCACAGCTGTAAGTGTCCCGGCGGAAACGACAACTTTTCTTCCCTAACCATATCCCAACTTCGGATTTTGTACATGTACAAATATGGAGTTTGTTTGTTTTGTTCTTTTCGTTTGTCAAGATGCCGAGATGACCATGATTGCCCACTCAAGAGGCGTGAGAAGCAAACAATATCCCCACGTGAGAGACTTAATTGCATTTTTAAATATTCTTTGGTCGCATCATCATCCCTCTTGATTCGATTGACAGCCCAAACAAAGGGAAGAAAATTCTGCCTCACCCTGTCTCGTCTTGTTGTTACCAGCCTTGTTGAGACATCACTACATAATCTTGCAAACAGGTGAGGAGAAGAGACAGTGTTATGAACTTTATGGTGTCATCTGGATGTAACGCCAATTTCTCTTCCCTGGTTTACAACGAATTAAATGTAATACATGCAAAATAATACAGGATGAAGACTTACTAATCAGTTATTGGGAATTAAATAGTTAAACCATTAATTGCACAACCGCCAACACTAAAATCATTCACTCTTAAGTCTTAATGTTTGTTTTCTTTGATTTTTCAAGGATTCTTATGATACAACTCAACGGCTGAGAGATACAATTGACCCTTGTCTGAGATTAATTGTTATACCGATGACATAAAGTCGATTAAGCCAAACAGAAATGATGGAGATCAAAAATAAATCGATAAATAAATAAATGAATGAGCAAAAAAAGAGGGATCGGAAGCTAATGATTTTATCTAGCAGCAAACGTGTTTGAGCACCAGACTTGCCCGATCTCTGAAAGGGAAATGAAACAATATTTGCAATGCTCGAGATTATGGGCAGTATAAATAGTTTATCACATAACAAGCCATTGATCTAATTTCCTTGAGCACTTAGAACTTATATGAATTAAATTGATCAGAGACTAAGAAAACTAACGAGGCAACTGGTTTCAAAAGGAGCAGTTGCGTTGCGCCAAATAAAACATTTAGGTGGTTTTTGGTTACGGCGGCTGAAACCACCGTAAACGAACTTTGAAAATCCGACGAGTCGATCGAATGTTAGCCCCTTGTCAGAGGATGTTGGTAAATATAAGCTAAACGACACTTCGGGTTAACTTTGTGGCAAGTCTTATCGCTGACTAATGGTATATCAGTTGTATATTTATAGAACTATAACATCATCGCGTTATAATTAAAATTTTTTTATTCCTTTAAAATGGCAACATCAATAATACGAGCAGTATGACTACACTGGTTGATTCTCGAACCTTCGTGAATAAGAACTCTTTTTATCCTACTGGTGAAAGACTTCAAACGCCAGCATTGATTTTAAATTGCACTTACTTTAATATACCTGATACAAATTTTTGGGATTCTAACAGTTTGGAACAAATTGACTGTTCGATTAAGCCTGTCTGATGACAAGTGTCTGTAATTGGACAGATCAAAGCAGACAGTCTTGGCCTGAAACAGTCAATAAAGCCACAAAAAAAGGCCGGTCGAGAATCATTCATATTCAAGTATATTGTTGTTGACACAATAACTAAAAAGATTGCAATGGGAATAACAACATTTTTTTAACTGATACAATGAACTTATCGGAGCATGGAAAGAAAGATATAAAGTACAAGATAGTGTTGCGCGATGACATTCACGGATCGTTGGAACTCGAGGGTCCAGATGCCAATGCTCCAATGCTAAATCCTGTAGTGGATCTGCACTTCATCCACCTACGAGCTGTGTTCCTCCGTCTTCCGTCCAGAAGAAGTTTCCCTTTCTTTAGCCTGAGGTACTGACTCCCCAGAAACACATAGGATTTTCCGTTGAGCCACGTTACCGCAGTGTCAATATGATCAGGAAATTTCCAAGCGCTTCGGATCTTTCTAGGATACGGATTTCTTGAAGGTCCTCGGACTGTGCGTCGGGTCCATTCGTTATACCGCCAATATTGTGTTCCTTTGAAGAAGTAGGTGATTTGGTTTTTTTCCCAAATGAAAACTGCGTTCATGTTTGCCAGACTCAAGGGAAGCCCATATCTTTTTATGAGACCGGAAGATTTCAAAATTCTTCGTGAGTCGTATTCCCAAAACCTGCAAAAACGCCAAAAATGTGGGCTCAAACTCATGAGAATGGTACGCGCAGGTCTTCTGGTTCTCGCGGTGTACTCCAAATGGACAGCGTTCGAGCCGTAATATTGTTCTATGTTCCTGGACAGGACACTTTGGTCTCATAGGGGCTATCTTCACCCAGGAGTTTAAATGGTAACAGCAATCTGCCGGGGAAAGCCGATGAAATATATGGGGGAGGGGGAGGGGGAATAGATTATGATGGACCAGCGTCCCATGCAGAGGGAGGGGGGGGGTTGGCCAGGATTGCTTCAAATCATTTGCTATTACGGAAACTGGAATAAGCCGTGGCACAGACTCTACTTGAGTACGACGCTACTTTCCATCACGTAGAAGTTTAAGTTAGCTGAGTGCCTTGGGAAATGACACACAGTTCATACTGTGTAGTTGTGAAACTTTTATAAACGCTATAATTTCGAAAATTTGGCTCTTAATTTGATAACAAGAAATCTTTCAGCAACTATTTCAAAGTCTTGCAAAAAACTACTTTACTTGGTTTACATGGCTGCTCTTTCACTTAAAAACGCAGCAGACAGACGATACTGATCGTTGTTGTCATATCAACATATTCGATCTCGCTCTTAGAAACCATACTCAAGCCTATTGAGGAAAACCAAACATTTTTTCTTAAAATAAATAAAAACCGCCATCTTACTCTGTTCCTTTAAAGAACACGATGTTTCTCCGTTTGTTGCGGTACACGGCATCCACGGGGGTCTTCACCTCCTTCCAGAAAGATTTGATAGTGAATGGACCACTCCTGCGCAGTCTTCTGTCCACGATCCAAAACCAATTTCCCACAAAAAAGTACGTCATCCGCCGCCTGGGATCTAAAGAGACTGCGTCATAACGGACGGAACTATCGCAAAGATCTGGTTGAGTGGGGCGAGAAGTAACGGTACGAGGGCGGAGAGTTATCCGCGGACGCTGGGTAGTTGTGGCTTTTGTTGTGGCTTTATTTGTGGTCCTTAAGATTGGTGCTGTTGTTGGCTCTGAAATGTTTTTGAAAATAAAAACAAATGTCTTCTTGCTGTTCAATTTCCTAAAATCGTAGTCAACTATTCAACGTAGCGTGCAGTAAATATTCTTTGGTTTTCAATGCGCTTTACCACATTTGGCAGTAAAGTCGCAATCTGACTGGCCAATTTGCCGATGTCGATAACAGTCTAAACAACGCTGCTCGCGTCAACGTGTCACACGATGAACATGCATTGAAAGGATCGTTTTATTTGATGTCGATGTTGTGGCAAAAAACAAAAATTTTGACTATTGTGATGACGGATTTCGTTGTCGATGAGAGTACAGACCACGCTAAACTACTGTCGATTTGGTAATTTGCCTTGTTCTTATAAGCCATTGCGATCAATTATTAGCCGTTGCGATCAATTTGGCTTTTCTTTACCGACATCCAATCGCAATTGTAAGTCGCACAAGCTTTGATCCCTGAAAACGCACATTATTGCATGCATGCTTCCTTACTTGGATACAAAGCTTGAATTCCTTGTATGTCATCATCGGTCAGTTTAACATCCGCGACATACCCCTTGTACCAGGGGTACATGATTGAGTCTCGCACATTGGAATGTTCCAGACCCAAACTGTGTCCAAACTCGTGAATTGCTACCCAGTCCAAGTTAATGCCGTCGTCTGGTGTCTCTGTGGTGAACTTCTCATCATCGTCAAAATGAGCGTCACCGGATAATCCTGCAACCAATGAGAGTTTGATTTGATTTTTTTACTGAGCAAAAGGAAAAGACTTAAATTGAAGTGATGCATGTGTGATGAGAATTAAGAAAACCATAGTTTTAATAGTAAAATGCACTGTTTGCTAACGAACAGTGCATTTTCAAAAAATTGAATTAATAATCCTTTTTCTATTGATTTCACTTCACCACTTTTAGAATTTTATTTCACTCTTGGTAGAAGTGGTGCCCGAGCACCTTGCTTACACAGCCATGGCTGGGGCGTGAAATTGAAATCTTAGTTAAGACACTTAACCACTTTCACAGTCATCTCCGAGAGCCAGTGGCATGAAATGGATACTAGTAAAGAGGATGAAGATGAATCAACATATCAGCGAGTGGGGATGTTCATGGTCATGAAGTAATGAGGTCCATGGCCATGTCACTTAACCACTCGTTACCCTTTTTGAGGCAAGGACCCACCTTGGTTATCATGGGGATAGAAGGCATGAGCTAATGTCCCCCCTGGTCCATCAAATGGATAGCCGTCCTTGTGATCTCTAGTAACAAAGCTGATAGGGATGTCTGCATAACCATGATACACCTGTCGTATACGCAAATCTGAAGCTGCTTCCCATTTTCTCAGGGCCTCTCGAAAGATCTGCTGCTGTTTATTCCGAGATGGGATATCACTGGTGTAGTTCACGATCTTATAAGTTAGATCCTGGGGAAAAAAATTAATTTGTTAATACTTTCTATTAGTGTAACTCTATAAACTGCTTGATTGCGTAACTGCTATGTAGGTGGCACACAGCGGTCAAACGTCTACGCATATGCGAATGTTGTGATGTCTAGGTGGCGTGTAACCAAGAAGTCTCAATAACCACACTAGCCAGTAGGTTACAGTGTTTTAGAAGCGCATAACTTTTTCGGTAAAGCTTGAAAAACAAGTTGGTAAATCAACATCAAATTTTGGGCGGAAATTGGCGCGCGGGCGGCCAAAATTGGCCCCCTCGCGCATGCCAGACGTTTGATCGCTATGTTTAACATGACTTTCGACCAACATTTAAGGGTTAAAGGTGTAGTTTTTTTTTTCGCAGAGAGAAAGAGTTAATTAATGTGTTTCTACTCTTCCCAAATTCCCGTTTTGTTATTTTTGCCATATCCCTCCTTTTTACATCACTTTGTTCCGCATGCTCTATCACTCATATTTTTGTAGAAACATCTTTTGACGGACACATTACCTAAATGCTTCTCTTGCGTGCTCTGAGACCAGAATCATGTCTTTAATTTTTTCGGAGCGGCCTGAAATAAGATCAGGATTTTAAAACGCGGGTGGTACACCCTTAACAAGAGATCTACCCTGCCGGGTTCGCTGACCCAATCATGTTTCCGAATGCACTTTTGATCGAGGCCGACTTTCTGTGAGTAAAGTTAGGTGCTCAGCTTTTGTTTTTTCTTGATTTGTTATATTCCTTTGCAAGTGAAAAAGACCTACCCTCTTCTTCCAATAAGTTCCCTGTTTCTTGAATTCTCCGATCCCTCTCGAGGAAGGAGGAGGTGGATCTTTCATACCGCATCTTGATGTGCTGATTAACTCGAGGGTTTTCCTGTCAATAATTCCCGTCACAGGAATACCACCAAACCATTGAAGTGTCCTAATCGCCTTTCTGAACACAGGAGAATTTTGATCACCAGCGCCAGCTGTTTCCGTTGGGTTTGAGATGTCGACGTACCCAAATTGAACTAGAAACTGTGATGTCTGAAAATGAAAACATTTCAAAATCCAATTTAACTGTTATCTGTTGGTTGTTATCTCTCGCTAGACATTCATCTGGTGGGAAAAGACTCACTACGCAAGTGACGCACGAGGCACGCGAGATTACGATATCAATCCCACCCACGTCGCACACCTGTGGTTGCGTTGCGCGTGCGCTGACTTCGGGAAGATGATCATTCGTAATGGAAATTCGGGAAAATGCCAAGTGTAAGACTAACTAGGAATATTCGGAGCCATGATACTTTTCTGGAAATTAGGATCGTGACCAACAGCCGTGGAGTGCTACTGCCTGTCGATCCTGCCAATTCAAAAACGATACCACAGACATGAAGATAAGTGGCTGAAAGGGAAGAAAATCCTCCCAGCTGTGTACTGTTATGGTCTGATCTGTCGATCTGAAGCCATTTTCGTTCAAATCAGGATCGGCGTTAGTTAAAAAAGTTTCCATGGTATGCTGCGCATGTATGTATTTAGGTGTCTTAAAAATTCCATCCATAGTTTTTGAAGTGAAACTACAAGGCAGCCCAAGCTCTAGCTGTAAGATGATCACCTTGCGTAGTAAGAGTCATGGTGAAAATATAAGAGTTTGTATGGGAAAATTTACGAACGCTCCTAGGAATTAAAAAAAACAGTCAAACTCTCTATAAAAGTACCTCACCTTACTTCCACAGTGCATCACTTGTTGTCTGACCGCTTACTATGTTGAAAAGAAGCCATTTTAGCGATTTATTAGTTTCTCGATTTCCTAATCCTAGTAAACCTAGAAATGGATAACTCGCTCAAATGGCCTCGTTGCAACAAAGTAAACGGTCAGACAACAAGCGATGCACTTTAGAAGTAAGGTGAGGTATTTTTATTGAGAATTTGACTGTATTTTCAAGTTTTATTCCCAAGAGCGGTCGTAAATATTCCCATACAAACTATTATATTTCGCCATGATTCTTATTACGCAGGATCATCATCTCATCATCAATCAACTCCTTTTCGCCACATAGTTGATGATTGAAACATCAACAAACGAGTGTCATATTTCTTAGCGGTTGCGAAATCAGCTATTCATTATAATACTCTTCTGAGATCTGACTTCGTCCTTCTAATTGAAGCGATGTGATAAAGAAATTATTTAAAATTAAGCCAAAATCATCAGAAAAAGTATCTTTCCGAGAAAAAATGGGAAAAACGACAAATTCCTTTCTAATAGTCATCAGTGCGTTCATGTTTGCCGGGTTCATGTGAGTTCCACAGTGACCTCAAGAGTGACGCAGACTCACCGACAGATTTGGTAATGACCACAAAAACATTCGGTTATCAAATCATCAGAAAATTATAATCTTGCCGCAGCGACGCAAGCGTAATGACAGATGTGATGTAATTGATGCCACAGATGCAAATATGAACGTCAACACACTGACGGCGATTGACTAATTAATTCATTGTCATTATCTGATGAGGCGCACCTTCAGCTGGCATCTTCCTCGATCTAAAATGACAAAATAAGCTTTTGCTGGAACTGAGTATTCGTCTCCTTTTAGTATGGAGTTTTATTTTTTCGCTTCCAATAAATTGACGGAAAGCCTGATCTCTGGTAAATTTTAACTGTTTAGAAACTGTTTGACAAGCCAAGCATCTCAACAGTTTATCTATTACAGGATGATAAGTTCAAAATCAAGGGACATTCATGAATGTGGATTCAACTCATATCGAAAAATGACAGAACAAGCCCTCTGACAAACCGGATTATCGATGTGCATCTATTATAGGAACGAACATTTCAAATTTACATGCCAATTTATTATACAAAATCAAGTCCAAATTTGGAGACCAGAGCGTGCACCTACCTGCCCGCAAAGCACCTTCCTTTCTCCTCCCTCCCCCCCTCCCCCCTTTTCCCTGTCTCGAAATCTCATGTCGCTCCACTCGTAAGCTAATGTTCTCAGGTTCTTCTTTACATAATCTCAATTAAACACAAAAATCAAGACAAGAAATAGGCATCGAGTTTGTTCCAAGGATACCCTTGAGTTCGTTGTGCGGACAAAAGACGAATGAGGCCTCTTCTTTCTTACCTTCTTCAAGTCCTTCCTGTTCACTACAGGAACACTGTATACAATACTCACAAAGTAAGCTATTAACATCAACAACTGTCTTGAACGTTGACTTCGCATGTTGGCACCAGCTTCAGAAGATATGTTGAAGTTTACAGAGGAGATGAGTCTGTTGAAATGGTTCGAAACAGCAAACTATACTATTCTGTGAAATATAATCTGTGTCTGGTTGTTTAAAAAGCATAAGCCAGTGGTGACGTAAATGAAATTGGCAGCCCGTTGAGTATGGATTGATTTCTGGGGATGACCCTGTCATCACTTGACGAAAACATTGCTTTGATTGAAAATATGATGAAAAATGAAACTGCTCAGCAAGCGCAGGTGGCCCAAGCTCACGTCTCGAGAAAAAGCCAACGATTAATTCATGAACGCGTCACGCGTTATGTGACTCGGTGTTAAGTTACGAGAGGAACCGTTGAAAATTTGAACAAGTTTTAAGGAATAGTATGGGGAACGGAATATGATCGACTTACAACGATAATTGTTTCGAAATATGAATATTTTACACGTAGAATCAATAACACCTACCAACATCATGTGTTTCCGTTGTAGTTTCTGGCGATTTCTTCCGTTTTAGGCTTGCTTTACCATCACCGTTATTCCCGCCAATAGAAGAAGTCGCGGCTGCACACTCCGATTTCGACCGTTGTCCACGCGGAGGTGATTTGCGCACCGAAAATCCTCCCGATCGGCATTTTCTCAGCCATATTTTACGATCCAAGATCATTGCACCCTGGGACATGTCTCAATACCAAAACTCCCCGCGCATTTCGCTGGAAACGAGCGTTTTCTTCCTGAATTTCCAAGCTCGCTTCTTTCTGGTTATGCTTTGAACAAGCAAACTGGACACGGCCGCGGGAAAAACTTGGGTACGAGGTCAATTTTCTCTCTACCGTCAGTAGTAGGGGCGATCAATGTGCCATACTTACCCCATCCCCACAGAGACACCAGGCGATATGGCTGAGAAAAATGCTGAGAAAAATGCCGATTGGGACGATTTTCGGCGCGCAAACCACCTCCGTGTGGACAATGGTCGAAATCGGAGTGTGCGGCCTTGACTCCGTTCGCGCAAAGTGATTGGCGGAGAGGCCGTGAGCTCGAGGGGCTTAAGAGGCTGTCTCTCTTATTTCCACCCGGTCAATTTTGCGTCAAAAATAATTTTGCCTGAAACTCTGTTAACAGAAAGACTTTACTTAGGAAAGAACTAAATTAGATTTGGTTTGATTCGAAATAATTTTCTGATTGCATTACAGGCCATAATTATTTCCCAGTCCGTAGGGACCGTCGCAACGTCTCGAAAATTGAAAAATAGGCATATTTTGTAACGTTGTAAAATATTTGATTCGCGTAGTTAAGCCACAGAATTTATATCAGATTGCTTAAAAACCTTTCTAGTTTGCCAAGAAAGTTAGAATTTGCCCTCTCAACATATTTGAAAAGGCGAATTTTAGCATATTCTGACCACTAGAAATCGCCATCAGCCGATGGCCGTAAATAACCTTGATTTAGACGCCAAGTTTTGGGATTTGGGACCTGGTTGACGATTCTAGCCTACGCAGCCGTTAAGTTTAGACCTTTATAGGCAAAAATATGCAAAAACCCCTGTATGTTTTCGATTTTTCAAAAGTTATGACCGTTTGAATCAGCACATGTACGAGCATTCGCGATTTTTTCGCCTACACCAAAATCGAACCACTGTAGCAGATTTCGTCATAAATACAGCTTATCCGCTTTGCAGCCCGGCTTCATGGCTCACTTCAAAATTTTTCTAATAACCAAATTGGTGAAATCCATGATAACTTCAACAAATAGCTATCCATCGTGATTCGTGGTATCAAAACAAATGTCGGAATTGGCCACATTTCGCGGTGAATCACCCATTTAACATCGCTGCAGAGCTGAATTTTTTCCAAAATTAGAATATAAACTCTCCATGTCTGGAAGCTGAGGGAGAAATGAAGGTTTTAGGCTTCTGAAGTGAAGAAATAATCGCTTAAATTTAGATCAAGTTCGATGTTATACTGTTCTCACAAAGGTCCGCACAAAAGAGAAGACCGCTGATAGCTTGTGCCGTACGTTGTGCCATATGGTTTTGTTTTGCATCCCAATGTAATATTTGGGCAGAAAAATTTTGGATGAAAAGAATAAATGCTTTTACCTGGAGTTTGATATCATATAATTAATAAATCAATTTCAAATATCCTGAGCTCGCTTCTCTCGGTACCGCGTCGATTGTGTTCACAGAACAGCAACCTGTCAATAGCCGGAGAAATCTGCTACCAACGTGTTAAAAACCTGACACATGCTTCGTATGAACAGATGTTATAAGTGTTGCTTTTGGTAAATTTTCAATCGATTTCATCAAAACATTTCACTGACTACTAGATATTATAATATATTACACTATAACAACGCCGTCAGAACTTGATATCGGAAGTAAAGGTAGTTTGTATCTGTAAAGAATATTCTACACTTTCAGCCACTGTATAAGACATTGTTTACATAAGTCTACTGAGAAACACACTGACAATCACTAATCACGTCCGACAGTTTGTCTATGAGGATCTGTTTTTTGTCTCTCAATTTTACAGATGGCTCTCAACAAAACCACATTGAATTTGTGAAGTGTGTTATTGTGGTAACGTTCACAGAGGTCCTACGTATCGTAGCAGATTGGATGTGAGAATTTGATCTCTTTGTTAACTTTGTCTACCAGATCTTATCTCTCGGAATTTTCCTGGACGCATTGGATATCTTCCTCCTCATCCAGTGATATCCCGATCACACCCTGATCTTTTCGCCGCGTTGCTGCTAGCCGGAAGAAAAAGCTCTGAACTTGGCTCTTTGTCAGCCACTGTTCTCTAGTGAACAAACGTGCATTTGATTCATTTTCCGCATTTCGCATGTCCACTGCAATTTGGGCGGGGTCGGCCTTTCGCCCAGTTCTTTCTCCAAGTGTAAACCGTGCCGTTAGGTATTCTTTTACCTTCTCTGAAAATCTAACGCTGCCCCTTGGTTTGCTTACGGCCCATCCTGTTCGTAAAGACAAGTGGGGCGAAGTATCCACGGGAGCAGTGAGTGGTGTACTAGAATCTAACGAACAGCTCGAACACTCGATACCAGCGGTATCTATCGACGAGAACTTAAGGGCCCAGTCCCTTGCATCATACTGGCTTTAACCTGCTGACTGTATGCTTTCCAACGTCCAGGTGCAGCTCCAGTTGCGAAAAGGTTTCGAACACTTCAACACATCCAAACACAGAGCATTCAAACAATGGCGTTGTACTCTCTGTTTCCTTGCTGCCCTTTGAACGACGCTTGACCACACGCTTTTCAGGAGAATCATAAAACCCTTGAGATTCTATGGTTTGAAGGGACGTTTGACCTTGGTGCTTGATATAAATTACGTCATATGGAATGTACTTCCCTTTACCAATGCCATAACATTTCCAAACTCTCAGACCGATATCTCCATATTCGAAGTTGTGGAAGCTACTAAAATGCTCAATCTTATTTATACAGAGAGTGTTCTTTGATTCGTCTACTATTCTTACTGCAGCTGTTGTTCCCTTCACTGGGTGTTTCGTCAATGCGTATCCTCTGTCCAATGAAAGCTTTAACAACCTCGCTGAAGACTCACTACAGACTGAAGCCTCTCTGGTTTCGAAAAAGCATTTGCATGCCATACTACACTTGCAGGCCTTCCAAAAAAATTAAAGGGTTAGCGGCTTCACCTGCAATGATTAATGCGGACCTCTGTTATGCGCGATAGTGCAATCGTTCAGCTTTAAATTCCAAAACGCCAAACTTCGACACATAGACTTACAAGTGGAGTTCTATGACTGATTCTTGAAGAGAATGCAGCTGCAATCCAAAGTTTCAACGGAACATTAAGCGCGAAACATGGCTTTAGTTTTCGAGTTTAGTTCGCAAAAACGAGTCAAAGAAGAGTATCGACAGATGCCGACCGCTGAATTTTGGAGGTATTTGCTGGAGTTATCATAAAGTCCAGTTCACCAGTTTGGGAAGCGAGGAATATCTGAAATTTCACATAAACCCATGATTTCTCCGGTTGTTTCTCAGGTTGCTGTTCTGTGTACACAATCGACGCGGAACCGAGAGAAGCAAGCTCAGGATATTTGAAATTGATTTATTAATTATATGATATCAAACTCCAGGTAAAAGCATTTATTCTTTTCATCCAAAATTTTTCTGCCCAAATATTACTTACATTGGGATGCAAAACAAAACCATATGGCACAACGTACGGCACAAGCTATCAGCGGTCTTCTCTTTTATGCGGACCTTTGTGAGAACAGTATAACATCGAACTGGATCTAAATTTAAGCGATTATTTCTTCACTTCAGAAGCCTAAAACCTTCATTTCTCCCTCAGCTTCCAGACATGTAGAGTTTATATTCTGATTTTGGAAAAAATTCAGCTCTGCAGCGATGTTAAATGGGTGATTCACCGCGAAATGTGGCCAATTCCGACATTTGTTTTGATACCACGAATCACGATGGATGCCGCCTACTTTTCGAAGGCAATACCTAGCTATTTGTTGAAGTTATCATGGATTTCACCAATTTGGTTATTAGAAAAATTCTGAAGTGAGCCATGAAGCCGGGCTGCAAAGCGGGTAAGCTGTATTTATGACGAAATCTGCTACAGTGGTTCGATTTTGGTGTAGGCGAAAAAATCGCGAATGCTCGTACATGTGCTGATTCAAACGGTCATAACTTTTGAAAAATCGAAAACGTACAGGGGTTTTTGCATATTTGTGCCTATAAAGGTCTAAACTTAACGGCTGTGTAGGATAGAATCGTCAACCAGGTCCCAAAACCCAAAACTTGGCGTCTAAATCAAGGTTATTTACGGCCATCGGCTGATGGCGATTTCTAGTGGTCAGAATATGCTAAAATTCGCCTTTTCAAATATGTTGAGAGGGCAAATTCTAACTTTCTTGGCAAACTAGAAAGGTTTTTAAGCAATCTGATATAAATTCTTTGGCTTAACTATGCGAATCAAATATTTTACAACGTTACAAAATATGCCTATTTTTCAATTTTCGAGACGTTGCGACGGTCCCTACGGACTGGGAAATAATTATGGCCCGTAATGCAGTCAGAAAAGTTCTTTCCTAGGTAAAGTCTTTCTGTTAACAGAGTTTCAGGCAAAATTATTTTTGACGCAAAATTGACCGGGTGGAAATAAGAGAGACAGCCTCTTAAGAACGATGACTCTGAATGACAAGTTTGAAAAACATTAATGGTGCATTTCAAGTGAGGAGTATGAGATGATCGAGTACCCTTTCGGTCAAAAAGCGGCAGGTTAAGGGTTTCGAATTCAGGGCAAAGCTTCTCCGAGCCTTGAGGGAGAATGATGCCAAGTTCTTTTGATTTCGCTTCCCCTTAACGTCCAACTTCTATCTCATGAGTTCGTTTTGTTTTTGAGGTCGAGATACAAAAGCAAATGGCCAGTTACGTGATCTGTTCTTTCATTTTTTACACTCCAACAACGCAAGTCAAAAGTAAAATTTGAAATATTCAATGTCAGGTGCCCATCACTTAAGTAATGGGCTCCTGTCAATACCAATAATTTTATTTGAAATACGTTCCTATTGGAATGTTTTACACAGTTAATACAAATGATACAAAAATAAATAAAAATTCCTGTGATCTGATTTTTTTCGCTGAATAAAGTATTGTCAACTGTTTTGGTTAAAAATTTTGTCAAATAATACGATTTAGCATAAGTTCTGGTTTCTATTCATAGAAGGACAGTTTATCCTATGTCATTGTTCATTACAAAGAAAACCTTGATATATACAAATTGAACCAATTTAATATTTGAAGGAATTCTCTAAATAACAGTTCACTGACGTTATAGTATAGCAAAGTTTTTTTCTTCCTGATTCAGTGTTCTTTAGTGTTAGCGTTTGCGAGGGAGTGCTCAATTCAAATCAAGGCTGTTCGTTGGCAGAACCAATGATTATGCCTCCGACATTTGTATTACATTTCATCCACTGTTCAGCAATTCGTTTCGGGTATCCAACATCAATTTTCGTTGTATCTTTCTTCAGCCTCCAATATAGGTCTCCTTTAAAGATGTAACTCTTATCATTTAGCCAAGAAACTGCAGCACTGATGTCACTGGGGAAATTTTCATCCCAGGCTTGTTTGATATTTCGTGGATATCCTGAGTCGAACTTCTTTGCACCTTTACTGTATCTCCAGTATTTTGAGCCCTTGAATACGTATGTTCTCCTATTTCTTTGCCAAACGAACATTGCGTCCATGTTTTCGGCTTCTTTGGAATTAAAATATTGGTTAAGATCACCAAACGACTGCAGCTGTCTATTCTTGTTGTATTCCCAAAATCTACAAGAGAACAAACAAAACATTACTTATAAAAAAAATAAAATGGAAAATTCACGCCATGTCATCACGGTTGAAGTTGAAATACATCACCAAGATAATACTGAGCGCTCGCCCGCCAAAATTACGCCTGCTATGCAGCCTATGACCAAATTAATTTTCTGCACAGATTAATTGACGGAGTTTTCTTGACCTCTTCAATCTCATTTTCGGAACACTAGGCTTCAAAACCGATACCAGTAATTTTCTTTATTGCTACTGGTCTTCGTGTTCTGATAATTCCTTTGGTCAAAATGTTAACAGAGGAGAATATCTACCATATCAAACATGATATCGTAAACATATCAACCATTAAATAAAACTCACTTGTTTCCTTTAAAGAAAACGAGGGTTTTCTTTAATTTATCCTGATAAACGGCGTCTACTGGGGTCTCTACTTCAGGCCAGACGTCTCTAACTTTCTGGGCTTTAGCTGGCTTAACCAAACGTGTTCCGGTATGCGTCCAGAAGTAGTTTCCATTAAAAAAATGCGTCAATCTATCGCCCCGGTGGTTTTCTTCGACCGCAACAGCATCATACTTGGTTACCAAGCACACATCGGGCTCGGATGTGTCGGGATCAGTTGGGGTTGGTGATGGGGTTGGTGATGGCGTTGGTTTGGTTGATGGTGTATTCGGATCACTTGATGTAGGAGATTGAGTTTTTTTACTTGTGGGCTTGACAGTGGTTGAAGGCGTGGATGGTTCTATTGAGACAGAGAAGTAAATGTGCAGTCAGTTTATTTGAGACTGCTTCAAAGGGTATTTAACTTTTCATCCCTACGATGGGGTTTCATAGTTTTCAATTGATAGCAAACATGTCTTGAACGCGAGGACACGGAGAGCGTAAACATAGGGTTGAGCCATTCGCATGCGAAAATCATCGCACACTTGTAAAGCGAGGCTCAAATAAGCAACCATTGGTTGGGAGTCTTCCCCTTTTTTGAGCTTCTTCTTTTCACAATACCCTTATTAGAAATTTTATTTTACGCGGATTAAATCTTTCCTTCAATTTACCACTTCTTCATCTTCTTCTTCTTCATGCGGAATAACTCCTCTGAATGCGATCAAAACCGATTCGCTTCCCGAATTCATCCGTTCAAAAATGAAAACTGTAGGAGGTAACGAAAATATAAAACTACTTACTTCCGTAAATCTGCTGTATTCCCAGGATGTCATCCTCAGTAAGCTCGATGTTTGGGAAATACCCCTTGTACCACGGGTACATAACGGCTTCACGCACATTGGAATGCTCCAGACCCAAACTATGTCCAAACTCGTGAAGCGCCACCCAGTCCAGGTTAATGCCGCTTGGTTCTCCTGTGGTGTACCTCTCATCGTCATCAAAATGAGCATCACCGGACAAACCTAGAAAGAGTAATCATCTAAGTTAAATCAAATGATAATAATCGCGATTACAAAACAAGGTTATCTTAACACAAGAATTGCAATAATAACAACAATGACAATAAAAGTGGTCATGATGATGAATTTGATGATGAAAGCAATTGGAACTGTAAAAATGATAACCCTAAGAAAGCTTCATAAATAAAGATTGGTTTAATCTATATGTAGCTGTCAAATATATTTTAAAAAGAGAAAAAAAACAAAACAAAACAAGAATGATTTTGCGCTCAATTGTGGATAATTTGTTTTATTTTTGTTCCGTTTGAGACTTTTACTATTCATCATTGCCAGAAACTGTTATCTTTGTTTTTGTTTCCATAGAAACCAACCTTTATTATTGTGTGGATAATAAGCATGAGCGAGCGTTCCTCCTTGACCGTCGAATGGATAAGGGTCGCCATGATAACGTCTAACAAAGCTAATCAAGATGTCAACGTCTTTGTCATCAACTGCAGGGTCTGCCTCAGTGATGGTCAACGAGCTCACGGCAGCCCATTTTTGGATCATTGTCCGAATAATATTTCTTTGGGTGTCTAGAGGAAGATCATGTGTACGCCACCTGGTAAAGCGGTACGTCAAATGCTGTAATAGAATTAGAAAATGCGAGGTCACTCTTGGTTTATCAATGCTTTACTTTGATCCACAACGGTCAATCAGATCAGAGGAAAATAACGCAAGGTGCCAATGAGCGCACTGCACCAAGTAAAAATAAGTGAACTTGCAAAACCGCGAAAAAACGTGGGTGCCCAAGTGGTGATCGGTTTTGGTTTTGCATCTGATTAGGTTTGTAGTTTGGGTTCAGTTCTTTCGATCCTCGATCTGAATTGCTTTTGCTACAACAACAGAAAAAAAAACTGATCACTAAGGAGAATTGACTTCCATTGTCCCGAATATTGGTAAATGACCAACAGACTCTTTCTTTTATTTCACACTTCCTCGACTGAAGTAAACCTCTTGAAAAAAGCCATCATTGCTTCTCTCAGGTGAGTAAAGTGTTACTTTAGCTATTTCTGATTTTGCAATCTCGCCAAAAAAGAACAATCTTGTAGTCTCCGATCCATGAGATAAAAGGAAAGGATCCCTAACCATTCTGACCAAAATAAACAATATACCTTCTTGTTCCATCTGGTGCCTTGAATATAGTACCTTCCAATTTCTTTCTGACCATCTCCAGTTTTGTTGAGCTTTTTAATGGGATCCTTAGTGCCACATCTGGATGTATTCATCAGTTTTATCGTCTCTGCGTTGAGTTGTCCGGTGACAGGAAGGTCGCCCATCCTTTGAACATTTCTTATTGCTTCAGAGAGGACATCATGATACGCTGAAGAGTCGTTAGGTCTCGTCTCTGTATTCAGGTATTCATAGCCTTTCAGAAAACGAACAGCCTGCAAGAGAAAATTGAGTTGGATAAACCTTTAAATTGCAGTTTACCTGCTTGGATCAATAGATCATGCACGATCTACTCCATGACGGCTGCAAAACGTTTATTGGTTAACGGCTTTAACTCCCAAGAGTGACCAAGACAGAATTTCTCCCTACAATATCAATACAGTATCAACCAGACAAGTGATGAGAATGAAGAAAAATGTCAATTTGGGGATAATTTGTTGATCCAATACTAAATTCTCTGACCTAACATTATAAGAATTGTATGGTTGACAGTAAGGAGAATGACAAATTTGATCTGGAAGTTAAAGGGTTAATGAGATAACATCATGTCACATCTTGCATATGGAAGGAGAAAGCCACTGGAAAATTTCTTTCATTTCAATTCCAGAGAATCGTTTCCTGAATCTTAAAACTTTTCAGGCCTATAAATAAGATCAACTGTCTTTTGCTTTAAAGCATGTGGTGTCAAACAAGAGATAATAGATTGTAATTATCATAGTCACTTGTTTCGGGTTACTGACACAACCGTCATGTCGTTTGACCGAACCGTTCGGGGAACGTATGCAGAACCATAGAGTTAATGCGTATTCTAACGTCTCTACAAGAGATCTTTAGATAGCTCACTAACTGAATACAAGGCCGTGGCAACGAGGCTAAACCATCCCGGTTCGAGGTCAGAAGCACGTTGTTGGTAGCAGTACAAAAATCTTGAAGTATCACTCAGTGAAACTCAATATCACTCACCAATTTTTTCTCCTCCGGAGTCCCGTCAAGTACGTTTCCACCCGAAGTAGGTATGGGTGCGCAGTAGGCGCAGTTAAAAAGCCAAGCAAAAGCTGCCACGGCAGCAATTGTAACCAAGAGACCCTTCATTACAAAGTTAGATATCGTATACCTCGAGATGTTTGCTGCAACGTGAAATTCAGTCAAAGAGCAGTCAATATGGTTCATCCACTGTGAGAAGCTGTTTAAATAACGAAGGTCCTCTACCATCCTACGCAGTTTAACACAGTTGACGTGTGACGATGCTTGACGCATTTTCCGCTGGGGCGTGGAATGAGTCAGCGACCAACTTCTCTGAACACACCTCAGAGGAATGTTGAAAGACTTGCAAGACTTATGACGTAGAGTACAAATCGAGTAAAGGAAATTGAGCTTAAACGAGACTGGTTCGCTGAACATGCGTTACTTTTTACGCCATTAGGTGAGCAAAGACAAGCGTGTGGCTAATGATATCGTTTTTTGATCTACAGTTTTAAAATCTCAGTCATCATAATTTTCGACCAAATTTTAGAGAGGATTCAGAATTTTCACGAGAATATCATCAGTTTGTTTCCGTAAGCAATCCTACGGGCGGTTTCCTGTTGTTGCGATTATCATCTGAACACCCTTCTTATTTTGTAGCTGAAACGACAAAACTGCTGATTTAGAGATATTTCAATCGTTTCATAGATACTTGCGATCGATTTTTAACAAAGCTGTTTAAAATACTTTTAACCCTTCAGAAGAACCTTTTTTGAATCGTGATATCCAAATTAAGAGAAAGAGGAGCGACGAGGAGAACTTTTGAGTATGATAATGCATGACTGTCGGAAATGATCGACTTTGTTTTGGTCTGAGGGGTCATTGAAGGGCAGCCCGAGGTTAATCATATTTTGTTCCTTTATCTCATTTGTTAAAAACTTCAGGAAATTATAGCTAAACGTGATCCCATGATTTACTGCTTAAATATTCCTATGGAAACCATATCCCTGATATGCACTGAACACGGCTTATCTTGAGAAGGAATCAGAGAGTTAATTGCTCAACACGGCTTCAAAATCCCCACGTGCACGAGACACACGTACGTAAAAAGTATCCCAATTTCGAGTGTCGTAAATATCTTATATCATATCTTACATCATATCATGGCATATCTGCCATGATATGATATTCCGGAAATGGCCCTGTCTCGCGCCAGACAATGTTGTCGCTTTCTCGCCATCGTCATACACTTTTCCCGTAACCATAATTTTAATTAAGAAACAAACAAACTTTTAAAGAAAACAACGACAAAGGTCGGCTTTATACAATAGAATATTGCTAAATAATTGATGAACATTGGGAAACAGAGGGTCGAGCTGCCCTTTTGGTTAAAGTCCATGTGACTCAAAGGAAATTACGTTAGCAACCACTACATAATTTGAGAATGAGAAATCAATTGAAAACATAAGCACATCCCTGAGGATGTGAGGTCCGGCTCAAGTATAAATTAATGTTTTGCTGGATAAGTTATAAAATAAGCTAGAGTTTTTAACATGTTTTATAAATTCTCTTCGTCTAGACTCCAAAATGTTTTCTTTAATTCAAATAAAAATTCATCCTCCCTCTAAAAATTTCCTATGTTCTACACATAACCTTTTATGGTATTCTTAAATGAACCGCGATAAACCATGGAGCAGACCTATCAGATTCGTAAAGGAAACCGCGTTTGTTCTACTAGAAAATCGGAAAAAAGGGTCCTCTTTATCAGAGATTTGTGGCATAAAGAGGGATAACGTTTTAGGTATCTCAGATTCATTGTATCGCTTTTGCGGAATTGGCCTTAACCGTTTTCTCCCGGCTCACCGGAACCATGTTCGTTGCCTACACGGTTCTCGTCAATCATTTTTTTTAATGACAAACTTCAAAGGCAAAGGTTGTTTTGGTTGAAAAATAAAAAGATCTCTGGTTTCTCTTTCAAACTTAAAAGCGCATTCTTAAAGCGCTCGGTAAACTCAGTTAAACTTGGGTAAACTCTTCCACATGGCAGTGATAATGTCTGTATTTCCTTCAAATACAATAAAAACACATGGTCGCTACAGTGGGTCACGTTGAAGCGTTGTAAGGATAGACGGCAAGGATAGCTTTCAGAGGACCGTGGTGGATAAGAAAAAGGCTATTGAACAGAAAAATCGCTTTCCAGCGGATGATTGTTAAAAAAAAAAAATTCACGGCACTATCCGTCATATAGAAATTTATGCAGGGGATGGCGTCATGCACTCCTCTAACAACCGACGCCAGAGCTACTGTTCCCTTTATTAATTCGTATAGGCGAATATAGCGGGCCTGTTCATTTCTTTAAAAAATTAATTCAATGCCACTTTGCAGAGAGAACTTGCACAGATGCTTTTACAAAATTTCTCTGTTAGAACAGGAACCCATTCGGAAAAGAAAACATCGAGAGATTACAAGAATTGAATTTTTTTCCGAATCAAAATTTCTCATATAAAAAAGTCACATCTCTTCGTCATTCATGTGAGCTTATTTAACATGAGCTTCGTCCTCTTAAACCTTCTAAATCAAAAGTCACCTCAAAAACGCTGTAAAAAAATCAGCAAGTCGACATTTCTCTCAAGACGAGATTATATCCACAATAATTCAAATCATTGGCTAAGAATCCTAGAACCCGATTAGTAACTGGACATGCTTCACTGCAACCCACCGGAGCTTTTCCTCTTCAGGAATGTTTGTCACGTACGCGATGATGTTATAGGGTCTTGTTTAGAGCTTGCCTTAAGAACAAATCATTTTCTACCCTTATCAAACAGAGGAAATTAAATCTAAAAGAAAAATATATTCTTGAAATAATAAAGAAGAATTTGCTCGAATGAAGTATTTTGTTGCTGTGCTACGTGATAGAGCAACATTGATAACATATTCGTTTAAGGGTGCACATGCTGCGTTACAAAATCGTTTCATCAATGAGACAATCTTCAGCGCTTTAAACCGGATGTGGCCAGACTATTTATCCGTACCCTTGCATCTTTAAACGAAATCAATACCCTCTTTGAAGAGGTGGAGCTACCGTATACACAAACATCACAATTGCTGAAAGGAATAAAGGTGAACTAGATCTTAGAGTTCAGTTCTATTTCGTTTCAGCGTAGTTCAGTTCTTATTTCTAATCCGAAGTATGGGTACAGAAAACTTTGTTTTAAAAACGAGACGGCCGTTGGTTCTAGAAAAAAAAACGTTTAGGAGAGACAAACGGTAGTGCAATTCGGAAAAATATAATTAGGCCAGACAACGGAAAATTATATTTTTATTAAGAGGCACTCGAAACCTTGAGATGGGAGACACCAGATACGTGCTCTAATTATACATCTTGTCGCCATATGCTACGTTAGGTCTGCTTTTTGTCTGTTTTCGTAAGCATGTTTTTGCTCGAAATTTCTCTGACTGGAATTCTCTCTTGGGTCCAGAGGAAACTCCACACTGATTTACAGAAACACGTTCTGTTTATTGGTGAAACGAAGCATACCCTTTTGCTGGAGAGTAATTCTTTTTAACTGTGAAGGGTCAAAATGTAGCAGACAAGAAACAGGAAAAAACAGCACTCATTTATTTCAAAGTCTTATTTTCTTAGCGCTTTGCGCTAAAGACATTTGTCAGTCCGGAAATTAATTTGGTGACCATGGAGACGGTAATCACATAACGGCGTAACATGTGACTGACACAGTCTACAGACTGACTCTTAACCTACCGCCTGCAACGCAGGCTAATAGACTGTATGAATTTACACCACTATCTGCGTCGATGTACATACTGTAAGATTTTAAGCCGTAAACAAACGGCGTAAAATCTGTCAGTATATAAGGACCCCTTAAGCTATGATATGATCAGTTGTTTGCTAAACAAGATTATTTTCAACAGTCACATATGCATGTCATTTGAGTCGTCAAGTACGAGTATTCCACTTGACTTCTACTTCTACAGGAGTCGTAAATTCTAATAAAGTGATGTGGTCTGTATATTAAACTGGAAAAAATGGTGTGTTTGAATTCGAAATAATTGTTGCACGAGACATTTTCTCGTTGAAGAACCGTTACGGTAAAACTCAAGTTCAAGTGCTCTTCTCTTTAGGAGTCGGCGGTAAAGGGCAAAAAAATTGGAATGATTAAATTTTACGATCATAAATCAAGTTCGACGAAAAGGAGAATCATAAATTGGCTCTAAAACTGGAAAGCTAGATATGTGAAGTTACGTAACAAAAATTTAAGTCACGTACAATATTAACGAGCACGTATCATTATCGTTTGTTTTCGTCTCTCTTAAAATTGTCACCTATCTACAATTTTTTGCCGAAAAATTAGAAGAAAATATCGTTAATCGTAGAGCATACCATGGAATGAAGAAGGCAAAAACGTTGAGAGACAATCTACAGTCGCAAAGAAACTAGCTCAGCACAACTGCATAGAAACCAGCCGGTCTTGTATCATCTTTCAGTATTTCAAAAATCTTTGCAAGACACGACAAAATATCGAGGAATCAGTAGTTTTATTTGCCAAAATTTTGGCATTCATGGTATATCCTGGGGTGCTACCCTTCCTCATTCGGAAGCGTGGAACACCATGTCCTCGAAACTGCTTGCTCTCAGGCTCAAACCAATAAATCGTGATATCATCTTAACCAACAGCAGTCTTCTCGCGTGGTTTATGTACTTAATACTCTTACAAATATAAGATCAAAATTACTAAGAGGTATGCGGTAAATTTCTTGGATAAATCTCTCTTCTAATTTCCTTTTTGCGTCACCACAAATTTAACCGGAGGTTAGAAATTTAGAAATAATTTCCATCTCGTTTCTTGTCACAGGCAACCCTTTCATCTTCACTTTAGCGGCAAATATTTGATTTCTCTTTCTTAAAAATTTTTTTTCCTTTTTGGTCATTTCGAAGAGCACTCATTACGATTTTGGATAAAGAAAGAATAGAAAAAGGAACAAGAATTATTATATAGGCACCTCAGGTCCATGTTTGGTATTTTTTCGGCGTCAACAAAACTTGGAACGGACCGGGATCGGATCACGGATCATGGATCGGATCATGTTAAATAAAATTAGAAATTTTGCGCGACAAGCCAAAATAAAGTCCGCGTCACATAATAGAGCGCAGGCCTCACAAGGAGTTTTTCCATTTTGCCCAGAAATTCCTTGTAGTCACTTTCACGGCTGTGCCGAGGAGTGTTGTATAGTGCCACCATGGACGAAGGCAAGTGAGGGGTACTTATCATATCAGCAGTCAGTTCAGAAAAACGCGACAAAGTTGCTTCTAAAGGTCCTTGAGCTTCTTCCGTTGCCGGTGCGTGAGGCACGTCATAAGCCATAGTTCGCAAACTGATCGACCTAAGTGCGCCACATTGCAAGGTCAAAGTCTCGGGCGCTATTCGAGACGTGGCGCTATTCGAGACATATTTTAGAACATTTTATCACGCCATTAGTTTTCATGCGTCCTACTGACTAGTTTTACACTATGCTAATTTACAGTGGCACCTCCAACGTTTAAAACCATAGCGCAAATATTTTATCGTCCTCCCTGATGATGCCGTAGAACGGCGAAAGCTCGGAGTGAATAAAGAAAGAACCACAGTAGCACTTAAAGGCTTCATTTGATCAATATCCCACATCATTACGACATGCTACTAAAGGACACGTTCAAACGTTTAGTTATTGTTATTGTTATTGAGAGGAATATGTGACAAGCCAAATGCCACTGAAATAACTTGTCGTTGATGAAAAGCCCTTGGAGTCCATGGGAGGTCATCACGTCTCGAATAGCGCCCGAGACTTTGACCTTGCAATGTGGCGCACTTAGGTCGATCAGTTTGCGAACTATGGCTTATGACGTGCCTCACGCACCGGCAACGGAAGAAGCTCAAGGACCTTTAGAAGCAACTTTGTCGCGTTTTTCTGAACTGACTGCTGATATGATAAGTACCCCTCACTTGCCTTCGTCCATGGTGGCACTATACAACACTCCTCGGCACAGCCGTGAAAGTGACTACATGGAGTTTCTGGGCAAAAACTCAAAAAAAAAAAAAACTCCTAGTGGGGCCTGCGCTCCATTTTGTGACGCGGACTTCATTTTGGCTTGTCGCGCAAAATTTCTAATTTTATTTAACATGATCCGATCCCGGTCCAATCCAAGTTTTGTCGACGCCGAAAAAATACCAAACATGGAACTGAGGTGCCTATCTAGTAATTCTTGTTCCTTTTTCTATTCTTTCTTTATCCAAAATCGTAATGAGTGCCCTTCGAAATGACCAAAAAAGAAAAATTTTTAAGACAGAGAAATCAAATATTTGCCGCTAAAGTGAAGATGAAAGGGTTGCCTGTGACAAGAAACGAGATGGAAATTATTTCGAGGATTTCCTCGAAAAATTTCTAACCTCCGGTTAAATTTGTGGTGACGCAAAAAGGAAATTAGAAGAGAGATTTATCCAAGAAATTTACGGCATACCTCTCAGTGATTTTGATCCTATTTTTGTAAGAGTATTAAGTACATGAACCACGCGAGAAGACTGCTGTTGGTTAAGATGATATCACGATTTATTGGTTGGGCCTGAGAGCGAGCGGTTTCGAGGACATGGTGTTCCACGCTTCCGAATGAGGAAGGGTAGCACCCCAGGATATACCGTGAATGCCAAAATTTTGGCAAATAAAACTACTGATTCCTCGATATTTTGTTGTGTCTTGCAAAGATTTTTGAAATACTGAAAGATGTTACAAGACCGGCTGGTTTCTATGCAGTTGTGCTGAGCTAGTTTCTTTGCGACTGTAGATTGTCTCTCAACGTTTTTCCCTTCTTCATTCCATGGTATGCTCTACGATTAACGATATTTTCTTCTGATTTTTCGGCAAAAAATTGAAGATAGGTGACAGTTTTAAGAGAGACGAAAACAAGCGATAATGATACGTGCTCATTAATATTGTACGTGATTAAAATTTTTGTTACGTAACTTCACATCTGAGAAAGTACTATGCATTTTTCATTTAAAATCACTGTTGCCGTGGTACTTCCCGCGAAACCTCTATCTTTCCAGTTTTAGAGCCAATTTATGATTTCCTTTTCGTCAAACTTGATTTATGATCGTAAAATTTTAATCATTCCAATTTCTTTGCCCTTTACCGCCGACTCCTAAAGAGAAGAGCACTTGAACTTGAGTTTTACCGTAACGGTTCGTCAACTAGAAAATGTCTCGTGCGACAATTATTTCGAATTCAAACACACCATTTTTTCCAGTTCAATATACAGACCACATCATTTTATTAGAATTTACGACTCCTGTAGAAGTGGAAGTCAAGTGGAATACTCGTACTTGACGACTCAAATGACATGCATACTTGACTGTTGAAAATAATCTTGTTTAGCAAACAACTGATCATATCATAGCTTAAGGGGTCCTTATATACTGACAGATTTTACGCCGTTAGTTTACGGCTTAAAATCTTACAGTATGTACATCGACGCAGATAGTGGCGTAAAATCATACAGTCTATTAGCCTGCGTTGCAGGCGGTAGGTTAACAGTCAGTTAGTCAGTCAGAAAACCAAATGCTAAACCGCGTAAAATCCGCAAACCGAAATGAACAGCAAACCGAAAAACCGAAGTTTTTGGCACAAAAACCGAAAATCCCGATGCCCCCCTCCTCAGTATCGCTTGCCTTCGTCCTTGGTGGCACTACACAACACTCCTCAGCACAGCCGTGAAAGCGATTACATGGAGTTTTGAGGGAAAAAAAAAACTTTCAAATGAGCATGCACTACATTATGTCACGTAGACGTGACATAATGGCCGTGACATATTACGCAACATCTCTCATTTTCATTTAAATATATTTAGTTTTTTCACACCCCCCCCCTTTTTTTAACTCTTTATTATTTTGTAAAGAATTTGATTATTTTATTTTTCAAAACCCTTTGTCCGTTTTCGAACCGTGAGGTTGGGCCTGCGCGCAATTATGTCACGCAGACTTTATATTGGTTGGTCACGCAAAATTTCTAATTTTATGTAACATGATCCGATCCATGATCCGTGATCCGATACGTGATCCAATCCGTGATCCGATCCATGATCCGTGCTCCAATCCGTGATCCGACCCGTGATCCAGTTCGCAATCCGGTCCGTGATCCGGTCCGTGATCCGATCCGGTCCGATCCAGATTTTGTCGACGTCGGTATTAATTCAGTTCACGCCAATACAAACATCCTCCTCTTATTTTTTTAACCCCTGCTAGTTTTTCACCTCGGAAGTGATGAGTGTTTATAACTTGGACCACGTCGTAAGTCACGCCTATATAAAAGAGAACTTGAGCGTCGTGATGGGTGGAGCGCGTTTTTTTAAATTCAAGCTATATACTCTTTGACTAAGTCGGAGTGCTGAACGGGAAAATTTTGGCTCGTATTTGGTCATGAAGTACGAACCGAGTGCAAAACGTTTCTCTTTTTCTCAAAAATAAGAAACCCATGATTCATCGAGTAGCGCCCCTCATTTGTCTTATTCAAGTTGAAGTCCAAACTTTTCGATTCACTTTTTAAGATAATGAGAAGAGCTGTGTGAGTGCCGGGTCTAATGGCTTTTCCAGACAGGCTCATATCAACCCGTCCGACCCTACACGTCAGTTTTACACACGTTAGCTTTTACTCGGTTTCGTAGTATGTGATTACGCGCGCAGTTGGCTGAATGACTAACGCTTGCTAAGGAATTGATATCGCGGGCGCATGGGACGAGAATGAGTCTGCGTCAGTTTTCTGCTGGGGCTGGATTCATTTGAGACGAAGTCCACACACTCTTGGTGAAAGTTTGTTAATTCCTTTCGATCTTAGTTTCGACTTCAAATAGAGCGAAAATCAAGAAGAAGTTAGATTTGAAAACCACTGAGGCTGAAATGAAAGGAATCGTCTACGGGGTTGGAACACTAACTTTGCTCTTTGCACTTAATCGTGTGCATTGCGCTCCTGTGAAGCAAACGCGTCAAACGGTAAGGCTGCTTCGCTCTGTTATAAGGTTGTCGTTTTTCCAACTCTGGTAAAAATTGCGTTAAATTCGGTACGCATACAAAAAAGGGGCGAGTTATGGTATCAGTCTGGAAAAGGGTACATGAATTGATATTTTTGTAATGTAACTGATACCTGCTCTCCTGAATAGGTGTTTGTATTACCCTCCTTCATCTTTCTGTTGTGTGGAAAAAATATAAGAGTGTCAAACGGGTATTGCTATATTTCTTAATTATTTTTAAACTATGGCTGTGAAAAAATTAGGTAGCATAGCAGGAATTTCTCAATACGGAGAGATGTAATCCACTGGCTCCAAGCTTATCTTTCAAGAGGGAATCGATTGTAAACATGTCTTGATTAAAAAATAGCTTGGATTTTTTTCTCAGTGGGTATACGGTTGTCAAAATACAGATCAGTCACTAATTTCGCTGAAATGATCACGGAGAGCTAATCACCTGAAATGAAAACAAGCGCGATCATTTAACTGCATTTTTTTTTTAACTGTTTGCTTTATTTTTCTTGGCTCAACGACGTATTTAATGCATCAAGTAGCTAAATGAACGACTATCACGCTTAGCAATTCGTGATCCAGAGTCACCAAAAAATGTTTATTTCATCATCGTGATTAAAAAAGCAGACGATAGAACTGTTTTTTTTATAAGCATACTCGTCCTTTATTGAAAGAGTATCTATTAAGTGGAATCTAAAATTACAGAAATCACACCAGAGGCAGGCGACTCAATCAGACAAAATAATCAGCCAAGAGAGAAGTGACCGAGCAACTGTCATCAGAGTACTTTGCAATCTTGTACTCTGAGGCGGTCCTGAACCAAGTTTACTTTTGGAGAGAGCGAGAGAGGATGGAAGAATTAATCTCCGTAAAAATGTTCCTGGTCGGTTGAAGGATGCATTTATTCCCTCGCAAACGATCACCCTGATTTTTTGCTTGTCCTATCGAACTAAAACATGTGAAGGTGTGAGTCTCTCGGAAGCAAATGATATGATTAACATCAGTAATAGTGATAATAATGATAATAATAGTAGTAGTAATAGAAGTAGTAGTAGTAGTAGTAGTAGTAGTAGTAGTAGTAGTAGTAGTAGTAGTAGTAGTAGTAGTAGTAGTAGTAGTAGTAGTAGTAGTAGTAGTAGTAGTAGTAGTAGTAGTAGTAGTAGTAGCAGTAATGGTAATATCACAAAGATCTACATAGCGCTGATACGAGAAAAAAATTCAAAAGTGCTTTTTAGTAAGCACTTAAAGCTTTCCTAAAAAGAAATGTTTTCAGTTTCTTTTAAATGGCGAGGCTACTACAGGTTTTAATCGATAATGGGCAGAGAGTTCCAAATACAGGAGCAGCATGAGCAAAAGGGAGATTCCGAAGTGTAGAACTTGAATCTTGGAACAAACAGGAGAGATTGTGTTGAGGAGCAAAAAGCATAATCAGAAGCTAGTGTGGGAGAAAAACAAATTATAAATAATTTGTCAATCGCTTTTCTGCAGGTTGCACCTTATGTGACTTAAGCTCCATACTCGCCTAAAAAGCCTAAAAAGCGTGAAAAAAAATAATGAGGCCTGTTCTGCAGGAGAGGGGTTTCGTGCTGTTTGGGAGTGACGTGGATGACACAGGCACACCCCTTATTTGTAATTGACACCCTACTGCTCAACTACGTTCATAAAGAGCGCAACTAAACGTAAACTCGAAACCACGCACACTGTCGTTGCCTGGACAAGGAACCATCAGAATATTGTAAAACAATAATTTAAACGGTTCATAGCCCACGAAATACGAACTGTAGGGACTGAACATGGATTTCAAGCCCTTCACAGTGGCATTGTTAACTCTTTCGCTATCTCCGGTGTTCGTGCGAAGCGCTGCGATCAAGCAGGCGTACCAAACGGTAAGACTTTACTTCAGCAAATGTACGGTTGATGGATGTTGCACGCAAATACACAAGTGAGCAGAGGATACGTAGCAGATAATTCCAGCATTGTATAGACGTGAATATTTCAAATATGTGACCCGGAGCGACTAAAAGTCGTCGTAGTAAGTACGTGATTTCATTCACCCGGCGTTTTGAGCTCAGATGTGCAATCAATCTGCTTTTTTAATATTTACATCGCGGGGTTCATCCTCACGATTGTCGTTGTTCTGCAACAGCATGCGAAAGGTCATCATTGTACAACGACAGCTGACAAATACACATAACTGCAGTCCTGGAGGAATCATTAGTGGAGTAATTTTGGGAAACGATAATTTTTTACATTCTGACAAAACGCGTGTATTCGCGCGAGAAACCCCGCACTGTCAAACCCACGTCCTATAACTCCGCGCTCTCTCGCGTGTTCGCGTTATTTATCTGTGAGAGAAGAGTCTTTTCGTAATGTACATCACTCTTTCAAATGAAGCAAAAAAAATGTTTCATAAACAACATGAAATAAACCTGCAGAATAGCTGTCAATTTTTGGCGAATTCAGGAAAACGAAGGCGAGTTCAAAGCGTGTTGTGCAATGAGGAGGAGGAGAAGTTGTTTCGCGCTCCCTCTTGCGCGTAAATCGCTTTTCCCGTTGCCCTCACTCTTGTCTCGCGCGTGTGTTCACTTCCCTGAAAAACGCAAAAAATAAAGCCTGTTACGCAGGTCTTGTAGATTTGCCCCAAGATTTTTCTTGTCGACTCGTGTATCTCCTTTTTTTGCTAACAACCTCTCTTATAAACTCTTCCATCAACTATTCTTTGTAGGCATTGTTTATGGAGAAATTTGGTTACTTGGATGATGATGTCATAGGCAAGAACAGAGGTCCATTGGATCCGAACTCGACTGAGTTTCGAGCATCGATCAGGAAACTTCAAAGATTTGGCAATATCCCGGTCACAGGACGAATTGATGCAGCCACCATAAAGCTCATCAATACTGACCGGTGTGGTGTGAAAGATCCACCCTCCGATGCCGCAGGAAGATTTACTTTACAGGGGTCCAGATGGAAGCGAACGGTCAGGAAATAAGTTTTTTTAATTACAACGAAAAGACTTATGCTTCATTGCCGAAGATGATTACGAAAATTGTTCTTGTTTTGATCGTCTTCAAGAGATAGTATTGCTTTGTTTTGCATCTGTTGCCATAAACACTTCAAAGAAGCTTATTTAAATTGAAATCATAGCTACCCAGTCACGAAATTTTTAACCTAGCTTAAAGGTTTTCTTTTGAAGAAACATAACGCGGGGCAATTACGGAAGGGGTAAGATATGACCGTATATACCACATGTTGAGCTAACCAATCGAATCACAATCAAATCGTAACATTCGCTTAATTCTCGGCTGCTCGTTCGTCGTAACAAGGATATATTTGTGATAAGCATAATTCTTGTTAGTATACACTACAGCAATGGATAGCGTTTAAGACGCGCTCTGATTGGCTACTGAAACTCCGAATATGCTTTGCTATTCACCACCAAACAACTCGCGCGGGAATCGCGCCTGAAATCGTTGCAGAAATCAATTAGTAAAGATCATTAATTTTCTAAGATATTATCTCACCATTTTGGTATATACTAAAACAACTATCTTTCTTTTTTTTTACAGGACATAACTTATAGGATTCTTAACTACACCAAGGATGGCATACCGTTCAGCCAACAGCGAAGAATTTTCCGGAAAGCGTTCGATTTGTGGCAGTCTGCCTCGGCGTTGAGGATTAGAGAGGTACACAGGGGAGATGCTGACATTCTCATCAGCTTTGTTCGCCAAAAGCATGGAGATCCATATGCCTTTGATCGTAGAGGTGGTACATTGGCGCACGCATTTTATCCCCACAATAACAGAGGTAAGAGTTAAGTTTCTTTCTTTGCGTATATAGCTGCGCCTGCGAAGTACAGCCCTCAAACATTAGGCATGCGCTGATTTTCGGCACGAAATTTCAAAGGAAAATATACGAATCAAATTTTTTCGTATAAACTAAGCGAGAAAAATTGAAACGCCAGCAGAAATCTGTAGAGAGAATTGGAAACAAAAGCAAGAAAAGGAAGATTTGGGACTCTTCCAATTCCCCTTTGATTTCCATTTTGTTTTGAGCCTTACCAAAGAAACTATCAGGTTTTGAAATAATTTGAATCACAGACTTCTATAGGTTGTGAATTGACTTCTTAAAGCACCCTGGTTCTAACAGCCTCAAGTCAAAGCACGACACGTAGCCATTACAAGGTTCGCTTATGCGTGAACATTCGACCATTGTGTTGACTAAGCTTAAGATTTTAACTAGTTCAGCATTTGACTTTTTTTTTCTTTTTTTTTCGCCCTCTGCGTGGTTTGAAACCCACTCATCTGTTAAACTAATTACGTTATTCAGTTTATAACTAGTTCTTTGTTTACTTATTTCTCATTGAAGGTCTCTCTGGTGATGCCCATTTTGACGATGATGAACATTTCACAACAGGAAGGAAAGATGGCATCAACCTAGATTGGGTGGCTGTTCATGAGTTTGGACACAGTCTGGGTCTAGAACATTCCAACGTACAAGGATCCATCATGTACCCGTGGTACAAAGGATATGTTGAGGATATCAAACTAACAAATGATGATACGCAAGGCATTCAGTCTTTATATCCAAGTGAGTTGTCTGTTGGTAATTTTCCTGTCATTTGCTGTCTTATTTTTTCTATTGTTGTGACAATGACCACCTGAAAAGTCATCTCTGTGTGAGGAGGCTAATAAGAGTCCACGGTATGTTGATTAATTTACTTAGCAAGTAATCTATCAATCAATTCTGCAGTTCAGTGAAACCATGTGTAGGTGTCAAGGTCATTATGATCGTTGGTCTCAAAGATATTTTTAATCGTTTTTATTTTTTGTCAATGATTATTATTATTTTCATTATTATTGTCATCGTCGTTTTTATCATTATCACCATCATTATTATTCGTATCATTATCGTTATTATTGGGGAATATGTTTGACGCAGTGGTGAGAACGCTCGCCTCCAACCACCCAGCCCGGGTTCGATTCTCAGACCTGGTGTCACATGTGGGTCGAGTTTGTTGTTGGTTCTCGCCCTTGCTTCGTGGGTTTTTCTCCGGGTCTTCTGCTTTTCCTCCCTCCATTAAAACAATCATTCTAATTCCAATTCGAACTGGAAACAGTGGACAAGAAGAACCACCTCGTGGAATGTCCACTCCTACCTGCCATTTATTTTTTTATTTTATTATTATGATTATAATCTTTCGTTCTTAGCATTATCATGCGTGCTATTTTATTATTTACTATTTTTCTGACGGTATTATCTATAATCTTTTCAGTGCCAACTATTCGGCGAATCATACCAACTACGAGAATCACCACCACTGTTACTACCACCAGACGCCAGCCCCCAACCCCGCGACCCACAGTTCCGACTGAGGTTATTTGCAGCAGCACAGTTCGTTATGATACAGTATTTGTTGGTACTAACAGATGGACGTATTTCGTGGTTGGAGATAAGTTCTGGATCTTGGACAGGCAGCTGCGCAGGCGTGGACCGTACACCATAACGAGATATTGGAGGGATATAAAGACCCCTTTAGATGCTGCTTACCGCAATAAAAAAGGAAACGTGGTGTTCTTCAAAGGATCAGAGTAAGATACATTTTTTGTAACAATTTGAGAGTTATCTCACAGGCCGTGCGGTTTCCATACTTAAGGTTCCCATATTTAGAGCGTTCTCCAATTAAATATTCGAGCAACACGCCAGTATGTTGCAAGTGGCACCAAGATACTAGCTCTTTCAACCGCTTACCCACTCCCACCGAGATTAAAAGGAAAGTCTACATACTATTATAGCTATCATTGCTACCAGAACTTATCTTATATTTTGCATGAAGCGTCTTGACAAGTCGCATCTCTTGCAGATTCTGTCGAGGATGTTAATCTGAGCTCCGGCGTCGATGCAACATCAGGCCACCGCCGTTAGTAGCCCTTTCCCCTCATCCATCGAGAATGTGTGCTGAATATAGAACATATATAGCAATATAAACATCAAACATCACTTGTTCCCGAGAATCTTTAATTTATTCCTTTCATTCTTATCGTTAGGTTCTGGGAATATGACTCCAAGAGAGTGTTAAGGAATTCTGGTCAAATTTCACGGTACGGTCTTCCCTCAGCTCTCGCTAACATGGACGCAGTTTTCACATGGGAGAGGAACAGGAAGACTTACTTTTTCAAGGACACCCTGTACTGGCGATACAACGAAGACAGCAAGAGGACAGACTGGGGATATCCCAAGGGTATCAAAAACGCCTGGAAATCAATTCCCGATCACATTAATGCTGCCGTCCAGTGGGTCAACAGAAGAACCTACGTTTTCAGGGGAAGGCAGTATTTAAAGCTTCAGCAGGGAAAGGTATATATGGAGCAAGGATACCCTCAAGAGATTGCCAAAAGATGGATGAAATGTAACCCTGGCAATGAAAAGGACAGAGGTTTTGCCTCAAAAGATCCCTAAAACTACACGAAAAATGTGATGTCCTCTTTAATGTGCATGTATTTTAGACGGGAGAAATATACGAAAAATTCAAGAACTGATGGTCTCGTTTAGAGATCATAGGTTTATGATCACAGATCAAATAGTCAAAGGTAACAGGTTGCTGCCCACAGCAGAGGGAGTTTCGTATTATGATTACTAGACAATTCAGATTTCATTCGCGTAATACTGAAATTATAGATCTTATAACAAATATATATCAACTTTTTTCCGCATCACCAGAAACAGCGCTAAAACTTTGTCACTAAACAAATTTCCTTCATTTAAGAACTTTTCCTGTTGACTCACGCTTAAACGTTTGATTTTAAGTCCAACGCCTGCAACCCTCCCCTCCCCCACCAAACAAATATTTTCTCCTCGACAATTCTGTAGGTCCTATTTTAACCTATGACCTGTAGCTTTCTGAGGAAACACCCACCATCCAAGAAGTGAAACAAAAACTCTAAAAAATTTTTTAACAGTTGTGGAAAACAGAATAGTTCAATCGACCTAACCCAATTTCGTGTCATTACAACACTCTTGTTGTTTGTAATAGAAAATAATTGCGACGTCAATTTCATGGGATTTCATCACATAAATTGATTTATCACAATCCCTGGTTAACCAATGGAAACTTTTAAACTGTTTTCACTTTTTATGAGTTGAATTCTTTAAATATATCATATGTAGGCTCGAAATTAATGGAAGACACTCCTTAATTCTCTCTCTCCCAAGATCGCATTAATAATTCTCTTAACATTCTGCCACACAGTTCTTATGATGTTAGTTTCGAGGATTTGTTATTGTTATAAAGAATCTCCTAGCTGTATTCCTTTATTCCTATCACTTGCCTCCTTGATATTGCATTGAAATTGTAAGGAGAAAATCTGTTTTGGTCACTCATGGGAGTTAAAGGATTATGAACCATCTGAACCAAAAGAATGTTCTCAGCGATAAGTTTCGCGGCAGTTAAACTTGGCCGATCTATGAAAAGGAAAACCGGATGGCACTAATGCAACACTAACAATAACAACAACAGGCTTTGTTTTAGTAGTAATAGAAGTATATCATAGCATTACAAAAGCGATCCATATCTCATTGTAGCAGGGACCGCGCAGAGGGAGGGGCTGTAAATAAATACATTAAAAAAAACATAATTTAATAAAAATAACGGAGCCAAAAAAAAATAGCCCTTCCCCTCCCTCCCCCCCTCCTCACTCAAAAACTTGCTGCGCGGTCCCTGTGTAGTCAATACAATCATGTAACGAAAGGAAAATTAGCGGGAGAAATTGCAACCGTGATTTGCTCATTGCAGTCTCCAGCCTTCAGGGTTAACGAAAGGGAAACGCGAGAAAGACACTAGAAATCCTCCGAGGGCAGAAGTTCTTTTAATATCTATAAATAAAAAAAAATAGACCAGTTTTCTATTTCACTTACTTATGTATCGTAGATATTTGGAGTTATTTAAAAGAGAGACATTGCCATGAAGTGAACAGGCTTCATTGGGAATCTAAGAAAACAATTCCTGTCGGGGCTGTTTTTGTACAAGTGCGAAAGAGAGTAATTGGCCCAGTTTTTAATAATCATTCATCTGAATGATGATTTTAGATATACGAAATTCATATATTTGCACCACGGTGAAGAGATGAAATTAAGAGATCCTCGCAGCTAAGAACACTACTGAAACGAGTAGTCATCTATTGTTGTACAAATCTACCACAATTTACCATTGTCTTTTTAAGCTGAAATAGATTTCTTGTTGCCATGCATCTGTTCAATAATAAATCACAGATGACGCCAAAATGTGGTAAGAATAAAAAAGGTAGCACACGGGGCGCAGCTGAGTGTGTCACTGATGTTCTTAACCCTTCAACTCCCAAGATCTGATTGTTAATTCTCCCCTCTAGCTGCTACACATTTCCTTGTGAATAAGTAGGATAATCTTAGGTTATTATAGGAAGAAGTTACTTGTTAATCACCTAAAGTTTAACATATTTTGACGTCTTTTGTGTTAGTGTTCACTGAGACCCATGGCAACATGGAAGCTAGTTGTGACGCCACCATTCCAAAAATTTTGCTTATTCATCATATAATTAAAACGTTTGTAAATCACTCTTCTCCAAGTAGTGATTAACAAACTTTTCCGTGTTCTCCTTACAGCCCTCGTGGGTTGTTACGCCGGTACGCTGATAAAAAGTATATCATATATATACTTAAAACGTTTGTGAATCACTCTACTCCTAGAAGTGATTTACAAACTTTGCCGTGTTCTCCCTACAGCCCTCGTGGGTTATTACGCCGGTACACCGATAAAAAGTGTATCATATACTTAGAACGTTTATGAATCACTCTTCTCCAAGTAGTGACTTACAAACTTTTTCCGTTTTCTCCCTACAACCCTTGTGGGTTATTACGCCGGTACACCGATAAAAAGTGTAACATATACTTAAAACGTTTGTGAATCACTCTTCTCCAAGTAGTGATTTACAAACTTTTCCGTGTTCTCCCTACAGCCCTCGTGGGTTATTACGCCGGTACAATGATAAAAAGTGTATCATATACTTAAAACGTTTGTGAATCACTCTACTCCAAGTAGTGATTAACAAACTTTTTCCGTGTTCTCCCTACAGCCCTTGTGGGTTATTACGCCGGTACACCGATAAAAAGTGTAACATATACTTAAAACGTTTGTGAATCACTCTTCTCCAAGTAGTGATTTACAAACTTTTCCGTGTTCTCCCTACAGCCCTCGTGGGTTATTACGCCGGTACACTGATAAAAAGTGTATCATATACTTAAAACGTTTGTGAATCACTCTACTCCAAGTAGTGATTAACAAACTTTTTCCGCGTTCTCCCTACAGCCCTCGTGGGTTATTACGCCGGTACACTGATAAAAAGTGTATCATATACTTAGAACGTTTATGAATCACTCTACTCCAAGTAGTGATTAACAAACTTTTTCCGCGTTCTCCCTACAGCCCTCGTGGGTTATTACGCCGGTACAATGATAAAAAGTGTAACATATACTTAAAACGTTTGTGAATCACTCTACTCCAAGTAGTGATTTACAAACTTTTCCGTGTTCTCCTTACAGCCCTTGTGGGTTATTACGCCGGTACACCGATAAAAGTGTATCATATACTTAAAACGTTTGTGAATCACTCTACTCCAAGTAGTGATTAACAAACTTTTTCCGCGTTCTCCCTACAGCCCTCGTGGGTTACTACGCCGGTACAGTGATAAAAAGTGTATCATATACTTAAAACGTTTGTGAATCACTCTACTCCTAGTAGTGATTTAGAAACCTTTCCGTGTTCTCCCTACAGCCCTTGTGGGTTATTACGTCGGTACACTGTAAAAAAGTGTATCATAAACTTAAAACGTTGGTGAATCACTCTACTCCAAGTAGTGATTTAGAAACTTTTCCGTGTTCTCCCTACAGCCCTCGTGGGTTATTACGCCAATACACCGATAAAAAGTGCCCACGGCTCTCGACCAATGATCGCGCAATAATTTGTACAGTTGTCTTGAAAATCTGATTGTTATCCTTGCATATGTGACGAGAAGTAAATTTAATTACAAAACCTTCCTTACACCTATCAGGTAAATGAATATTCAATAAGGATGTAATTATGGTTAGGTAGGGAAGTTGAACAACAAAAAGGAATCTGGAAATAATGGGATTAGCTGTCATGAGCCCATCCTTTGGTCAGGATTATACAGCGACGTTTCTGTCTAGTGACAAGGCATTTTTGCGCACAAATCGTGTAATATTACAGTTCATTAGTCCGACAGTTGTGCTCCCCGGAAATAAAAGAGAAAGGCATTTCAAAAATAGCCCGAATAAATGACAATGTACGAAAGTGGGCTGATATCTTGTCACCCCTTTACAACACAAAAGTATTAAATGAGGCGTTAACCTCATTATCTAACTTGTCAAGGTTTGTGGCAGGCTTTAAGAATACGGGCGCCTTTGATATGTATTTGTATTCTGAGGGTTCAACGAGTGATTACATCGTGCAGTGGTACATGCCGTGTGTCTAAATTCACTGAGAACTTATCGTCTTAGTTCTTGGTCATCCAGCTGGGTTCAATCATGAAAAATTCTTAAATGGATAACACCTGCGTCGCCCACGAAGATTAATCAGCCTAAATGGGCGCGTAATCCTGAATAGTGGGAGGGTCATTTTTTAAGTTTCAAATGAGAATTGAGTTGTTTGAATAAACTCAAAGCTTGTCGGATTTCCTTCCATCATCAATGCCACTTTTCATTTCCTCTCTGTACAGTTTGACATATCATTGGTTTTGGGGCGCGGTGCCAGCTTTGTTACTAAATATAAAAGAAGGAAAATTATTTTGTGTTTTCCACTTGTTGTGGGATGATTACATTCATAAACTTCCATTGCTAGGCATTTTAAGAAAGAATTTCTGTTGTTATTGTATACTTCGATAAGGTCTGTGTGCGTCAAGCGAGTAACTTGTTCGCGAGAAATAACCGATCAAAGAACCAGTATTCATCACTTTTCAACATGAGCTCCTCCAAATCCGTGACTCTTTTAACGGCATTCTCCGCTATCATGGTTGCTCTAACATCAGCAAGACCTGCAAGTGTACCGCCAAACGTTTTGGTGAGTTTTTATTTGATGTGGTAAGCTTTAATAAATCTCTTTAAGGAACGAAAATCTTTGTAATCAAGAGGAGACGGTTTTTTTTTCTGTCAAAATGAATGGGCGCAAAATGTTTTAACCATGCAGAGGTTGTTATTATTTCAGTGATTGTTGTTAAGGCGCTTAGTTGTCGATAGACCACACATTTTAAATTTCTACTGCTAAAATTGTGTTCCTGACATTATCCTATTCAGAATGCTCCTATTTCTTTAGATATGTAAAAGTTTATGTGTTCTTTCTATCATTTTTTTGTCTAAATTTTTTTGTTTAAACTATCTCCCGAGGCAAAAATTCCTCAGTAGGATATTTCAACACGAATGTTTTCCACAGGAAATTCAAAATTTAGATAACTCATCTTTCCTCGAGGATGCATTACAGTCAGAAACACGCTGAAACTTTCAATAGAATGTGTTGTTTGACATCCTTAGTCCCTTGTAAATCTTAATTTTTTTTGCTCTGTCTCAGATGGCCGTCTGTCTGCTATACAAAAGTTATTAAGGACTTGAATTCTTTTTGCAATTCAAAACTTTTTAAGCGAGTTCTAAAAAAAGGCCAGGAAAATTCTTTGTATCTGTTAAACCTTCGGAAGAGAAAATTCCACGCCAAAGAATTTCACTCAAAAACCAAAAGCCTCTTTGTTTTTCCTGTCTTTAAATATTGGATAACAAATGGAAAGATTCTCTAAAAGTGATGTCATCATGACGTCAATATTTTTTCAGTCATCATTGTCAAGGAGGGCCGCAGGAACAAACACGTAGGTTAAACAAACCTACGCTTGAAACATCATTACAAAAGTTAAGTAAATTATGATATGCGATGCTAAAAGAAAACAGCTTTTGAATTGCAAAATTTCATAACGCCGGATGTTCACAAAAGCTCTCATTCAATTATGGTTGGGTACAAAGTGTAACGGGTCCACTCGAATAAAGTGCCAGATATGAAACTTCACGCTATATAATAATTGAAGTTTTTTCCTTTAAAAGTCCGGCGCGCAACAGGCTCTGTCTGGCCTTAAAAACGACTATTCACTTACTCAGTACAATTCTTGTAGACTTTTGGACTTTGGATTTTTGATGATTAAAGATCGCAGCTCTTTCTAACCCACACTGCCCTCTTGGGTCAACGTTTGTGGTATTGAGGCACGCCAGACTGTAACGGCTAGAATAGACTTCAACATGACTATTAAATATCAGATTCTTCCGTGTAAAACTTCCATAAACCATTCTCTATTATCTATATATCAAACCCACGGAAGACAACTTTTTAATTTTGAGTGTAAACTATTGAAATATTTCATCCGAAAGGATCCTTTTTTAGTCGAAAACAAACAACAAGACTTTTGGAGCACATCCAACACTAATATCTCTTCATCAGACACAGGAAGAATACGGACAGCAACGTTTTGTCCTAACACTTGCGGTTTGAAAGTTATTAATAACTACAAACCACACAACCCCTTACTGCTGTGAAATAATGTAGATATAACATAGATAGTTCACATTCTTCAGAGATTATTTCATACGTCCGATTTGGCTTGAAGTGTCTCTTTCTAAACAGGAACGCGTTTTCTTCGATGAAAGCAAAAGGTTTAGAGTATATTGTCTCAGAAATCTTGAGGGGTCTTTAAGGGTCTTGAGTGGTAATCTGTCCTTAAACGAATAATTTCGTTCCAGTTTGACTCACAGCTGGGGGTACAAATTATTCAACTCACTCGTTTTGACTTCCCTTGAATAATTTTAATTTTCAGTCCGACTTTTCGATTTGTGATACTCAATCAGGTCTTCCGAGGAAGGGACACTGCCCTTGGCTCAAACAATCCCACCATCGAGGTGTCTGAATCCCAGAACAGAAAGGCTTTATTTAAAATATGGTTTCGGATAAAAGGGGACCTATATCATTGACAATTTTGGACACAAGGAATCTATTTCATTATAAGTTTTATCAAATTCCCCTTCGGAAAAGAAGAGCGCTCTAAAGTTTGCCTCGCTCCTAAGGTGTTCTCTTCGTAGCTCAGTTGGAAGAACTAAAATCGCAGTCGTCCTGCGATGATCATTTCTTTGGTTAATTTTGTCTAATTTTTAGACAAATTAGATTAAAATGAATTTGGCCGCTACCAAACCAGAAATAAAAAAAATGCTTTAACATATGAAAAGTCAGAGGAACCTCTCGATCACTTTCGTATTTGGAGCACTAAACCGCTCATACATGTTTCTTTGTATCACAGATTACGACAGGTCAGCATTCGTTGTTATTTTTAGCCAAGAAAGAAAAACAATCCTGACCAAGAGTGATCAATCTGGCCGAGGACCACCATGCTCACATTAAAATGGACTTCATCCACCGGCGTTCACTTTGTGTGCATTTGAAAAGTTTGCCGTCAACAGTTTTCTTTCAATATCTGCTACACTTTTTCTTTTTACGTGTGTATCTCTAAGTTAGTGATAACTTCGTTTTCAATCTCTGCCGGTTGGGATATTTTGTTTTCCTCTAAATTAAGGAAAAATACCTTACTCAACGTATCATATGATGACTGTTTAACAGACAATCACTTAATCATACTTCTTAACTTGTACGCAAGTAAATCTACTTGGTTGTTTATTTTTTTGTCATGATATCAAAAATCTCAACAACTCACTTTTTAGAATTACTTGGAGAGATATGGTTACCTGTCCCCTAGCGATGTGAAATCAGGAGAAGTAAAGAGTAAAAGGATACTTGATCAAGCAGTGAGGAATCTTCAACGTTTTACAGGGCTGAACGAGACCGGAAATCCAGAAGATCCAGGCACGACTCAGTTGGTTACAAAACAAAGGTGTGGTTTTCAAGATCTTGGTAAAGCAGCAGAGTTCCGAAGAAAGAAAAGATATGTTCGTCATGGAACTTCATGGAAGAAAAGAGTGAGTGGAAAGATTTTTCTTTTTTTTTGGGGGGGGGGGGGAGGGGAAGGGGGAGGGGCAAAGGGTGGAGAGGGTCTCGGTTTAGTAGCAGCATTGCAAATGGAAATTGAACGCAGACCAGCTAACCAAGATGAAAGCACTGTGCATTTTTGCAAATTCAAGGCTCCGAAAATCTGTCTCTGTTTGCTGCCAAAAGGAAAGAGGACAAAGGAGAACGCTCTTGTTCCAGAGTCATGAATAGGATCCCAAGGTGTTAGAACGGCTCAGAAGTGCAAAAGTGTTTTGTCTAGTTATTTAGTAGTTTTCTCTGGTGAATTTGAAGTGCCTGACACTTTCTTATTAGTATTTGATTCGTTATTGGTCACATCTGTATGATTAATTGAAATAATTTTCTCTAAGTAACTTTTTTGTTGTTTTACAATGTTTTACATTTTTCCAGCATTTAACTTACAAGATAACACGCTATACTTCAGACCTCACAAAAAAGCAAGTGGACAGAACAATAAGGTCTTCCTTGAAGATGTGGGCAAAGGTTACTCCACTGACCTTCTCAAAAGTGAGCAGTGGTCCCGCAGATATTGAAATCGTTTTTGAAAAAAGGAAAGACGATGATTATTCATTTGACGGGAGAGGAGGCGAACTGGCTTATGCTTACTTTCCTGGAAATAACAAGGGTGAGTTGATAAAGTGGCTCTTACCACTAAGCTATTTTTCAAAAATTAAAAGTGAACGAAGCTTGACTGAATATCTTCGGTGAGTTACCAAAGAAATTTGTGGCCTGTCAGACAGGGTTCGTAACAGGATAGGTAATTTTTCATTTTTTTTTTTAACTTTCTTTCTAGACTGCCAAAAGTATTGGAATGAACCATAAAATATTCATTTAGAATTTAGTGTGAAATTACAATATCGATTAGAAGCATTCTCCAATCGTCGGAAATTTCATTTTAAGCCATCAAGTTTAGTCTGAATTTTTTTCATTTTCCAGCCTGATTTTGTTTATCTTGGAGAAAGGTTTGAGAATCAGAGACCGTGGACGCGAAAGCTTACTATTTGCCACACTTTCAAGACTCTGATGTCCATTTCCTTGAAATTCGAGTATTCTCTATAATATCTACTATCAACTTGGAACTCATGATGTTTTCCTTGATCGAGCAGGAAAGGTAAAACACGTCGCTATGCGTTTTGAAACCCGTCGTCTCGTATTCCCGCAACAACCAGTATACTACTGATTGGACGAATGTAACTCGGTCTTGAAGAATTTTGCTAAAAAATAAAATATTAGTATGACAGAAGGAGGATTATCGGGACAAAAGAGTTTCGATTCTGATTTAATTTCAGATGACTGACTTTCCTTACTTTTTAGGGGACTTTGGAGATATCCATTTTGATGACGAAGAAACATTTACAGTCTCCAGACAGAATGGAGCAGTAGACCTAAGATGGCTGGCCCTCCATGAGCTCGGACATAGTTTGGGGCTCGCTCACTCCTCTAACAAACGGGCCATAATGTACCCGATTTATGAAGAAAGTCTGTCGGGAAATAGACTGAACCGTGATGATATTCTTGGAATTCAACATATATACGGTACGTCAATCCCGTTTGGGCGCAGAGTTGAAAAGTAGCTAAAACTTTGTATTTTCTTGTTAAAAAGCAATTTAAAATTGCTTGTTTTTTATTTTCTTTGTAACTTACTGAGAAACCTCGAGCCATCCAACCGACGAATCACACGCAACTCAAAGTGATCGTAGGCGTTTCTCTAGCCTCATGTAACTGCAGGTGGATGACTAAGCTTTTGGATTTGCGACGTTCAATCGAAATGCGCTCTATCGGTGCATACCGTTTGCCGACATTTTTCAGACAAATAGATGATTCGATCACACTCGCAATGCCAAGACCAGACTCACTAAATCTGGTGTCGACGTTTATAACCGTTAGCCACACGTACCCTTTCACTCGAGCCTGTTTGTTTGCATAGTGTGTTCAAGGCTCTCAGTCAGCAGAGGCGAGTGAAAAATAAGAGTGGGAGTATGAATTACCCAGCTGTTTCCTTGGCAACAACGATCGCCAGGTCCGCTTTCTTTTTTTTTCCGCTGTCCCACTTTTAAACTCGTCTCCACCTATTGAAAACCTGGCAAAGGCTAAGGTTTATTCACATACTTATTAATTTATGTGTTGTAACAACCTTAGGTAAGCCAAATATCAAAAGAGTCACACCCACTCCTCACCTTGACCCGGTACAGTCTCCAGGAAAACCCAATCCCTGCAGCAGTACGCTTGACGCTATGATAATGACCGCTGACAAGATAACCTATGCCTTCAAGGGGGCATACTTTTGGCCGGTCGGCGATCAGGGAGCATTTACTGGAGCTCTTAAAATATCTGAATTCTGGGAAAAACTCGAGGATGATATTGACGCTGGCTATACAAGAAATTTTGACGGACTTACCTTTATTTTCAAGGGATCAAGGTGAGTAGTTTTTCATCATTTTCCATTATTTTAATTATCCGTCTATCGATCCGTTCCCCCCCCCCTCAAATTTGTTTATTCATTTCCGTAACCACTATTTTATCTATCTTCATCTCCGACGAAAACTTTTCGCCTCTCAGAGCAGATGATGTCCACGGAAATAAAATGCGTGTATGTCTTTACGCTAAATGAAGGTTATTGTTCATATAGAATGATTAATTTAATTCGTAGATACTGGACCTACAAAAATCGAACGTTGGTAGAAGGTCCATTGAACATAACAGACCTGAACCTGCCCAACGAAGTACACAACATGGACACCGCACTAGAGTGGGGCGCAAATGGAGAGCTGTACATCTTTAAGGGCGACAAATTTTGGAGATATAGCAGCGAAAGAAAAAGTCTCGACCCTGGATACCCCAAAACTATTCACTCCGTGTTACCTGATCTTCCGAATCATTTGAACGCTGCACTGCAATGGAAAAATGGCAAGACGTACTTTTTCAAGGGGACACAATATTACGCCTTAAATGACACTTCTATTCAAATACAGAAAGGGTATCCCAAGACTATTTCCACTTATTGGATGGGGTGTTCTCCGGCGGGTTTGAAGGCCGGGAAAATATCGCCGTATCGTTCATCTCATGCACATGCACATGATTCCGCTCGTTCCTCTTCTTCCTGTTCTTTTGCAATCGTGGCGAAATACATTGTCTTAGTAGCTAGTTTTATTTCAACATATCTCCTGATACCGAATATACGTTAAGTGATAGATTTGGTTGATAAAAAGGGTCCAGCAGAAGCCTGATTCAGGCGTTTAGTTAGGCTGAAAACGGAGCAAGATTGTAAAAGACACGATAGTGGCGGCGGGGTGAAATGACGAGAGGCTTGGGTCGGATCGTGTTCATCACGCGAATGGACCCAGACCTCCCTCCCACATAGTCAAGAAATAGCATTAACATCAAATCAGGCGACTGTTTTAAATCAGAGCCTTTAAATTGTTCAAATTTTTTTTTAGAGTAAAGGTCAATCAATCAATCAGTTAAACAATTAAATAATATAAAGATAAACCGAGTAACTTACTCTTCAGGGGACGAAATATATATATTTTCGATAATTTGTTTTCATCGGTACTCTTACCCAAAAAACATTTCGAAATCCCAATACGACGCGATGTACATATATTTATTTATAATAACTTTTATATATAAAAGCGAAGTAAGACACCTCTTAAAGTAATTTTAATATATTTCATAAAGGAAAGATTTAATGTTAAAAACAATGTGTGGTTCAGCGTATGAATAAAAACTGCATATCACATTTAGCAGATATATATTTAGCCAAACATAAACTTAAGGTCAAAAATGTTATTTTTTCGGATTGGTTTCATTCAGTGGGACCTAGCTAATCATGGTTAGAGTATACACTGGTTATCTATTTTAGAAATATTAACTTGGACATAAAATTTTCCCTTCCCTTCCCTTCAACCTAAAGAATAAAGAGCGAAGTTAAGGCTGTGTCCTGTTTTACTCTGTTCTCCGACGAGTTTACCCTCAAAGCAGGCACTGATGAATCACGGGAAATTCGCACTGGCGCGAGGTCCATACCCTGATGCCTTATTGCTTTCGTGTTGCATTTTGATCGCGTTTGCAAATGCATTTGTTTTCTCTTAGTCTCATGCCCACAATGATAATGCCATCTTTGACGAAAAATACGCATGCGTCACCAATCAGAGTCCATTGGAGAGCCAGTTTCATACCGAAATAAGCGGCTATTCTACGATTACATTACAGCGTTGCAAGATTTCATGACTAAACGACATTCTCTCTGCAGTGTGGCAACTGAGTTAAACTCGTGCCAGTTTGACTTGTTCTTGTTAGACCCGTGCACATCTCAGCGGGCCGGAATCCAAAATCCTCGAATGCTTGGCTAGTTGCGTTTTTCGATACGGATAAGGTTTTTGAAACATTTCATCAATATTCACAGCATGATGTTTATAATGTGAGACAGTAAATATATCTCACTATTACTAACAGCACAACTTGGCTTTCAAAATTTTTCGTAAACAATTAGCAATTCTGTTTATGGTGTTCGTGTTGTAATCAAGCGAAAACGAAGTGAATACTACGTTACTGAATAAAAGATGTTAAGAGCTAGAACTTAAACTGATAACAACTTAAACCGAAGGTGAAAAACCTCTGCCAGCGAAAGAAAGGAAGTAGGCACCTCTCACTTTTTTCTAAGCCGCTACTGATCGCGACATTTATTATCTCGCTTCGTTTAACTGACTGAACGCCTGGAATAGGCTGTAAGGCCCATGAAAACTTCAGAGTGCGTAGGAAGAGCGTGGGAAGTGAGAAATACACACCGTAAAAAAAAAAAAAAAAAAAAAAAGAAATACACACCGTACATAGACGTGTGTGTATTTCTCATTTCCTGTATCCCGTATCATTCGAGATCTGACCGATCTCATTTAAATGGCTGTTTGAGCTGTTCATAAATTCAGCTAAGTCGTGCATGTCATAAAATCCATACTCACGAGACGTATTTTGGATTGACTCATACTTCAAAGTTTTTCAGTAGAATCTCTATTCTAGATATACACAAATCACGGGTAATCTCGTTTCGGGGGATTTTGACACCTTGACTGCGATCGTATTATTCTAAACCACAAGTAACCCCATTATGACTTATTAGGGCAAGAAAGAAGATTATGACCTCTGAATCTCTTTTGATTACGGCTGAAACGTGATAACCTTTTCAACTGGCCACAACGGACCTTAATCAGTTTTCTCTGTTTTTGGAGAATCGCTGAGTGGTTATTTGTTGAACAAAGCAAATCCAATCACATCCGTATAAGCGCAGGGATGAAACTGTGTCTGGCTATCAGACGATTTGTACAGTTGAGCGATGATGGTTTTAGCTCCTTTCTTTATTGATTTTTTTTGTGATCAGCATCATACGGTAAATGGCAAAGATGAAACCAATTCAACAAGTGATTAATATGTATAATATCAATATATGCCCGACCTAAGCCGTGTATTTTTTTTCGCTCCGTTTTACTCAGTGCTCGCTTGGAACAGGAAAGAACGATACACTTAGGTCAAATTCATTTCTCTGTCAGTCATTTTCATGGGGGCAGCACGCAGCATAAACCTGTATAGCTTTTAACGCGGAGAGCTCGAGATATCGGTAACACCAAACAGGAATATATTCGCGATAGACAGCAGCTGTTTCTAGCCAGCCGTCTTCACTTGGTGCTTTGGCAAGTGCACATCGTTGCGTGACATCCCTGAAAACCCTTCTGCCCAAGAGGCCCTTTGTCTTTTACCGAAACAAATAACATTTTATATAAAACTGATGGAATTTTTTGATGGATTCCTAGTCTCTCTAGAGATTTTTCTCAGGGCATAGACTGCCTTACTCTTAAAATTTGGTATTTTATTGAATTTAAATTTTGGTAGATATTTTATTTCTCAGAAATTTGGACGAAAAGGAATACGTGGGATCATGTGGCGTACGTGACGTTAATTGATGACGTCAGTGGAGCGGATTTCCGCTCGCCGGAAGTTGACCAAATTTGACTGATAAAAGTCACTATGAGACTACACTTTGTGGGACAGTTGTAACGCACTGACAAACGACAGCATAAAAGAAAGCAAAACTGAACCAAAAAACTTAAAATCAATAACGACAAGAAAATGATGATGAAAAAACGAGAGAGAATGAAATGAAAAAAATTTGAGAAGATTTTTAACTCAAAACCGAAAATGATGGACACCCCATTGAGAGCTTCAAGCCTATTTGCGGTAATATTATGTCATTCATGGGTATTCGCGCGAAAGATTTCGTGCAAAAATTATCGTACCGATGAAAATCATCGAACCTTGCTTGAATCAATGACACACGGCTGATCGGAAAATGAAACGAAAAAGATGTCACAGTCTAACTTACTTTAAAAGCATATCATAGCATTAGCTTGTTTGATATAACTGAACAACAGAAAATTAAACTGCAGAGGGTCATTTATTCGGCTTACAGCAATTTCATCCCTAGATTGGTCAATCCACTCGGAACAATTGGTGAGTTGTTCCGAGGATGTTTTAAAAGATCTTCCAGTGGGGAGTGTTGAAAAGCTTCAGGTAGTTTGCTGAGGTATCATTAAGGCGGCGCGGAGTCTCAAAAATTATCTGATATAAAACGTGATAATGTGCTCGCTGCGGCGGTTTGTTTATCTACAAACAAATTTCTGCGCACACCAAATAAGAGGAAACACTGCAAGGACGTTTTGAAACAAGAAGTAATTAATAAGACTATTTGAGACAAATGCAAGCGTACAGTTTAAAAGACAAACCACAGATTGAGTCAGTTAGTGTATAAGAAACAGATAAAGAAGGAATATAGCAGCTGTATTACCCATGGCGCCGCGGAAGATGATATTCCTCGAATACGCTATACATAGAAGGTCTTGAAACCGCCTCCTGTCCCCTTAACCCATCAACTCCTACGAGTGACCAAAACAGAATTTCTCCTTACGATGTCAATACAATGTCAAGTAGACAAGTTGAAGAGAATAAAGGAAAATATCAATTTAGGTTAAAGAGCATGATGACATGATGTTTCAATTTTTATTGAACAGTTCCTTCGAACAATTTAATTATGCCATTACACTAGTAAACGTGATGCTTTTCTGATAAGAATAACATTCTCACAACTAAGACTTGAATTACTTCTCCGTACCTTTCGGTTTTTTTTTTCAACAATATCTGTTGTTTTAACAGTGACAAAATCAAAAAGCTTCCAGCGAATCCAGCATCACGCAAGTTTGTTTTTTTTGTGATAAGATGGGCGATATTGGCCAGACATAGAGCAGTGAAAAACAACCGCTAGGAAATGGTAACAGAATTTGATTTAAATCGTCGGTACTTGCGTGAAACGCCAGACGCGAATCAGCCTAAGATAAAGATCAATTAATATTCAAATCAGGAAAGCTGATCATGAATTGAAAATCTGTTCGAACCTTGTTCGGCTGTCGTCAACTTTCCTCGACTCTGAAATATTATAGCACCAACAGCGATGGTCATATATGGAGGGAATATCCAATGTTTGGCAAACACAAGGTTGTTAGTCTTGGCAAATAAGCTTTCCTCTTATCTGTCAATAGGGTTCGAGAGAGCAGCAGACTACACTGTTTCCGTTTTCACGCGGTTTACGTATACATACAATACAACTTGTTGAGTAATCCCCTCAACTTTGCCAAATATGGAAGTGAAATCGAAAACCACTGTTTGTGGCGGAAGTGGGCACTTACTACGATCAGTTTCTTATAAATTATCCACACTTTTCGACCTTTTTCAAAGTAGTGTGCACTCCTTTTCCTGAGCATTGAAAAAAAAGGTCTAGAATAGTGTGACAGAGGCGCTATAAACAAATCTTGTGGTGGTGTTACGAGGGTCTTTTGCTTCGTTATACACTTGGCATCTAACCACGCAAAGGGCGGTTTTGCTTATAAAGAAAAGAACCTTCTCATTTGACTTCAGTTGGGGACGACGAGTCAACTTGGCCACAAGTCTGCACAGAAAGACACAGAGTAATTTTTTCGGTGCTAAAAATTTGTTGTAAGCAGTGAAGCGGAGAATGGCGTTCAGTGAAATTATCGTCACGTTCTGTTTCCTCGTTTGTTTACAAAATCTCGTTGCGGAAGGAGGTCCAGTTAATTCAAAGCAAGTAGCAGAAGGAATTGTAAGTAATAATATAATTTGTTCATAAACTCGTTGTAAGTTCGATGTTGTCATGCAATATGCCAGCGCAGCACGATTGAATTTCCTTTGTGAACTTAAATATCGTCGGGAACCATTGATCATAAATTTGTCCGAATAAAAAGCAGTTGTACCATCTTCGAAACGCTATTTAATCAAAATCCATGGGTGAATTGCAGCCTGTGAGTAATCGCTCTGAAATTTCTTGAAGGAGGCTTTTAACTACGTCGACCGAAATAGCTCTTATATCCGAGAAAGAAAATGCTCAATCATGCCTAGCTCTATATCACAAATTACGTCATCCTTCACCGACCACGCTGTGTGATGTCTCCCAAGAGAGTCACTCATCCAAGTTTAATTGATTTAACTAATTTGCCTAAGATACATTGTTCAGACGTGGCGAAAATGAAGAGACATGGGTGATCAGTTTTGCGTGTCGTCAATGTGTATATACGTATATCAAAACCAAGTCGGCTGTGGCGACGTGACCCTTTCATCTTTATTTCCTCTGATTTGTCTTTTCCCAGGAGGAGTTCCGCGTTTACGCGGAAAACTTACTAGGGGAACTCCTGATCATTTATTTTGAAAAGATGCCAAATGATATCTTTGATTTCGTTTTTTTTCGAAAGAGGAACTTTTAAACACGTCAGATTCATTACAAAAAGAGGAACTGATGACTATTGATGTTTAAGCCACGATTACAGTTTCGTTATTACAAAGACTGAAATAGAGTCGAAAGGCCCTGCATGGGGAGGGGTAGAGGATTTTGAACTTGCACCTTTCAGTTCGCCCTAAGTCGTTGAACGCGCTGGTTTGAGAAGATTAACTCACATCGTACCATTGGCTTGTTGCCACTTTTGATTGAAACCAGGCACGATTACCAGGCGCTGTACGGAGAATGAGCCCGCGCTCCTTTTCCGAGAAAACGGCGGAAATTAGAACAAACCAAAACCGGAAGCCACACGTTGGACGGCAAAGTCACTACCGCATGAAACTAATTAGATACACTTATATTAAAACTCGAGGAAACTTCAACAGCTAGACCAGTTGGAAACTGCGTCTGCAAACATGTATTTTGTTCACTGTCCGTGAAAATTTAACTCTTCATGCGAAAGTATTGTAGTTCCAGTTATATGACCGCAGGGGGAAAAAAACTCGACATCGAAGACTTGTTGTCAGTCAACATTATTGATCTATTGATTTAATATTTGTTTAATCTCCTCTCAATCTCGTTAGGATTATCTGACAAAGTTTGGCTACCTGATGAACGATGACCCAAGAACTGGAAAGTTGAGAACAAGACAAGATTTAGAGAAATCCATCAAAATGCTTCAACGATATGCCAACTTGCGAGAAACTGGGCAGATGGATGCAGATACTATTGCGCTGATGGGCAAATCTCGCTGTGGTGTGGCAGACTACGGGAATTACAACTCCGATAACACGCGACGAAAGAAAAGATATACTTTACAAGGAACATATTGGAAGAAAAGTGTAAGTCAAGTTTTCCGGTTCTGTGTGAATAATCAGACGCTAGAAAGGATGCCGGTCGCAACGTTCTCGTTCAGCATATAAAAGAAAGAGAAAGATCGTACTCAAGTCTATTATTTTTCATGTTGTATGACGTGCGAAACTTCCGTTAAATTTAAGAAAAGCTCAACTACATACATACATATCGGAAAGACAGCAAAAAATTTACTAGATTAAAAAAATATACAAACTGAAAAAACCTAACAAAGATTTTCACATAAAGTGAGATGTTTAAAATTTAACAGGATTTCAAGCGATAAAATTTGAAAAAGAAATGCGCAAATTGTACACTTACTTTGACTAATTGGGAGAATCAGACAAAATTGAATTTCAAAAGAGCTGAAGAATCATTAGTTTCTCAGTTATACTATTAATCTATATCATTTTAATTGTTCTTTAAACAAACTCTTGCTTGTATTATACGTCTTCTACAAATTTCGTTTGTAGTCGATTTGCTCTGATAGGAAAATCATGTTCTCCTTCAATTTAACAGGATCTGACATACAAGATTAAATCTTTCACAAGAGACATTCCCAGCCAAGAGAAACAGCGTCAAATATTCAAGAAATCCTTTGATATGTGGAGTGCTGCTTCAAATATAAGAGTCACGGAGAATCCACACGCCAACGATAAAGACGTTGACATTCATATCAGTTTTGTAAACGGGTATCACGAAGACGCGTATCCCTTTGATGGACAGGGCGGAACACTGGCGCACGCGTTTTACCCACACAACAACTTGGGTTAGTATACAAACAAACGGACAAAAAAACCATTTGTTTGCATTTCGATTGACAAGTGTCATAAACCATAACCAAAGTAATCACAAAGGCCAATCAGAACAAGGGAAAAGTATAACAACGAGGACTCGGCCAATGAAAATTCGGATTTTAATCAAGAAAACAACTCGAAGCGCGGGAAAACGCAATTGGCCAAAGTCGTGATTAGTTTTAGTCTTGAATCTGATTTGATGAGAGGCTGGCGCGAGTTTCAAGGACAGATCATATTGCGAATTAAAGCAAAATCCCAGCACTACCGGCTTACTTTGGACACTAAGTCGAAATTTCTCTAAAATAATGAATCGGAAATAATTAACAAACTAAAAAAACACAGATTAAGAAATGAGAAGTGAAAAGGAAACGCGGAAAGGAAAAGGGGAAGAATGGAAATATGGTAAAGATGAAGTGGAAAGTTTAGAAAAGTTTCAGAGGGAGCTTTGGAACGGGAATAAGTAACGATCGGACATTGTGAATAGAAATGTAAAGAGGAGAACAAGAAAGGAAAACAGTCTTTCAATTGTTTTCTTTGTTTTGTTTGTGTCTCTGGCAACCAAGTTGGAAAGGATGTTGTAAAACCGCGAGAACAAGTCGAAAGAGACGCACACGCAAGAGGTTATATTACTCCAATGCATTTGGATGACACATTTGTAGATGAGCGCAAAATCTTTTACTCGTCTGAAGTTTCTCTCCTAGCCTTATATAATTAAAATTGTCTATATTTATCTGTGTTTTACAGGACTTTCGGGTGACGCACATTTTGACGATGCGGAAAGATTTACCACAGGGACATCTGACGGCATCAATTTGGACTGGGTGGCTATTCACGAGTTTGGACATTCTTTAGGTCTGGAGCATTCCAATGTGCGAGAATCTATCATGTACCCTTGGTACAAGGGTTATGTTCCTGATGTAAAGCTCACTAATGACGATATCCTGGGAATACAACAGCTTTACGGTAATTGGCCAAACAAGCTCTTTTAAAGCGCAATTCCATTCATTGTTGCTCAGCCAAAAAATATGACGAGGAGCTTGTGACAGCTCAAAGTATAAAATTTATGATGGTTTAGTTTTTCATGCAACTATGGTTAAGGGAGTAACACGATCGAGTTTTTTCCAAATTAATTACGCAACTAAGTTAGCAAAATAATCTTTATAAAAACATTTCTTTCGATATTCAACTAAAAATTTGTTTCTAGGAGTAAGCTTTTGTAAAGTAAGGCAAAATCAAACAATGATGGTGAGAGCTATAGAGCAACGAGTGTCTCATGCAAGAACGTCATTCTTTCGTCAACAAATCAGCTCCTTAGCTATGGCGCAAAACAATATGTTTCAAACGCTAGCCATGCTTCGCAGCGTTTTTTTGACTGGAGATTCTCAATTTATTTTCTCAGGAAAACCGATCAATAAACCAGGACCCACAAATGGCCCAGCTGCGACGCCAGCACTAACAACCACTGAACCTCCGCTCCCTGAAGAAAATGATGTTTGTTCCATTCCTACTTATGACACGTTCTTTATGGGCCCTGACAAGCGCACGTACGCGATAAAGGGTACTCAATACTGGATCATCAAAGATGTTCCTGGTGCAGGCTTGGAGAGTGGACCTCACAGGGTTAAGGACTTGTGGAAGGAACTTCCTAACAGGATAGACGCTGCCTACACCTTCGGTGGTAATAGGCTGGTTTTCTTCAGCGGATCCAAGTGAGTGTCTGTCATTAATTCAGCTCTATCAACTTTTCATCATAAAACTTCTACACAATTCCTGGCATTCTGTGGTCTTTTTCGCAGTTGTTCTTTTAATTCCAAGAGTTAAAAAAGTGCGTTTTATTGACCATTAGTGTTTTAAGTTGCGGCAACATGAGTTTTTCACCGTACAAATTTCCTTAGTTGGTGACCAATTCCTGTTTCTTATACCTTCTTCTTCAATTTCCTGTGGAGATACAACTGAATGACTACATTTGATGTCATGCCATAAGCATCTTCCATCAAATACTTTCGTGTGAGGAAATACTAACTTTTCTCCGCGCGTTTTGATCGGTTAAAGTATAAAGGTTCGGCTAACTTTGCTGGCTTTTTTTGCTAATTCTGTTTTCTCCTCTTAAGGTATTGGCGTTATTACTACGACAGCGGCCGTGATACATACAGAATTGAATACAAAGAACGTGCTATCACAGAATTTGGACTACCAATGACTCTAAAAGACATGGACGCTGTCTTTACTTGGGGAAGAAACAAGAGAACGTATTTCTTTAAAGGTGACAAGTATTGGCGCTACAACGGCCGCACGATCGATTCTGGTTACCCAAGGAGCATCAGTGTTTGGGGAGGAGTGCCGGCAAATTGCAATTCTGTTATGAAATGGAGGAATGGCAAAACGTACTTCTTCAAAGGATCAAAATACTTCAGACTCGATGATTGGAGGATTCAAGTTGAGGCTGATTATCCCAAGAGTATAGCGCTGAAATGGATGAGATGCGAGAAAGAGAACTTAGCCGTAGAGAAAACCACTGAAACAAGCGGGGTGGACAAAGGAGTGAACGGGACACAGAGAGACAGCTGTAATCATGATCACGAAGTCTCATCTGGGTCAGCGGTCTATCCAAGTGTTTTTACAATTTGTTTAATGGGTTTAGCTTTTCTCAGACAGAACTTTTAATTTGGAGCCACTTTTGTGTAGCAGCTTAGGTACTCGATCCCGATAAACTTTGAAATGATACCTTGCTGTCAGAGTGGCTAAAGTTGAAGACGAGCGTAGCTGCAAACACGCGATAAACGACTGTTTTATTGAAAAAGGACGGATTGCGTGACAAGCTACACAGTAGTCACGCCACAATTCTTCCTCAAGAACCGAAAGCTTACAAACCTGGCTTTAAGTGTTTAGGAATATAATTTATTGCATTTGCTTCCATCATTTTTTGTACCAACAGCAGAAGTTTTAAAGTTATTCTTCTTCCAACTTTTCCCTAGGAACTGAGCAGTAGAGGAATTTTTTTCAAACTTAGGCTGTTTATAATTTATTTTTACATATTGTGCCATTTCTATTTTAATCTGTCTCTCTTGTACATATGAATAAAGGGGTAAGTTTCTAAAGAAACTGTGGTGCTGCGTCGGTGGGAGAGTATAGCAGGTAATTTAGTGTTAACAAATTAGCCACCATAAAGGGTAAAAAAGCTGACGTTTCAAGCGTTAGCCCTTCGTCAGAGCGATTAGGGTCTAATCGCTCTGACGAAAGGCTAACGCTCGAAACGTCAGCTTTTTTACCCTTTACGGTGGCTAATTTACGTTTTCAACCCAGTTGTTAACACTAAATCTCTTGTAAATAACTATGAAAGTTGAGAAACCTCTCAAACTTTAAAAATTAATTTATGATTGAGGAAAAAAAAATTGAGCAAATTGACTATCCATCAAAACCAACAACTTTCTATTGGCAGACCATACGCTGCAAAAATGAATGTACATGTGTAACTTATTCTTATAATAACATAGATTCGAATGGTTTATATTTTCTATTGAGATTATTTGTAATTTTTTGAAATCAATTGATGAAATGAAGACTATCACCACTTATGGTTACTTTTAAATGTTTAAAAGTTTTTTTTTTTAATAAAATGTTTTACATAATGTTTCAAAGAACAACCTTAAGCATGCTACGACGTGCGAGAGTATTTTCTTGGGATGGATTGGGAGGGACAATTATCCTTCTCTTTTCTCGGCTTCTTTGATTATCAAAGGGTACAGCATATTTATGTTTCATTGTCAAACCAGACAGTCCAACAACTTGGTCAGCCATAATTCAAATTAAAGAATTTATAAATACTACATAATTCAGTCACTGTGTGAAAAATAAAATTAATCAAAAGGATCGTTTTTTAATAACTCCTTCAAAAAGTGCAATTATTTCTTAATTAAAATTAATTATTTTAATTAAGAAATTATTAATCAATTATTTCTTCCTTCATAAGAAGCCTCCTACAAGAGGATTACAGTGAATAAAAGATAACTAACACAAAAAGACAGATTAAAGCAGCCACAACGGCTTTTTTCCTTGTGAACTTAGATCAACCTCTTGGGTTCTTCACCTTACCTTAGGGCATGCTGATGGGTGATGACAGAGTGAGAAACTCCCATATTTGGCCTATATGTAAATGCACGGCCCGAGTCTTCACCAAAGAACACTATTTAGCATCTTGAACAGGGTGTTCCTTTGAACCTATCACCTTGTACATGGTCTATAATTTGGAAATCCATGGTAAATGCATGGGAGGTGTAAAAAAAGTATTTACAAAAATATAATTTGATAAATCTGTTTTAAATTTCCTCGATGTGGATGTGGCCCATATGAACAATGTAAAAAAATCTGCTAATTTTTTTGTCTTAAACAAAACTTGATGTTAGTTTGGATAATGGTTCTGGTATTGGATCAACTAATATTAACCTAATTGACATTTTTATTTATTCTTGTCACTTGCCTGCCTGATACTGTATTGATGTTGTAAGGAAAAACTTAGTCTCGGTCACGGGTAAAGTGTTACAAATGACTGACATTTTGAACACCTGAGTGGAAGTCTTCATCTGAGTCAAGTGAGATGTTGACTTCTGCCAGGGCTGTCAAAATGTCAGTCACTAATAACGACAACAACTGTCTCAGGAACTTCAACCATGACAATATAGCTAGATGATAAACTGTTCCTCTTAGGTTCAAAACATTACCTATCTATATACTATCACAATTGTAGCATATTAGAAATGCATGCAAAATTAATTTCTTCTTTCATTCTAGAGCTTCACCACAAAACCACAACAGAAGAATAAACAGAGTCAATAATACTAAACAGTCATTAAAACTAAATGTTAACTTGTACCTAATCAGCAACATTTAGAATATATTTTTTTATGCTGACAAACACTGCAGGCATTTGGAAAAAGTTTTTTAGATATTTGAATTTTTTTTCCCATGAAACGTATGCCACATAACTGTTAAGACATCACCATGTGTTGAAAAGCTTTCTGAGTTACCAATTAACAAGAAAAGCCAACAAGTCATTTGAATTGGAAGTAGTACCAATATCCACTTCCTGTAAGAAATAAAAATGAAGTGAAATTATTATGTTAAATAATTTTTTGCAGTACAATATGCACATATGCTACCACAAAAATGAGGATACAGTTAATAACAATCAAGTGGTAACTCCAAATGTTTTTCCAGGACTCATTCAACACCGAAACAATCATCCACCATGTGGGGTCTCTATGTGCCACTTGTAGTTAGTTAAATTTGAAAACAAACTTACATTTCCCTCCTTCTCAACCACTGCTTTAATAGAAAAGTACATTTTTGTTCCCTACAGAACTTTCAGTCATTTTAAACAACAAAAATATCAGGCTGCAACAATAACAACAGAAAGATTCCAATCTGTAAAGTTTTCATACTAAAAGCTTCTGGGTGATTTTTGGGTGGTGGTAACTGTCGATTTTCAAAATTAAATAATTCTTTCCTGTTAACAATAACAATTGAACTTTGCTCGACATTCATAAGGAGATGTACTTAGCAAAAGACACATGGATTAGGTACAGTACTTACTTTTGTTTCAGCTGGAGCAGCTTCTTTGGAATCATTCTGCTCTTTTGGGGATGAAGATTTGCTGGCAGCTGATGACTGTGGCATCTCAGACTCAAGATTTAGTTTACTTGCATCTTTCTTCTGTGGTGTCTCTTTGGCTACACTTGAATGATTTTCTTTGGGTGGTGTATCTGACAAAGGATTCCCTCTATTTTCCTTTGAATTTGTCTCTGATGCAAGACTTGTCTTGCTTCCTTTTGAAGGTGTGTCAGACAGCAAATTTCTCTTATTTAATCCAGGAGGTATGTCTGATGCAAGACTGCCTTTACTTCCTTTAGGTGGTGTTTCTGATATAAGACTTGCCTTGCTTCCTTTAGGAGGTGTGGATGCAAGGCTCCCTTTGCTGCCTTGGGTACTATTACTAGGGCTAAACTTCTGACCCTCAAGAAGAAACTCTTTTCGTGACAGAGGCTCTGAACCAGGCAAACTCCTGCTGATGCTTGTGTCTTTGGAGTCTGTGTCAGAGTCATGTTGTTTCTCTGTTTTAACCTCAACTGGTACAATTACAGTATTTAGTGTTTCTAGATCAGCTTCTAGTGCACGTTTTAGTTGCTCTTCAAGTTTTCCCTCCTCCAGTAAATGAAGATCTTGTTGGCTCTAAAGATAATTGGAAAGAGAAATCATTGTACAAAATTTAGCAACAATTTCTCCTGGTAGAGCTGATGAAATTAGTGATAACAGTGATTAATGTGTGATGCAGAATGCAAGTTTAAGGGCTTATTTATAGCCCATGACTTTTGGAAGCTATGAACCATCCTCCTCATTACATGCTTTTAAAAGAACAGCCCTGATGTTGTATGTAACTCTGATGCATTTGCAGCCTCTTTGATCAACTCCTTATGTTTCAACATGGTTTTGTCATATTATAATGAAAAAATAATGGTAATAGGACTGAGTAGAGTCTAATTCAGTCTGTAATCATACAAGTGATTAACAAAATTGGATGACTGCTAGACAGAAGTCTGATTTTTCAATCACGAATATGATTACAGACAGAATTGGACAACAGGAAGTCCTTTTACCAATTGATAATAACTGTTACAATTTCTGAAAAAAACAAATAAATTCCTCAATTTTGGAAATTCTCCAGTTTTTTTTTCAGGATAAGTAGATGTAGCTATGATTCTAATCAATTCTGTGATTGGTAGATTTAGCTGTTTGGACTTAGTATGATTGACTGCTTGTCCGATTACAGGTGTCCAATTACAGCCAACTGTCCAATTACACTGTCCACTTATAACTGTACAGAATGGTTAGTGAAATATAAAGAAGCTAATGCATCAATCACATTTAAGGAAATTGTAATGGTTATTGGACTTGCAATTGTCCAAATGGAAATACTTATTGCAAAATACACATCAGTATGTGAGGTGTCACCATCTTGGATGTTGTAAATAGTTTTTAAGTGCACCATTACCTTTGCTTACACCAGCCCCTCCCCAGCCTTCCCAGTCCACAGCAATGCATTTCATAAGTCATTTTTTTATATCACACTGCAATATTAACTTTTTTAGAATAGCATAATGTCACTTGATAAAAATGAAAAAAACATTTAGTGAGGTGAAAGGATTAAAACATTGATAATGAAAATGTTTGTGAGGGTACGGAACCACCACAACCAACACACTCCATAAAAAAATTCCAAACCACAGACTGTGAAAAAAATGTGTTATCAACACTCACTCGTGTTTCCCAGGACCATGGAGATGAAAATTGATCTTTGGAATGGATGTCCTATTAAAATAACAAAACAAAATAAAAATGGTATAAAAATTACATAAGGTGCTCAGTCACACAAGACACAATGATTCCATTGCATAAACTAACCACTTGACTTTTCAAAATGTTAGCAGAATGCAATATAGGTACTTGTTTAAATGAGTAGGTATACATACAATGTATACTAGCAATAATTAAGATTAAAAATAATCAAAATACATACATTAAAGCTAAACAAACTGAACTGTTACAAAAAATAACTGGATAAGTGTGTTTGTGTAAAAGGTGAAGGTACTGTTGGTTTAATAGGATTATAGGAAATTGAGTTTGGGTTTTGGGCCAAGAGGGTTGGTAATCCACAAGTCTGGGATTTGACTCCTCATATACAAGGGGGTGTGGGGTGGGGGGAGGGGGCTCAGATCTTTTTTTTGTATTGCACTCATGATATAAAGGGATAACAACTTTTCCTATTCAATGACCGAAACCAATGGTATCTTTCTTTATTGGCAGCTGCTGTAACATGCATGTTAAAACACATTTCATCCTGCCAGGCACCCAAGTTTAGAGCCTGCAGTTGCGTGTACTAATAGATTTTTGTGCTCACAACTAGCTGGAGAGCTAAGTTCAGAATCAAGTATTTCACTCAGTCTTATTTCACATTCACAAAGTATGTGAATGAATGCTTGCCAGTCTTCAAAAAGTTCAACCTCCCTAGACCATTCTAGAATTCCTGTTGGTGGCTCTAAACATTTTAGTCGCAAAACTTTATGTTAAATTTTGTGAAAATTACACAATAAAACATCGACGATCTTCGGCCGATACAACGTTTTATTTCTTTATTAATTGTAACCCTCATGACATCTCAAACAATGTTTGAAATGCACTCTTCAAAACATGCGAAATATAATCAAATTAACTTACGTCATTCCACGATTCGCGAATAATTATGAACAAAACTCGACGAGCCTTCTGCTAACATGAAAAAGTTGCTACTGATAGCTGAACTTAAAAGTAATATTGGTGAACAAACTACGTACATGTGATTGTGATCAAAATACTTTTCAAGCCGAAAAATCTACGTCATGTGTAACGAAATCATTTTGACATACTTTTTCAAAACGGTTACAACAACCACGCCCAAGCTTTCTTTAGTAAATGAATCACGCTTCATGATCGAACTGAAAGTGTGACGGTTGAAGGGATTAAAATAAAGAGGAATTTTTGAGGTATATTCGTCACCCTTTCGCAAAATAAAGCTTTTAGCGAAAGCTTGTTTCCTGGAAGCACTTAACCAAGTGGAAATGTTCACTATAAAACAAACCTTGAAAATGAAACACAAAAGCTCACCGTGACAGATGTTATGCTATCTCTCGGGTTAAAATTGCCCGGCTCTTCAGACCCTGAAATGCCATGGGCCAATCTCAACACTGGAAACCAATCTGGCTTTCTCGTTGAAAAAGAATCATCTAAATAATAGTGTTTTTTCACTTTGGGACTGACCATTCGTTCATCTATGAGTTTATCCTGTTCGTCGGGACTTAAGTTATCCCATTTGTTGCCTTGCTCGGCCATCACTTCGCGTTGTTCAGTGATGATTCTCCGACTCATATGATTCAAAGACTCGAAGTACGAGAGAACGTATTCATTCATGTTTTCGACACCGCTTACATACTTGTTTTTCGGTTCAAAAGAACACTGCATGGTTGGAACTTTCTGTTCATTCGTTGTCTCGTCTACGATTGACTCCTCCATTTCGTCGATTCTTTCAGCAAACGCCTGTTCGATGGCTGCGGCCACTTCCGCTTCAGAGATAATGGCCGCCATGTTTACTAACTATCATTGACTCAAGATTAACCTTTGTTCTAAAGATAATTGTGATTGGCTAGAGTGTAAAACCTAGCCAATCAAAAGGGGTGTATTATCATAAGAACAAAAAGAGCGCGCTGTTAGTTCGAAAGCAACACCGGACTTAAGCGAGGCTGGTGCAGCGTTTAAAAGTACATTAAACATGTAGTTCCTTGAAATTTGAAACCGGTGTGGTCCTTCCACTACTTCCCTGCTATTGCATTAAGTTGCAGCAATGGTGCTTGTACTCGAAAGAATACGATGATGATCGAAAACCGCGAATACACAGCCACGGCTGCAGTGGAGAATCGCTCCGAAGATTTCACTTCCGGTCACAAAACGAAGAAGATGACGATTGCCTTCACGACACTTTTGGTGGCAATAGTTGCTGTTTTTGTTGATCGCTTTGTCATAATGCGAATTCAACGCCAATTTTCTTACACAGAGGGTAACAGTGAAGCCGGCGTAAGATTTGATGTCGTTGATGAAGAAGTGCTTAGTCTGTTTGTGACATTCGATGAAAACTTGGATGGGGTTCTGGATTTGTCGGAATTTATCGAAATTGCGAACAGAATTTTGCGTCGAAAAGTAAGTAATCGCGTTGTTATTTATTTATTTTTTTTTGAAACTCGTAGAAATTCATTTGTGGATACACGCAGAACGATCTCAATCTTGTGTGGGAACACGAGAGGGGACTGAAAAGAAAATCATGCTTAGCTGAAGGTTTAACAGGCTCTGCAGTTTAAAAATATTTGATCATTACTTCTTCGGCATTCACAGCTTCATCGTCAACTTCTCCGTTGCTTTTCCTATCTCTTATCCTCACTCTAAGTCTACTAGTAAAAGCCGCATGCGGTTAAAGCTCAATCGTTGTTATGTGTTGGTGTTAGGGATCTCGCTGACTTAGGATGTTGATGAGTCATTGGCGTGCACTAGTTGAACATTAGAATGAGGAAGGTGCTGCATGAAAAACTCTCCTTACCCCTCTGGATTTCACTGTGCTTTTCAAATCCTAAGCATTTAAGGGTCAAATGGAAAAACATAGTAAATCCTTAAAAGACCTTGAACTTTAAAGTTTGAAATAAACGTGGTTAGTAAACGAGCCTCACAAATGTTACGAGAACATTAATTATACCTTAACAACTATGACAGTTACTGTAGTGGAAAAAATCCGTAGTTCCTTGAATGTTGTAAACAATTTTTTTTTCGCTATATCAGCTCAGTTGTGTAGAGTGACACTACAGCAATGCTGGTTGTATCTAAAAGAACAAAAAAAATGAATACAAAAAGGAAAGATGCGGCAAAATAAGCTGAGGAAAACCCTAACAATCCTTGAACTCTCAACAACAGAATGAAGTGTTTGACACTAAATGCTTTTATTACAATATTGGTTGCAACTGTTGCTATTCTTTTGAATCACTGTGGCTTAACAAAAATTCAGCTTGAATTCACAGGCAAAGTGGTGAGAGGTAAAACCTGAGTATAAGACATGGTGTTGTGGATGAAAATTTAAGGAACAACATTTATTTTGAATCCTGTGATGAAAACTAATGGATGGTCTCCTTGATATGCCAGAATTGGCTGAAGATGTAATTTAGTTTTTGCATCAAAAAATTTGAGTTAGATTGGGTCGAGAGTTAAAAAGTATGCTTTCAAAGAGTTTGAAATACTTCAGCTGGAGTAATGTTTGTCTTAATCTTGTGTTGGAGTTTGAGGAGGAATTGGCAAGAAATTTAATGCTAGTCGCAAAAAGATAAGCTACATCATCAACTTTTAACAGCTCTGCTCTAAAGGCTATTTCTTCAGTAACTACTAGGTGAACCAAGAAGCTTAAGTTATACGTGCCTTTTAATATATTTTTGGACCTATAAGTGATCTCACTGCATGGCCTGGAATGTTAATGTTGTTGAATCACAAGACACTCCTGAGACCTTAAATTAATTAGTTATTAATAAACCAAAATGAAATACATCCATATTTATATAACTAACCCAAATGCCGAAAGCAGAACAGAATTATCCATTGAGTCACTCCAAGGTGTCAAAAGGTCACATCTGATGTTTTTAACTCAGGCACCAGCTGCTGGAGGACCTCATCAAATAAAAGTAGCTGACAGCAGTAGTGATACTTCTGCACCAGATGTGAGTCACATGGCTGCAACAGAACAGTTGACTGTAATAAGTAATTTTACTTCGCTGGTGCTCACATCAATGACCAAGTATTCTGATGATCATTCTTCAGGGTTTGATGTGAGTATTAATTTTGATGTGAGTTAAGTAAGCCATGCATCTTGGACAGGAATAACAAAATCTACCATATTCATGTAAAAAATTTACTACATACTGTGGCTACTTAGTCGGGTAAATAAGATTTTTTTTCATTTTGAATTTTCTGAATATTTTAATAAAACCATTCAGAAATATCTGTTACACATGAACAGATTTATACAAAATTTACTTTGGGTAATACTTTTGACCTTTTGAATTTCCAACTAAGTCATATATTGGCGTACTTGTATGTTTAAATTGAATTAAAAACTTGAAAGTTAGACAACAAGCAGTCCCTCCTTTTTCAGTGAAGTCTGTCAAGTGAGGAAAAAATTTTTAAAAAATTGATGTTAGCAGGCTGCACAGAACTCAGGGATTGAGACACACAAAAAATTGATGTCAGCACCAAACATGTGCCTCACACCCAGAGTTCTGCGCAGTGTGCTAACATCAATTTTTTTGTTTGCGGATTTTTCTATTTAAATTGCATGACAGAATTGGGAGAACAAGAGGGACTTCTCACAGTCTAGTTAAAAAGAGATTGTGCTTATCTATATTTGTTGAATCAAGGGATCTGACTTTGCCCCTGTAAATTACAACAAAGTGGTCTGTTGAAGTTGTAAGTTATAAACTTGTGTGGTTTTTTTTCCTAGGGAAATGAAATTCAAATGCAGGGACTGAAGTCATGGAACACCTCTTCAGTTCCCATGGCAACATACTCAGTAGATGAATTTAGAGCATTTCTACCTTACCCAGTCCTTGAACCACCATTAGGCCAACCATGGCACATTGTAGAGTCTAGGATTGATAAAGATGGTACAGTGCGCCAATTTTTATTTTAACTTTTATTTGCAAAATTGATAAATTGATAAATGTGGTATTTATCTCAAAAAAATGATGGAGGTAGATGGAGGAAAATCCTTCCATTTTAAGTAACAAGATTTATTTTAACTACTGTTTAATGGACGTAATCAATTTTTTTTTGGAGGCTTTACCCCTTTTTCCTTCATTGTTTAAGATGTGATGTGAACTTTCAAAAATGATTTCCAGCAATATCACTTACCTAAAAAACAATTTTTTTCTTCCAGTGATTTCTGTAAAACTGCATTATTTCTGGATCTCCAAATTAATGGTGACTTAGAATGATCATACATTAGCTAGGCACTCTTCCTTCCATTCTCTGTCCCTCTCTCCTCTTCCCCTAATCCCGCCCCAATGCTGCCACAAATTGTTGCTGGTATTTTTTAAATTGTAACTTCATTACCCTGCTGTCCAATGCTCATAGTCATAAATGAATTTAAATGTGCAGGTCCAGGTTTGACCAGCAATAGACACTACCCCACCCCTGTGAAAGGGAGACTAGCCATATTGTACAAACTGTTGAGTATGTTCCATCCACGGCCATTTCTGCTGACCAGGTTTGGTCCACAAGGAACAGTTGCCTGTGTCCGAGCAGAGAGCAAGGACTACTTGGACATTGTTTTCAGGTTTTCACTTTTTTGTGTTTTAATATGTTTATATGAGAAATCCAATTGTCCGGCTGGGTTGCATGACAAGTAAACAACCTCTAAAAGCCATTATGATTCATTATTAACTTTAACAGAAAGCAATTTTTTATACTCAATGGCCCTATGCAGCTGCAAGAGCTTATCTTGCAAAGCACCACTGAATTAGACTATAAAGAGGTTTTAAACCAATGGTATACTCTTGCTCAGCAGAGCTAGATTTAGCAATAAGAGATTTTGAACCACAAACTACTAATTGAAATACGCCAATTTTCCATTGAGTGATCATCAGAAGCAGAATGAGAGTAAGAGAAATGTGGCTTGAAATAGTTCATTTAATTAAGTAGCCAATGATATTTGTAATACAATGGCTGCAGATACTTTTAAGAGGCCAGAAGTTCAGCATGTTATAACTCATTAATGGATTAGAAGGAAACTTCGTATTAACCGGTCGCTAAGAAGAGTCTCAAGGATGTCTCTTAATTCATAAGTTTTATTGCAATTTGGAAGACACCTTAGTCTGAGTAATCGAATACATTGAATGGTTTTTTCTAGATAGTGTAGTTTTTAATCTCTTAGACCAAGTTGGATGATTTGAAGGCGAACTGGTAAAGGTGGGGGAAAACTCGTTTTACGTAAGGGGACGACTGACTCGCAAAGGTGGTTGGGGCGAACTTGTAATGGTTCACGTTCGTCACTTAGTGCTTGAAGGGCATTTTGACTTTCCTTTTGCCAGGATACATGCAGAGTTTCAGCTGAATGAACCTCCTTTATTGCCATTTTGGTTCACCCCTGCTCAGTTCTTGGGTAATATTGTAATAAAAAAAGATGGGACTCATGTAGAGTCTTTTCACCTGGCTGTGCCTAATAATAAAAGTTTAAACGTGGGTAAGTATTACTAAAGAAACTAGGGTACATTGTAGAGCGCTCATGTTTTCGCCCCTAATAACGTAATTGACACCTTTAAGTTGACAATCCAATAGTATAGAAGATTAGCACACTAGTGCTGCGCAACAAAAGAGAAATTCCTTTTGAATACGGGACTCCAAGAATCCACTTGAATTTGACTTGCCCTAAACATCTGAGTGCCAAACTGATATCTGTGACGCATTACTTCAGTCGGCGGCAGAGCCAGGATTCTTTGCATGGTCGTCCGAGGTTCGACTCTTCCTAGCCTCTTAAATTGTTACTTCATTCACAGCCCGTTTTTGAGAGCTAACAATATGATCGAGAACTGGCGCCAAACCATGCAAAAAACCAGGAGCGACGGAAACGCAGCCTCACTGCAGTGATTTATTTACTCATTTACTATAAGATAGTGAAATAAAATATACAAAATATATTCACCAAGTGAAATGCCCAAGGCCTTATTTGGTTAGGGAACTATTGTTACTATATAGTTTACACATCAAAACATCAGGTTTTTTTATTCTGAAGTCGATGTAGCTTATTACAATAACTATTATAGTTCAAGTGAATTGTTTCCATGTTTTAACTTGTTTAGTTCTTTCCTACAAGAATTGTATGAGTTTAAAAATGTGCTTTCTCTTGTCCATTTTAGATATGGAATGGCTTGTCTCCACTGTGGCGGAAGGGGACACAGGTATAACTGAAATGATCAATACACAAACAATCGGATCCAACTGCACAAAGTAGAGTACAAATAACGCGCGAATAGAGCACAAATATCCTGCGATATTGTACGGTTATTTGGACGGTTGGTTATTTTGTACTGTAAAAAAACCTGTTTAACCAGTCGGCTGCACGCGCTACGCTTCTCTATCCGCCTTGCTTTTCCCGCCTTATAAGAAATGAGCAGAAAGACTTGGCGGAAAAAAATAGCAATGGGGTGCTAGATAACCTATTAGACGTTTTGGTGTGTAGTATCGCCAAGTATCTTAACTTGTTGTTTAGATCGATACTACACACTAAAACGTCTAATAAGATATCTATAACTTTACGTGTTTCACTTAATGTACGTTGTCAAACAACTAAAGGCTGGTTTTCACTGGCGACGGAGTCGGAGTCAGAGACGTAGTCGGAGTCGTAAGAACGATTCCGACCGAGTGAAAATCGAAAATCGGAGACATTAGCGGAGTCATCAGGTCATAAGCTGAACGGAGTCGGAGTCGGAAGAATAATAACGGTTTCATTCTCTTCCGATTTCGCTTATGACTCCGACGCTTATGATCCAGTGAAAACTATAGATTATCGGTGTTGAAAGCAGAAGCGCAAGAGCTAACAAATCCAAATGCTAATTCTTGAAACCTTCTTTTGAAAAAGTTGGACTGACGCATGTACTTTAGCGCCTCAACAGTAATTTGATGCTGAGCACCACTCCGAATTTTCATCTCAGGTCTGACTAACGCAGCACTTGAATAACCAAAACCACCCATACAATAACAGAGAAATTACGGGCGCCCTGATCGATCAAAAACTGGAAAAGTTTGTAAACCTACGGCTTGTGATGTACAAAACTTTTCTCTTGTTCTCCCAACATCCCAAGTGCATGGATGATTACGCCGGTGAATTGATAGAGTTTATTATTTACTTATGAGGAATACATCAGGAACTGGCCGAGGGAAGGGTATTTCCAGTTGACAGAGCTTGTTTCCTCGTAATACAGAAAAAAAACTCGCGTATAAGAACCTAAACTTTGAGAACCTGTTAGGCTGAAATTTCCCAGTGAAGCACCCATCTTATAATTATAAGAACCATTCTTGGCTAAAATCTAAATAAAAGTTCTTTTTTTAGAATTTAGAGTTTTTCAAATTTGATACTGTACATCGCATGCGTTACACAAAAGGTTACAAAAACTAGCTAGAACACCGACAGTGTCGTAAGACCACAATACTGTTCTGTCAATACATCCATAGCTGTGCAACACATCCGACTGTGTGAATAAGTTAACCATATGAGCAGGACACTATGAGGCTGGCATATAGCGGAGTATCACAACCACACCCACCAATAAAAGTTGTTTTGTCTACAAAAAAAAGCAAAATCAAAAATTAAGAACTTGGTTAAGAACCCAGGTAGCCTAATTTCCCAGTAAACACCATTTATATAAAACCTTTAGAGGCTAACTTGAAAAAACCTGAGGTTCTTAAACGCGGGTTTTTACTGTATTTCTTTCTCAATGTAGACACAAGTTATGAGAGCAGTGGGGGGCCTGGAGACATGGAAGTAGACATTGGTTAGTAGAACTTTTCATAGTCATAAAACTTATTGAAAAAATGAAAGGTTAGCAAATATGACTCTAGATATGCTTCTCCTACCGTTTCAATTTACTGTGACAATCAGGAGTAATTCAAGATCACGATAAGTTTTACATAACAAAAGTTGCATGATCCTCTTAATTTTTGAGATGTAAGACCACTCAAAACAAATTACGATTTGATACCTTACCTTTTCCCACACGTTATTTAGACAGTTTGCTTGTTTTCACTTTGAGGGTTTATTGATTCCTATGTTCTTTTTTTTTCTTCAGCCTGATTGGCAGTTGTGGTTTTCCCGCTCTCAATTGAAATATTTATGCTATCTCCTAATACAGATTCACAACTTCTAAGTATTAATGTTTTTTTCCCTCAGGGTTTCTACCCCAAATGGAGCTTAACAGTGTCATGCCTTCGATTCTGCCTGGTCAACAACAAACTGATGAAGAAGTAGAATCCACCAGCAAGACTATCAAGTGGGACAAAGAGATTTCATTTGACAAGGCTTACAAAGCGCTTGAAGATGCGTTCTATTCTTTTAAAGAGGTAAACTGCATATACAAACTCAACTGTCAAGGTTTAGTTGCTGGGTCATTAAAATTGACAAACTATTAGCTGAATAATTAAGTAAATAAGCAAATGGATAAATGCAACACCGTACATTTTTAGAAAAATGCTTCAAGAGCATTCAAATGATAAGGCGAGAAGTAATAAAAAACCATTTGTCTGATGCGCGGAAAAACGCGAGTTATCAAGTCGTGGTTGGTCAGTTTAGCTTTGAATCTGACTGGTTGAGAAAGTGGCGCGAGTTTTCTGAATCAATCGCACAGCGAGGTAATCCAAAACCAAAGCAATCCCAAATGATCTTCCACTCAGAAAATTCGCGCCACTTTCTCGACCAATCAGATTTAAAACTAAAACTGGCAAATTGTTTGTCGAGTTTTCATTGGATTTTCGAGATGAATACCCTTCGTGCAAATTGGCGACTTTTATGATTACTATGGTTTTAGTTATGTGACGCTCCATCGAAAAGTGCACTTACTAGCGCATGGCTTTGTTGAAGTGATTAAAGGTAAAAGGAGGCTCTAACGGACCACTCGGCTTCCAAAATTCAAAGCTGATCTCCTTGATCTACATTTCAGGTTCCCTACGTGTCCTTTGAAGATGCACTCAATAGGGCCAAAGAAGAAAAAAAATTGGTTCATCATATTCTGCTGTGGGGAGCGTTAGACGACCAATCATGCTGAGGTATAATCTTTAATCTTATCCAATGTTTCACCAAGATTTTTTGTAGCTATTCAGTTAAATACCTTAAGGCAGAGGCTCTTAACTTATGTTCTGTCTCATAATCGCTTGTAACAGTGTCCATCTTTCCGATTGGCCGCTGTGATTTGTTTGGCTTTGGTTAGGCGGTTCCCCCCCCCTGCATCCCCCCGCCCCCCTCCCCCAGGCTCAACGGAGTGTGCTTCATGTTATGCGAGAAGAAAATAGAACGTCAGGTCGCTTGTTATACCAATCACCCTTTTTTTTTCGACGAGAGTTAATGCTAGTCGACGATAAACAACGAAAGTTAGCGAGATTTGACAAGAGTTATTCAATGTTGGAAAGAGAGCAGTGATTTGTGTGAATTGGTTCACGTTTATCAATTAAAGCGCGACCTTAGAAGATTGATTTGCCTTGAATTCACAGGTTCGGGGCGGACTCTCCGAGAAGGTCCGTTGGAGAGCCCGCCCGTGGTCCACGTGTTGAAGAAGAAATTCATCAGCAGCTGGACACTTGTTGCAGAGCTAAAGGTTTGTAACTAAAAAGGCATATTGTTTCTAGAATATGTACTGCTGCTCGCTTGTCTGTTCGCAGTTTCGTCGTTCCATCAGTTCATTGGCTGTTTTTTGCTTTTTCTTCCTTAAAGCAAAAGGAAGCCTTCCTTCTGCTTCTGCGTAATGTATAAACTTCTTCACTTGTTTGTTTGTTTTTTTTTTAATTTGAGTATTTCTATAAGGAAGTTCTAAGATTCTTCACTCATCGTATTCACAGGATATAGCAGCAAATGGGACCAACTTGGAGGTGACTAAAGCAGCCCAGGCACATCTGGATATTTACAAGTAGGCTGAAACTGTTACTCGATACATTCATTGGTCAATCCAAGAGTTTAAAAAAACATCTTGAGTTCATAGGAATCGGATTATGCCCGTTGTTATGTATTAGGACTTTTCCGTTCACCACAGAACGAAAAGCTTTCTCAAATAATTTAATATACTCTCCAGGGCGTAATACTTACTTTGGAAATGAACTCGTTTGCTTCCCGTCATTGCCCACCTCACTGAAATCGCAAAGGTCTGTGTGAGGACACTTTATACCTAGGATACAGCTGTATAGGGCATCTATGAATTAGCAAGAGGAGATTAAACTAACAAACTGTATATCTTACTAAAGCTTCGCTCCTTCTTGTAACCCACAAACATTTTCCAAGCCATTCCCATTACATATTTTGTTTCCCCTCTCCTGAACGGCCTTTTGTGTGTTGGTGTTGTTGTTGTTGTTGTTTTTTTTTTGTTGTTGTTCTGTTTTGTTGTTGTTGTTTTTCTGTTGTGGTAAAAAGAAAAAGAAAAAAAATCGAAATTTTAGAAACGCCATCTGGCGAGATGGTGCACTGTAGTGCTATTTGATATAAGTTTTAGCTGAACTTGCTCTCTTGATCGTATGTGAAAGCACGTGGTGATGACTTAGTTTTTAATAGAAATCGAAATCTTTGGTATTACCGTTATATCAGAACGCGCGCCTGCAATCGGCTTCTATGCCCTGAACTCAGTGAGCTTGCAATAATTATTTCCTTAGCTTCCTTTTCTGCTGTTGTCATTGTTGTTGTTGTCGCTGAAGCTAGAGTTTCTCGTGGTGCCGCCGAGAGCAACTATCAAGTCTCTCTCGTGCTCTCCAAACTTCCCGCGTGAATCCATAACTCTATATACGCACGTTAAACATGAACCAATTTTTAAATATCACTGAGATATATCTCTGCTCGAGAACGAGAAATGACCTCGCGAAAACAAGACCAATATGGGAGGGTTGGAGGGGGAGGGGGGTAAGTCTCTTTGTTTACACCTCTCTTAAGGTAAGTATGACGTTATTGTTATTGTTTATTGGGAAATGTTTATGGAGGGTCTTACGCGCGTTCGAAGAAGACATTATTATACCAGACATACACGACGGTTTCTCACGAATTTTCTTTGCAGGTTTCCCGTGATGTCAGTGGTCTCTCTTCCAAACGGAACGGTTGTGTCAAAAATGAACGCAAATGATTTAATGGAGAGGCAATCAGGCGAAGAAATGTAAGATAACGGGCTTTTTTGTTCAATTCATTACTTGACTCCTGAGAAACTAACAAGGGTAATTTTCGTCCAAATTACATTATATTGCACCCTTTTTCATGGATGATCTAATCACGACGTAAGCGTAATCCTGTACTAAGCCACATTGAAAGAGGAGGTTATACCAAGAACAAGAAGTCCTTGATTTCCATTTGTTTTTCCTCAGACTTCCATCAGGATTTGATGATATACTGTCGCATATTTACTACAAGTTTCTGGAAGAAGGTATCACTGGAGCCAAGAAATTCAACGAACTCTAGCTTAAGAAAAAAATTAACAAGTGAACGACTGACTATCGTAAAAAAGCTACATCGTTTCTTGTAGACAAATTTCTCCGCATATTTTGATACTTTTTTTCATACAATATCTTGATTAATAGCAAGATTCAGTTCTCAAATCGTGTAAGAATTCGTTCAAAGTACAACTAGGATATTCTCTTTCTAACTTTCCCTACCATTTCAGAAGTTTTAATAACTTTTTTCCATACGCTGCTGATTGTGTACTAGGCGGCCGCGCCTGTATAAGAGTATTCTCCTTCACAACAGTTCTTGTACTCTTTTCAGTCACGCAACGTTCCTTCCCTTCTTTGGGAGTAAAGTTGCGGGACGAGTCTAGGAACGGCTGTGAAGGAGAGTAGTAGAAGGGCCGTAAGGTGAAATCCAAACAGTAGACTGCAAGCTAAACAGACGGTACTACGAGGTCTTACAAGCAATATCTTTATTTTATATTAATTTCACAATTCTTTAATGTAATGTAGAGGACCAACATTTGGCTTCCGTTTTCCTCTTACAGTCGAGTCAATTATTAGTATTGTTGTTTCTATAATTATCATTACTGCTATTGTCGATGTTTTTGTTGTTGTTATCATCAATGTTGTTCGTTCATACTAACTCTAAATGACAATGACTTTTCCAAACGCGAAACTTCGTGTGAAAGTTGTTTGATGTACTGGCAAATATGAATGAAACGACCTTCTTTTTAGTAGTTTCGATTGTCGTCGTGTTACAGTTTTATGTTGTACCTTAAAAAGCCTCTGACCAGTCACATAATTGTTAGTCGAAAGTTTACACAGAATGTAGAAGTATGAAATAAATTATTATTTATACAAAATCTTTGTTCAAAAATGCCTTGCGCGTTCTCATCACAGTGACTCTGCTTTTGGAGGAGGGAATGCGAACAAGGCTTCACCATTGGTGTTCCATATCTTGTAGTCTGCCGATAAGAACTCGTATGCTACAAAAAAAAAGAAAGAAAGAAAGAAAGAAACGTACCCAACGAGGAAATTAATGCGCGACTCATGTTGATTGAGTTCAGGGGTGAGCCAGGAAAACTGGGTCGAGTCCCCGAGGCTCACAGATAAACTTGAGAAAGATGTTTTTTTCGTCTCGTCATGAGCGTGCCGCTTTCACAAATTCCACTGCCACGGAAATAGGAGATTTTTAAAAATATAAATTTTGTTCTCTATCCTGAGAACATGTCAACAGGTCAGAGTGTCACCAAGAGAGCAACATTGATACTTACAGATATTCAATTTGAATTTCCCTACGGGATAAACTGCCAGTGACCTGGTATCTATGGCACATCCTGAGAAAGTGAAGTCTTGTATCTTGAAATAGACCTGTTTGGGAAAAAAAAAAAAAAAAAAAAAGAATGGCTATCGACTTTAGGTAGAAATTTTATGATGTTCCATCACAAATGCTACAACCTGATTAACCCTTTACACCCTAACATGAGTATCCATATTCTCCATACTGTTCTCTATACGTTTACTAAGGTGCTGATGAGGAGAATTTGTCTAATCATCAAGAGTTTCTTTAGTTGGTGATCATTTCCTTTACTCTCATGACATTAATGTGTGATTCAGTAGTGATTTTGTAAGGAGAAATTAGATGCTAGTCACTCTTAGGGGTTAATGGGTTAACTATACACTATTCGCTATCTATTCCGTCATAGATTGCAAGTTAAGGGTATCGCCCAACTGAGTGCGCTCGTAAACAGAATAAAATAAAAACGTACCCGTCTTGTTGAGTTTCGAATGACTAGAAGATTCATTTTAAAACAATTGGATCATTCGCTCTCAATTTCTTTGGGTGACAATTGATTTGTGCTTCGCCCTCATCAGCTGTTAGCGCGACAGAAATCTCAAGCCCATAATGTTTTTGAATAGCGTCAGACACCGAATAGGATGAACACGATCGTTAATGAGAGGACTTTAATAATAAATGGAGGCGTCTTCATTGAATCTCCACAAGAACCTTCATGACATGTGTACCAAAATAGACCTCGGAAAAACACCCAAGTAAAAGGGGAAAACGCGAATGACCACATCATGATTGGTGCGTGATTGGCCTCACTGGTGACGTAGTTGGCGCAGGCTTTTCTATCAGTCTTATATCTGGTCTTTACTTTTCCCAACACCTCATCTCTTCCAAGAAAGCTTGTAAGGTATTGTCGTTTTCGTGTACCTTCAAAAAAATTGTTACTCACCTGCGCATAGGAGTTGATTCCAGTACAGAAAGGATCCTCTACAAAGGTAGGCTGCAGACCGTCTGCCGTCACCTGTTGTTGCCTCTTCTCACCGAAAAATATAGTGGCACTCAGGGAGACTTCAAGGGATTTGGACGGAAACTTCTGACCTACAAATACAATGTATAAGATGCTGGAAACCGTACAGCAACGTTCGCGTTCGAGCCCCGAATAGAGTCACTGCGTTGTGTTCTGGGTCAAAACACTTGGGTCTGCAAGCAAGCTCTCATTAGCGCTACCCCACCAGCGGTAGAGCTCGTGAAATTAAAACTGGCGGGCGAAGCGTGCGTGCGTGGGTTCCGTGTGGATCTAGCATGAATTTTCGTGCGAGTCAGCCTCGTATACAGTGTTTTCCCCTTCGAATATGAGCGCTTTTCTTTTTTGGTAAAATCTCTGGTGGTATAGTCTCTGCAATACCTTGCGAATAAAACCTAACAAATAAGTAAATACGAAAATTATTGATACACTGACCTACATCCCAAACAAGGCGTCTTTTATCAGGAGACAGCAAAATGTTGCCAGTTGATGGACCAGCAGAATCCACTCTTACAACGGGACCCCTGAAAAACGTAAAAGGCACTTACATTAAATGATATGAACAGCCTAGTGCGGTACCAAGAACTTTCCTTTTTTTTTTTTTTTTTTTTTTTTTTTTTTGGGGGAGGGGAAAGGGACATTCCGAGAATCGTAAGTATATGGCGTCCATCTGAAAACCCTTACAATATTTCATCGTCCTCTCGTCCATGTCAAGCCTTACAAAAGTTCTTGTATGATAACAAAAAGAGACCTTTTTAAGTCTTAATCTCAAGTTCCAAGAAGTGCATTGAGTCATGAGCTTTTTTTTTTTTTTTGGATCAGAAAAATAAAAATTCCAGACCAAAATGAGTTAATAAAAGTGCCGTTTGGTGTCCCATGTAACTAGATAACTTATTAAAGTTCCATCATGGAGCAGAACAGAGGCACAAAGTAACTAACCTGTGAAAGAAGGGAAGATGAACTTCACAATATTCAAATGAGTTCTTGACTTTGTTGCTGAGTCTTAACTGGACTGAAACCTGCACAGAGTTTGCATCACCCTAACGTAAGATCAAGGCAGGATTTCTGTTGAATTCTTATATCTTTGTTTGCCAGTTTCACTTTACTATTAAAAAATACTACAATAACTCTCTGATACATATACTGCATTGAACATGCATGGCCTATCCACAGCTCACATCCAACATAAGTCAGATTACTTATAAATGGTGTTAATCATGGGAAAAATATGAAGAATTGACAAATCTTATTGTTGTGACAGCAACAACAAAAACAAACTTAGGATTATATATAAATTTCTTTCCTTCCAGCATAGTTTAACAGCTCATGCACCATGATAGCTGAGCCAATTGAAACTCTTAAATGGCATATCATAGTCATACAAAAATCTAGTGGTTGTTGTCTTTTTAACAGGTTACCTCATTATGTATGTAAAAAAGGCCAGTGATAAAGGTTCATTCTCTGCTAGAAATGAGCAAAAAAGCAGCGGGCACTTAAGTGGGAGGTACAGTAGGCAATGAGCCATACATAACCATCATTTGTAACCCCTTTCACTTGTCTCCTCTGATGGAAATCCTATACTATGCAAGGAAGCACCCTTTACCTGCATCTGGTATATCCCTTGGACTGGCAAGCCATGTGGAGTCTTGGCAGAATAGTGACACAGAGGGAATGATTCTGTCGGAGGCCTGAATCTTACTTTCCTACCTACCAACTCAGGCCCTTTGAGCATCTGGGATGGTTGAAAGGAGGGGATCTGGACATGAGTATCTCCTTCAAGCACACAGGGGTGGACCACAAGAAAATCCAGGGTGGAAGAGGTGATGTTCAGTGTGATTTCTGGGATACCCTCCAAGTCAGCCTGGTAAAAAGAGTCATCAGACAATGGTCTTAGTGTGGGTCTTAACATTTACCCAACAGAAGGAAAAGGGGTCTTTTTACTGTTAATCAATTTAAGGGTAATTGGTTGCTGGCCACATGATCATTTGAAGGTTGAATTCTCAGTTTCATTAAGAGACATACTAAATAAATATTGTTTTTACCAAAACAATCAAATGTTGTCTGCATTATCAATACTGTAAATTTTCCCTATCATTCATGAGTAATAGTTGTGTAACTTGTGTAGTTATGATCACCTGGGTAAAAGTTTAAGTAAGATAGCTTAATAAAAAGTATGCTATTATTGTTGAAAAGTCTTTATATCATCCAGTCATGGATGTGTATACATCTGGAACACAAACCAATTATTTACTCAAGTCTTATAGTAGTAATGAGTTACTACCTAATGTTGTAGTCTCTTCCTTAATGGCAAAATATCCATGATGAATAACCACAAACTTTTTACTTACCCTGCATAAAATGATCCCAAACAGTTGCCTCTCATCTTGTACCTCTTTTTTCACATGCTGACATGAAAAAAAAAAAAAAAACAGTAAAAAAAAGCTTTATTAACTTGCAATTTGATTGGCAGCATCCAGTTACTATAGCTTCAGAGTGGACAACTTCTGAATAAGGATAAATCAAACATTTAGTTCCCTAGAGTAAGTTTACTTCCTAAGTGGGCAAGTAACCTTTCTGGCTCCCTTTCAACTAAGTAAATCCTCCTATGCGACACAATTTCATGAAATCTCATTCAAATCACACAGGACTACTGCTACTGCTATATTCATTGTATGACAATGAAACTCTCCATAACTTGTGGCTTAGAGAATAAATATGGAGTCCAAGAGGTTAATTAGCCAAGCCTGTTTATGTGATATCTTTAGCTTAGTCGGAATTTTCAAATTTCAAAATTTGGAAAATTGTGACCACAGAGAGCTTTTTGGTAAAGATTGAACTTCACCCTTACTGAATAAAACTTCAAATACTGCTCAAAGTTAAGATGGTTGGTTATGGAAACACACTCTTAAGTTTAAGCCTTTTCCTCCCAAGATCTGACTGTTAATTCTCCCCTCGTCCTGTACACATTTCCTTTTAGATTGGTGACAAGAATTTGTTGTTAGATCTAGATAAAAACTTCTACCAGATAAGTTTGAGTATTCTCTTTACCATTTTGCAGGATGATGTATGGATATAATAAGGAGACGTTACATATTAATCACTTCTGGGAGTTAAAGGGTTAACTATCAAATTCTCAATGAAGTCATCACTATTAACAGTCACACACCTGAACAGCTCTGATCTCTTCTTTAACAGTAAACACAAGTTGCTGTTTCCCTTTGTACTGAACAGGCTTCCAAGCAGGTTGCTAACAGTTACAACAAAAAGGAATTTCACAATTTCATTCTGCTTTACTGCCACCCTCTTAATACAAACACCTTGTTGTGTTATTGTACATATGCATTCAGTAAAAATTGTGTGACAAAACCATTAAGAATTTAGGCATTTCATTACCATTATCCAAATAAGTACAATGTTAACTTCAAAACTACAAACCTTGCTTTTAAGAGGTACAGTCACATCTTTTAAGTTGACAAGTGACTGAATTGTAGCCACATTTGTGTCAACTGGAGTACCAAAAGGCGCAGCTACACAAAGGAACTTGCACAGCTCATTCATCTTAGATTGTAGCTGAAAAAAATTAAATTATCTTTACATAAACAAATCATTTGGGGCTTAAAACGCAGAAACCAAATGTTTAAAAATTTGTCAGCATTAATATTTTAATGATGGAAATGACCTTTTGCTTCTTCAGCTACACTGTAGCTTTTCGGTACTCCACTTAAATAACCACCTTCAAATAATCTATGTCAACCCTGAAATGTTCCAGAACTCTTCATGGCTGAAGGAAATCCAGTCAGCTGTTAAAAAGTGTGGTCACGGAGTTGAAAAGGACTATGATGAAATCAATCCATCTGGCAGTCTGAGTAAGATCCAAGACCTTGAAATATGGATTGTAAGTTTGATACTCTCACCACTCCACCATGCTGCCTCCTTGCAATCAAAGTGACTGATAGACTGCTAACATCTTACAGTAATCAAATCTAACATATTATCCCAAAAACATGTAAAGTGAAAAGACAAATTTATCACTTAAACAGCATTACCCTGATGTAAAACAGAACTGTTCTCATTGATTTGCAGTGCATCACCTTTTTGAGAAAAGTCTAAAGGAATTATGAATAATCAGATCTTCCAATTCAAAAGCAGTATCACTTTATAACAAAAGCAGTGTTTCAGTACCTCCTCTTTGGTGGTCCAAGTTCCAACGAAGTCAACCATGGAGTGAAGTAAGGAGTATCCTAGTGACACACCAGGCCTGAAAATGAAGATAAATATTAAATAGATATCAATACTAGTTAAGCTTGTAACCATAATTATTATAATGTGCACGAAAAAATTACAAGCTTCTGGTTGGCTGAAAGCAAGTGCTTTCGCATGTAACACAAGTGCAAAGTTGTAAAACGAATGCAAATTACAAAAAGGGCTCACACACTTTCAAAATTTTGTCTGTCTTGACTTTCTGTGATGTTTTTTCTTGTACATTGTTAACAAGTTATAACATGATTTCTCTTGCAATTTGGTTTAATAAGCATATGTAAATTTTTCAAAGACTACAAATCAGGGCGTGAAATTGCGCCTAATACAGGTGCCAATGCGACTAAATTTTTTACTTTGGCGACCAAATCCTGAAAATTAGTCGTCAAATTGGTGACTAGAATGTTTCATCATAACCTTACCTAGAGATATAGTAAATTTAAAAGATTTGCAAAGATAAATCCGCAGCAAACTTCCTCAATAAATTTGTTTCCAAAACGCAGCACATGCATCAAGATCGATCATTAGACGCCATCTTGGATTTGGGTGAGCTTGAACGTTGCATATCATCCATCCTAGTGTCCACTTTGTATCACATTAAAGATCTTTTCCCTAACTTAATTTCTAGAACGATGACAGCGTAAAAAAAAAGGGTTTGTTTGTCTTTGAAAATGGCAACCAACTTCTTTTGAATTGGCTACCACTTTGAAGAATTTAGGAGCCAAGTGGCTATCAGAAAAAAAAAATTAATTTCACGCCCTGCAAATTGCACTTGCTCCACGGGTTCATGTAGTTTTGTTGTCTTTGAAAAATTTTCCTTGTGCCCATTAGCACCAAATTGCACTTGAAATCACATTATTACCAGTACTAATTGCAATAATGGCAATTACAAGAAAAATACAAATAATCATAAACAAAAACAATCAGCAAGGATTGTTAACAATTCCTGAACAAAGTGGAGGTAAATATCCACCACTTTGACCAACACTGAACCGAGGTGAATAATTGTTTTGGTGTATACTACACAGAAACCAAAAAACAATCTTACTTTCTTTCTGTTAATATACAACAAAAAAGAGTCAGAAATCAAATTGGGGATGTTTGTGTGATCTTGCCTCTTTGGCTGCTCACCTTTGAACCAGCCAATCAACACTGAGCACTAAGCTAAGCACTATTTGCCTGTGTGGTATATGCTTAATACTGATTTTAGGAAAAATAGTCAGGTGTTGTCTCTGACATCAATTACCTTCAGTTTATTAATACTAATGTGGGTAAATTTTGTCAAAAATAATTTTTACTGGCCTGAGAGGGGTGTGGAGGAAAACTTGTAGCAAAAGTTAAGTGGAAGAAAGGAGAATTCATCAGTGGCATTGATAATATTTTGATTCCAGCCAATTAGTAATGTACCACCATCAATATATATAAGAAGCGCAAGAACCTCTGTTTAAATTATAATACTATGTCCAACAAGGTAAGGAACGGCACATAACTGTTATTTATTCTCATGATTTAACTTAAAGATAGTAAGTGAGTAAGTAAAGACTTAATTTAAAGAGGGTAGCACTCAAATAGTATAAAAATACTAACAAACCAGTGGCCCTCTTAAATTATGTACAATACAGATGTTAAAAACTATGGCATAACTATGAGATAATATGAAGAATAAAAATACAAGAGAAAAGAGATAAAATCAATTAAAAGTACAAAAGTGTAACTAAATCACAGAATAAAATGATTTAAAAGCTGCTGTTCTTCAAAAATTTTTTTCCAAAGACAGTTCCTAAAAGAATTAAGCAATGCTATTTTCCGCATAGATCGCGGTAAGCTGTTCCAGGCTTGACAGGCAGTCACAGTAAATGTTCTTCCTCCTTCAGTTTTACGTTTGATAATAGGGCGAGCAAATAATAAGCAAGTTTTGCCTATAATAACACTTTAACTCCTATGAATGTCCAAGACAGAATTTCTCCTTACAATATCAATACAATATCAATCAGATAAGTGATGAGAATAACAAAAAATATCAATTTGGGGATAATTAGTTGATGCAATACTAAATTCTCTGAAGTAACATTCAAAGAATTGTATGGTTGACTGTAAGGAGAAGTACAAATTTGATCTGGGAGTAAAGGGGTTAAGTAGACAGAATTGACTTACAGTTTAACAAGGGGAGGTTTTCCATGTGAAAGATCAGTTTCTACCAAAGGCAGACACACGAATACCAAACCAAACTAAAATAAAAAAGAATGCAAAACAATACTCAGCATAAACTGTGGACATGAAGTTGGGAGAGCAAAAATCTTCATCAAACTATACTTAACTGTGCTTAATGATTTGCCAAATAGTTTTTGAAAAAACAAGGTTGATGATGTTGTTAATGCTGCCTTACCTTTTCAATTATAACAACTGGCCATAATAAACCACTCTTCAATCTGACTTCATGTGCAGGTTTTTGTTCAAGCTTGTTGCACAAATCCACATCTTTGTCAAACTGAGAAAATACGATATTGTAACGACTGTTATCAGAAAATCAAGGCATTGAGCCCCTCTCCAAAAAGCACATGCCTTCCTTACCTCCCTCAAAATAAATAAAATCAGAGAGCAGTGAGATAATGTTGTAATTATGCTCTACATTAAATTAGTTAAACATCTGGGTTCCCTGAGAGGCATTCAAAATTAAAAATACTTAACTTCATTTGAAAACTTTGTTTAATTAGTAGATATTTTTTCATTTTGCAATAAGGTTTTTCACCCAAAGAAATGTATGCACAATTTATAGTATCCTTTATATAGAGTTTTAACAAAATCCCAGCTTTCGTTTTTGCACAGAACTACAGTGAGGCTGAAAACAGTACTTTGCTTTATCAGAGCTATCAATATGATAAAGGTGAACAATAACCTGCTGATGCTGACAGTCACCAATTTTCACCTATGTTCTGCCTAAGTCTGACACTCCAGGTTGTGCCTGCCGCACAAATTTACCTTCATGCAAACTAATTGAGTTGTTGCTCTACATAAGCTATCAAATGAGGTGTAGTGTGATAATAACCAGAACTAAGAAGACACAACCTCATCAGGGGAAGTTCCCTGCTTTTTCCTACATCCCAGCTCTTTAAGCACAGCTTCACATAATTCTTTATCGCCAGGGATTGATGTTAAACTAAGTGCTCCCTGATGTAGAACTGCTCGTCGTTCAACAGTTGGAAAACACCTTAAGATTATACAAAATGCAAAAATTTCTGTTATGGTGATTCTAATAAACCTGCCCTTCTACCTCCTCAGAAAAAGATCCCACATTAGGGGTGAAATTTGAAAAAAGGGCCTATACCCAATTCCAGATCAACGGCCCCACCCTGAAGTGACAATTAAATGGGGAGATAGCCGCTTAATCCTAAAAATTCTAATATCAGTATGTACATTCTCCGTAATGGTTGCCACAAATTACATATGGTAATGACTGGGGTAATTTGTTCAACAATCAATACTTCTCAAGTTTGGGATCATTTCCTCTCTTCTCATGCCAGTATACACTTAATGTATGGTCCCAAGGGAAGCAGTTAGTTTTGTTTTTCTGAGAGTCCTTAAGTATATAACAATAATGTTTGTTTCAGGAGCGACATTGTAAGGAAATACGAGACACTGGTCTAGTTACTCTTGGAGGTCGCGAATGTATTTAACTGTTCTTTAGCAATGCTCACGGGACTACTTTGGATTGTATGGAACTGAAAATTTCTCTTCAACAGACACATTTTTTTAACACCCTAGGTCATATTTCACTCGGTCTGCATAGTCCACAGTCCGTTCACGCTTCCTTCCAATTCCTCAGTTCAAAGTTCTTGTTTAATGACTCTGTGTACCCTTTGACCCACGCCCACCAGAAAATAAATTCATTTTTTTAGCAACAAAAGTTTGAAAAGCAAGAGCAAGGTTTACAAAAAAACGAAAAGCATAACTCATTACATACGTATCTCGGACGGTCACAAACGATGAGAATGTATCGTGAAACATTTTCTGAGGGTAGCACGTGAAACATTCCACTTACCGAGAAAACAGGACACCGTCTGACTCAAAAAGGGCTGAAAAAACCCAAATACCACGTAAGCTCATTGAGCTAATCTCTATTCAACTCCAGCCATGCTTAATTTTCTTAGCCGACAGATAGACAGCAAAGTCCGTCCGCCATTTTGTTCAAAATAGAAACCTTATACCCAGTCCTTTGTCAAGCAAGGTCAGTGAAGGTGGCTTTCGAACATAGTTCACTTCCTGTTTAGTCGAAAGAGGACTCGGTTAAACGTTTTGGTCCGCCAAAATTATTGAAAAAAAAATAAGGCTGGAATCAAATGCAAATCTGACTTGGCATAGGCTCCATACAAGCATTTGATGAGTCAAATATAGAGCCAAAACAGGATACATCCCTCACACACGTGAATGTCTGTGACTTGTGCGTGACGAAATAATTACCACGTGAATTCTAACTGACCAATCACAGGTTATGTTTTCATCAGGAACCTTTGATCTACCTCAGGTAGCTAAAAAAATGTTGAGTTCTGGCGCAGTGGTGTTTCTGAATAGTTCACTTACGGCAATGGATGCATCAACAACTGTGAAGAATGGCCACTGTAGCAGTAAAATGAACGGTAACCCAACCAAAATGGTGGCAAACGGTTCTGCCGCACAGAACGTCTCGCCCAAGTTAGGAGCTCGAAGAGAGGAGGGCTCTAGAATCCTGTCCTTGCTGAAATTCCTATGGTTCGTCATAGTTTGTTTGCTGTCCTACGTGCTTCTCTTCACGTCCGTTCTGCCCTTGGTTCCACTAATTGTGGTATACTACAGTCTAAAGGTGATCGAACGATATCTCGTCTACTGGACATCTGGCGACCTTCACCTGAGCGGCCTGGATGCGCTTTGGCAACAGAAAAGTGACGTGAATCGTCTGGCGATTACCGGATTTTACTGCGCGGAGAACAAAACGGACTTCGAGAAAGCTCTTCGAGATTTCCGACAAGCTGTTTTAGATCGCATGGTGAACGCTAAGAGGTCGGACGGAACCTTACTTTATCCGAGGGCCCGTTGTTGCATTCGCCCAGGCTACTTTCAGTACTTTTTTCAGGAAGACAGATCTTTTCGCATTGAAAACCATGTGTTTAAGTGGGATGGTGAAGTGCCCTCTTCCAGAGAGGAGTTAGAAGGGATCGTTTCTAAGCTGAGTAATGAACCCTTTAAAGAAGGAGTTTCCCCTTGGTATTTCTGCTGTGTCCCTACAAATTATGGTGACAAGGATTTCACGGCAATCTTCAGGATGTGTCACAGTGTTGCAGATGGTGTGTCCTTGACAAGGTTCCTTATAACTCAGCTACCGGATCAATCAAAAAATGAGAAGGAGACTAAGAAGTTTACGTCATCAACTTCTCAAGTACCTCTCATGGCCAAAGCAATATTAAGAATGGCATATTCAATGCTTAGGCTAGTTTTTGGCTTTCCCGACCAATCCATTCTACATGGGCCAAAGCTGAGTGGCGTCAAAAAAGTTACCTGGAATGAAGGATTTGATTTCAAATTGATCAAGCAAATCAAAGCAGCCACAGGCACAACTGTCAATGATGTCTTGATGTCTTGCCTCTCACGTGCAATCAGAAGGTGCTTCCAGAGAAAGGGTGTGGAAAACCCTCCAGACTTCAAGGCATCAATTCCAGTAGATGTCCGTCTTTCAGCCCCCAAGAAAGAACCCAGCTTCGAAAACATGTTTTCTCTGGTCTTCCTTAGGCTTGCAGTTGGGACTGAAGGTGTTCTGAATCAATTACAAGAGACCAAAGCACGTATGGATGAATGCAAATACTCTGGTGAACCATTAGCCACAGCCTGTGTGATTATGCTGTCTAATGAATTTTTCCCTGAATTTATTGTTAAGAGACTAAACACTGTAATCACTGAGAAGTCAAGTTGTGTTTTATCAAATGTACCTGGTCCCCAGCATGCCCTCTCAGTGGCTGGTCGACCTATCAAGTACACAACATTCTGGCCTCCTCAGAGAGACAACATTGGAATTGGGCTGTCCATCTATACCTATGCTGGCCGAGTTATTATTGGAGTGCAAAGTGATGTCAGTGTGCTACCAGATCCACAGATCATTACAGAAGAGTTTGGAAATGCTCTAAAGGAGATGACCCAAAGTGTTCTTCATGATGACGTAGTCAACGGAAATGTGATTCGCTAGACTTGACCTGTTGATCAGCTTCAAGTATCCTCACAAGTGATAGGACTTGAGTAACTTTGTACCAACTTTTGTTGAACTTTGTTTGGAAGAGGACACTCATGCATGAAAGCAAGTAAGATTGTAATATTATTTAGTACTAACAAGGTCCTAAAACTATAATGAAAGAAAAACAACTTGAGCTAAAACTTGACCTTGTCCAGGTGCTCGGAATGCTGACCATAATGGGGTAGAGAAGGCATACAACTAAATTGTTGATAGGTACATCTTTGAAAATTCAAAGCAGTAATCAATTTTAAATGAATGAGCCATTTGCTTCATATTTGTGAAAAAATACTTATGCGTTAAAGGTTTTATCCCAGAGACAAAATATTGTTTAGAAAAAAAGTTATTTTTCAACTTGATACAATTTTTTTGACAAAAAATCATACAAATTTATGTATTTGCGGAATGTGATATCCTATTGGTATGAACCCTAATTAATATGGATATTAATATATCCATATTCCCCATACTTGACTCTGTATATTCCCTTTGGTGCTTTCGTTTGACAGTCAAAGCCTGCGTTATCAATCATGTCCTTTAATTCTCATGCCTTAACCCTTTAACTCCCAGATCAAATTTGCAATTCTCCTTACAGTCAACCATACAATTCTTATAATGTTATTCAGATAATTTATTATTGAATTGACTAACTATACCCAAATTGACATTTTTCTTTATTCTCATCACTTATCTGGTTGATATTGTATTGATATTGTATGGAGAAATTCAGTGTTGGTCACTCACGGGAGTTAAGGGGTTAATAAATGATTCAGTAGAATAACTGTATGGAGAAATTAGATGCTGGTCACTCTCAGAGCTTAGAGGGTCAGTAATACTCTTATAGTCAATTTTGTTCACTAATACCATCCTAAGCATGCACACAAGTTTGTGTGTGTGAGATTTGCATGCAAACTTTGAATTTGGCCAAAGCCTGTAAGGGGAATAAGTGTTTGTAACTCAAGTGGTGGTTTTGTTGTAGAGCAAGTGTTGATCCATTTAATTTCCCTTTTTTAAGTAAGAACGAGGAGGAAATCACTAGAATTTTGTGCACTCTAACTAAGAATTGTTACTCCAAAAAGAGTGTTTAGGTTTCTCACTATGATTTTTGTTGAAAATTCACATCCAAACTTGCGAATCAAGTTAGAAACAAACTGTACTGAGAGATCTTTTTCATAGTGACCTTAAAAGTTAGTGAGTGGAATATTTATTGTAAGATTTGATAGAAACTATCCAATCAAATAGATAAATTATAAAATTTAATATTTAAAAAATGACCTTATATCAATTTACAAGAGTTATTGAAGAAAAAAATTACAAGTTACCTTTACATTGATTTGATCTTGTACATGAAGGTACAGTTAGTTGTTAGAGCATAGTACATACATTTGTGAAATTAAGTATTGATTTGTATGGTCAAAATGAAGTTATTATCTAGATCAAGTTTAAGTTGATTGTTAGCTCAAATAAAAATTAATTTTGTAAGAAACTTAGCAGATATCAGTAAGTATAATTATAAAGTACTTTGCATCATATACCGTAATACTACAGATTATCATTAATGAAGACAAGGCAATGTAGACATTGTCTAAGATAAGAGAGAAAGATACTGAAAAAATATCAAACATCATCAATATTATTGAGTCATGATCTCAATTTTTCAGCGTTATTAGTATTTAAAAGATAGTATTTGTTTCAAGTAATAGATTTTTGTCAATTCTTTTGTGAAAAGCTTTGCTCAATAGTTTATTTTATTAGATAGTGCAGAGGCAGGAATGCTTAACTCCAATAAGTGATAAATTGTATTAAAAATGGGGAAGAGTTTAAAAGTTTTTTTTCTTTTTTTTTTTGGTTACATTTTGCCTTGGCTCTTGATGTGCTTTATTAGTGACTATAACTGGACTTTTTCTGCAAATGACACTGTAGTGAAAACATGGACCTTGGTGAATTCATAAATAGCATGCAAAGAACACTACCTCCAGTTTTTGCAAAATTCCCCAGCTTTTTCTTTAAAAGTACAGTAAAACTTGTTCTAAGCGGCACCATAGAAGTTGGTCACTCTGTATCAAGGGTCAGTTGTGTAAAGTCCAAATTTTTTTTTCCTTAGTTACTGTGATTTTCACCTCTATTAACAAGTTGTGGTTAGCCTAAGTCTTAACAGCCTGTTTGTAATGTCTTCCATCTGCATTGAACAATCACTCTACCCTTTAACTCCCACAAGTGACCAAGACAGAATTTCTCCTTACAATATCAACACAATATCAAGCAGACAAGTGACAAGAATAAAGAAAAATATTAGCTCGGGGATTAGTAGTTGATCCAATACCAAATTCTCCAAACTAACATCATGAGAACTATATGGCAGACAGTACAGAGAATTATTAATGAGATCTTGGGAGTTAAAGAGTTAAATTTAAGTTAAACTTATTTTTAAAAAGAAATGTGTTGCAGCTGGAGGGGAAAATTAACAGTCAGATCATAGGAGGAAAATTTCCAGACTGCAAAGTTTTTTTGTTGCCTGACAATCTCCTGACCTGTGGCACTACCTTGTTGCTGTCACTCATCTTGATAAAGCTGTTCATCACAGGAAACAAGGCTGTGATCAGTAGCTGACCATCACGAGGGTTAAGACAATTCAATCTGTTGTAATTGGTAGATTACTCATCCAATTTTTTTTTTTGTCTAGTCTAGATAATCCAATTGTCTGGTAATTCAAAATGTTTCCCAAGGGAGTGGGGGTTTCAAATTGATTTAAATTAGGTGTCAGACTTGGCAAAAGTAGGCATCAGACTTGGCAAAAGTAGGTGACTGTAAAACATTCATTGAGGTCCAAAAGGTAATTATTTTGACCAGAATAATTGGCAAAATGTTATCAAGTAGCTGATGGATATCAAGCAGTCATTAGCTTGTTTAGAAATCCCTGTGAGAGGAAAGTGGTCAATGACAATCGACGATTTTTAAATTGTGTTATACAGATAATAATAACTCGTGCCAAATCCAGACACTCAAATGTTTTTTTATTGTATAATAAATAATCACATTAAATCTCACCAAGGGAGATGATAATATGCCAGCACATTTAAATCTCAAAACACTGTACAGAGTTAATCAATACTCTGTTCAAGTAGATTATTCAATTCACAATATTTGTGAAAAAATAATTAAAATAAAACCTTCCTGCAATGGCATGCTGCCCCAATTCTAGTGATTTCAAAATGATTTTTTTCGTCCTTTCCATGCCTACATCCCTTTACTCAGTCAAAGTACTCTCCATTGTACATTTCAAAACCCTTTCAATGCTCTAGGGTTTGTGCTATTTACAAAAATGTGTTGTTCATCCATCTGATAGTCAGCACAAATCATACAGTCACATTAACTTTCAAATGCACATCAATTATCTTGACCTCTTTGGCATGATTTTGCTCAGTATCCTAAACACTGACACTTGTATTCCTGTCCATAACAGATGGAAATTTCTCCTGTACCAGTCTCTGTTTAATACAAAAGGTAAAACATAATTTCTTGTTATTACCCTGGCTAAAGCAAGATGTGTATTAAAGTCTTTTCACCAATATGAGCAAAAGAAAAATCCAAGTGACCCAAAATGAATTCAAACCCCAGCCATTTCTGAATTTGCAATCAAACAATATTAGCTTAGACAACTAAAATTGTGCATGAGAGTTAAAAATAATCAGGAGCTGCTTTTGTTTAATTGCTCTGCTTTCTGTGATTGGTTGTGCCAACTTCTCTATCAATCATATGTTGAACTAAAAACCAGACACAACTTGCAAGTTGTCATCTGCATTTACTTACACCCTGGGTAGTTAGAATGTTTTCCCTTTATGTTATTATGGGCTAAAACACATGTACATCTATCTTTTAGATTGTGCCCTGACTAGCCAACTACTGTAACTACAGTTAACTCTCTCAAACCAAACACCCTCAAAAATTGGAAAAAATGTCTGTTAGTAGAGCTGTCTGCTAACAAGAATTATTGCCAAAGGTAGACAGTAAAGAAAAGTAGAGTGGATTACAGCTTACAGGAGAGTGTTATGTTGGACTCTTGTTTATGTCAAATGAATAGACAGCTTGCTTTCACGCAGACAAATGGAGATTTCACAAAACTGATACTTGCTGTTGTGCTGCTCTATCAATGGTCATATGTTTGTTGATTTGCAAATTCAAGACAGCTTTTATTCCCAAGAGTCAATTATTATTCATGGGGTGTCCATTTATAAGACAGCACAAACCAAAGAAAAATCCAATTTTCAATTTCAAATGTGTCCTTGAATGCTTAACAAAGAGTGTCCACTTAAAGGTATCTGCAAATACAAAGTTTGAGTAGGTGGCAAAAACAAGAATGGAAAAAAGTGTTCATGAGTAGAACTGTCTACTTACAAGAGCATCCATTTTCAGAGAGTTGACTGTATTAAAAATAAATAATTCTAACTAATCAGTTTTTGTGTTGTTACCTGAGATATTGAGAATGCACATTGTAGTTGCCATCCAAGAAATCCCGATAAAATTTTGACAACTCATCAGCTAACTCCTTATCTGAAAAAAATTTTTAGAAAAACAGTAACTCCATGAATCATCAAACACTTTGAAATGTCTTGCATGCAACACAACTTATCAAAGATAAATTCAAATTCTTCACATGAAGAAAAGACATCAAAGGGAAGGATCCTTAGCTCAGTTGTAAGGACCCTTCCCTCAAACTGCTGGAGCCTGGGTTTCATTCCCAAACCAAGTGTTACATGGAGGTTGAGTTTTGTTGCCATTGTTCTTCTTGTCATTACTTAAGGGGTATTTATCCTGGTTTTTCTCCAATTTGAGTCCCTCAATGTAAATCCAGTACCTCTTAGTCCTAGTTTTCTACAAAAAAATTCTTAAACTCTTTCTCCTTATAATTTTGGCTGATCAAAATTAATTACCATATACATGTGCTGTTTCCAAAGGGGATTGAGTTTGCTTTCAATATAGGGCTGCAGTCTTCAAGGTTAAATAGTATCAGTCAGTGTAACCTGAACAAGTAGGACCTACTGTGTTCTGTCTACATGTAACTGACTGTGATTTTACTTCTGACACTTACTTGTGTCTGTTTCCAGATTTCTTGGTCGTAATTGGAGGAAGGCCTTTTTTGACTACAACATAAGAGTTCTCAATTAATATCTATAGGTCCCCAACCATACAGAAAAATGAAATGCTCCCCTATAAATGCTATTATGAGTGATAAATATTGGGATAAAGAACTTGGACAACCGTTGGTAATAATCTTTTTTGCTGAGATACTCAGGTGTTAAAAAACTTAAATAGCCTCAAGGCTCTCAATTCTATGTCACACATTCTACAAAAGAGTAATATGTACAAGAAATTTCATGTCTTTACCTTGATTCGTTTAACAAACAATTTTTAAAATATCCAATAATTTATTTTCTTCAGTGGGTGGATGAGTACAGAGATAATGAAAGGAAGTGTTTCTAGTCCACACCTAACAACTAACACATTCAAAGCCATTGCATCAGACATATTTTTTTCAAAGTGATGAGAAATGGTAAAGTGACTCTTCACATTGAATACTTAATTGAGTAAGGAGTCACGTACATGTGTAAGGGGTATCAGGAAAGGTCTGTCCAACCAGTGTTTGAAACCAACAAATCTACCTGCATAAAGGAGCAAGTTCCTAAAAAAACTATGGTGATGCATCAGTGGAGGAGTATAACAAGGTAATTTGGCATTATCAATTGAGTTGATAAAACATAGTGGCCCCCATAAAGAGTTTCAAAGTTTTCATTTTGAGCATTAGTTTATGCTTGAAATGTCAGCTTTGAAACTCTTTATGGTAGATAATTTACAATATCAAATCTACATGTAGTTTATAGTTTTGCTGTATTTTTGTGTTATTAGTCTTTGGTCTAGAATGGTCTATGAGAATAGAATTTGGATCCCTTGTGTCAAACATGACTCATTTCCATATTTCCCTCTTTATCTATTTTTCAAGAAATAGAAAATAACATATCCAACCTTATTGAATTTTTCATTTTGTTTCCCCCAAAAATTCTGATTCCAAGTGTTTAATTCTTGCTGTTGTTCTCTGAAGTATCTCTCCTGAAAGAAAAAAAAAACATATTACATACTTTTCTTGCTTTGGTTACCTTTATTCTGTGTGTTTTCACTAATGAACACAGTCATGCAAAAAAAAAAACAGGCACAAACTGCCAAGGAAAACAAACAATTTAAGATACATGATCAGTTAAATATATATTTCCCTTTCAATCCTTGGATTTTCCTCCCTAGAGCCATCAGTAGGTAACATCTGCTTTACAATATCAATACACTGATGCAATCCTTGACCAATCAGAGAATGCACATCTCTATAATCCCCAGAGAAGTTATACTGGCAAGATGACATCTTGGGAGCAAAAAGGTTAATCATTCCAGTTGGCATGTTACATGTAGCTCAGTTGGTAGAGCACTGCATCAGTATCGCAGGTCATGGGTTTGAATCCTGTACAGGCCTGAATTTCTTTCAGGCCTAATTTTCATTACTGCTTGGGTAGTGCTCATTAGTGCGCGGATCAATTTCATTTTAATTTCTCAAACCGCAGTTCACATATATGATTTTCACATATATTTACAGTCGTCAATTAATATATCGTTTATTGGGCCAGTAAACCCACAAATGTTTCATAAAACCAACTGAACGTTTCATTTTTAAATATTCAACGTTTTCTCCCAATATTCCACGAATGTGCCGTCTTTTGCTTAGGTACGGGTAGGTTAAAATCATATTGCGCTTACTTTGGTTGATTCATTTTTCAATTTTGCGAAGATTATCTTTCGTATGTTTGAGCCGTGATGTCGAGGACCAACCAAGTTAAACTTGCCACGAGAAGAAGAGGCAGAGGCTCTTCTAGAGACCTGAAATAAAGTAATCAAATTTACTGTGCAAACTTTGTGATGTTTCTACAACCAAAATCTTACATAACGTAAGCTTCGAGGAAAAACGTGTACCTCGTCAGTGCTAATTTCCCTGCCACAGCTCTCCCATTTTTTTTGTACAGAAACTGAAGGAAGATAAAGACAATTTCTCGCAAACGGAAGAAGTGATGAGTTGTTCCTACATAAGAGTTTCATTCAGCTTTGTTTATGACAAAGATTACTACTACAGCTGAGTAGGTTAGAAGATGGCGGCTATATTATGGCTAGGCTACAGAGCTTAGAGGGATGACCGCTGTCATCGATGCGGCTCGCATTCAAAATGGCGGACAAAGAAGGGCGACTGGAGCGGGAAGGTGAGCATTGTATTTCTTGTATAATTGAATGACATTCTTCCTATAAGCTTATGTGTTATTGTCTGTCAGCAGAAAAGAAGAAAGATTCATCGATAAAATATCAAGAGGAAAGAGAAATTTCACGCAGTCGACGTACGTATCTATCAAATGTTCTGTCAGTTAAGGCCGTCCAGTGATTAATTAAAAATATATATATACAAGCCTAACGTGAGCTTGCGTAGTTTTCATTTTCTTAGTAATAGGATAATTTCATCCCAACCATCTCTCAATATTCTACAGCGAAGAAAAAATCTAAAAGGAAGCATAAGAATCAGTCAAGAGAAAATTCTTCTTCGTCGAGTTCTTCAAGTAGAAACAGGTCGCCGTCGCAAGGTACTGTATCTAGAAATACGAATCTGTGTGTAATGCATTCTCCGTTAATCATATTATGAGATACAGGGTTTTCATCAAGAAATTTAGCACCAGGGGTCACTTCACAGCAACAGGTTAGGTTTTATCTGCGTCTTGAGCAAAAATTGTTTAGAGCATCGAAATTCAGCCGCAGAATTCTTAAATCCCAATGCCTGATAAACACCCTATGAAAATAGAGAAAATAATTTTGGTGTTAAGTAGAGTGTATTATCATAATGTCACTCTGGTCACAAAATTTGACAATTGATTCACTTATAAATGCATAGCTAGCAGAACTGGCGCTTTCATACTGTGTGCATTGCACTAAACAATGAGCAGCAAAGCCAAAAGCCTCTGTCCTGAACCTCTACCAGCTTCACCACCCAGTGCTTTTGCACACACAAAATGGCTTGCCCAAAAAAACTGAAAAATTGTGAAGTAGCAACCCTGAAAGAGAGAACACCTATATTTAGATGTTTGATTAAAAAGATACTTACTTTGATGAAAACTTCTATTACAGAGGCATGTGTATCAATGATACTGATGATATTTACAACACTTACAGAACAATACTACTACATGACTACATTTTTTTTGTATTCTTTTTTTCATGATTATACGTATGTATATATATATATAATTATGTATTTATAGGAAGTCTGTGTTTCCGTAGTACAGTGCTCAATAGAGAAGAAGAATGTGATATGTCTTGATATAGGAAAAAACAGAGACTATACTTTCATCAGGATTTTGTCTTGGGAGTGATGTTGTAAATCATTTTGTTCAACAACAGTGCAGTTTTATGGGAATTGTTTTGTTAATGTTGCTTATTGATGTCTTCTTGTACACTGACCATGCTAGCAGAAAAACAGAAGAAAAGAAGGAAACGTGCAAAAAGCAGTTCATCCAGCAAAACTGGCAGCAGCTCCTCAAGTGCCTCTGAATCAGATTCCTCAGGTAAGTATTGAAATGTTGGTATACTGTATTTCCTTGAATAAGCAACAGGGATTGTATTTAAAATTTCGGCTAAAGGGACAAGGGGAACTTATTGGAAGGAGGGTGCTTAATCAAGGGTCAGGCTTATTTTGTTAGCATAGCAACAGGACAGAAATTTAAAGAGCAGATAACTCTGCAAGTTCATGAAGATAGAAATAACTGTATTGGAAAAGAACATATTATCCTGTACTGATTCCACTGTAGTTGTTGTGTAAAAAGGTATAAATATAACTTGGCAATAGAAACAGGTTTTTGTTGTATCCCTACTATTTTAGGAAGTGAGGGAGGTGGGGGGGTATTACTGAGGGGTACTTGTTTGACATCATGGCCAAGGGGGTGGGCACTTATTGGGTAGGGTGCTTATTAGAGAGTGAGTGTTTACTCAAGGAACAGTACTTACAAAAACTGAAAATAAAAATTAAACTTGTAGGTGTGATACTGTTGGATAACGAAAGAAATAAAATTTGTTTGTACTCACTGAGTTAATATCCACTCAGGCTTTCATCCTAATAGTAGAGCCTTGCTCTATTAAACTTGTACAAAGAAATTATTTGCTGTTAACTATTTCTACCATTTATTTGCCTGTACAGTAAAACCCTGCCAACTCAAACTCCCACGAGAAACAAAACATGGTTCAAGAAAGTGGGGGTTTGAGTTAGCTGATAGTAAATGACAGAAAAAAAATTGGATCAAGGCAAATCAGATCTTGGTTGAGTTACAGGGGGGTTAAAGTTAATTAAGTTTGAGTCAGTGGGGTTCTACTGTTTACTCCATCTGTTTTCCTGGAAGTCTATAACATCTGAGAGAATTAATTTGAGCTGTCATTTCTTGACTTTTCAGCGGAAAGGACAAAAAGGAAGAAGCGAAAGGTAACATGGCATGGATCTTAAATATTAATTTAATATTAATAATTAGATATCTTATTTAGGGTATTGATCGGGCATTGACGAAAATGCCTCTGCCAATATTCAGAATTCTCCACTTAGATCTAGAAGGCTGAAGCAATGTTTTATTAAGAAGTGGAGAAAATTGTCTATTTCCTTTTTCTGTTTTCCTACGTTTACATCTCTTGATGAAAACCCTGCTCATGGCAAAGTTATTTATGACAATGCACATCTTCAATAGTTGCAACTTGAGAGTGGGTTTGCTTGCCAATTTAATGTGAGAGAGAGTCAACTTTTCAGTCGTAAATACAGAAAGTTTTTCTCTGTCTCCATCAGGAGAAGAAAAGAAAGAGGAAGAGCAAGAAGAGGGAAACAGATGAAGCTTCTGGCCCCGTTCAACTTTCAAAGGTTTGTAGCGCTGAGAAACCCTTCAACAGTTTGTAACTGGCCTCTGATTGGTCATAAATCGGGCTTTCTGCCTTTAACGCGACTAACCCAAGTGATCTCGAGCAAGACTTTGAAGAACGAGAGTTTGAAGTCGGGATCAAACAGAGAGGGCACCTCCTATCAGAAAACGGGCTTCTTCAGTGGTTGAAAGAAGGCTTGTGAGACACCTCGCAAGCTTACTTTGCTGTATTTACGGTGCGCACTACGAATACTTACATCGAACTCAGTTGCATGAATCATTTTATGAAATCTTTTTTCAGTTCATGAAAGAACGAAAACGGAAAGAAGAGGCACTGAGAAGCGCCGTGACAGGCAAGAAGATCAAACTCAAAGTTAAAAAATCGAGCAAGGACAAGGAGGTAAACAAAGACTGAGTGCAAAAGTGAGAAATTCTGTTATTAATCAGTATCTCCATAATGATATGTAATGTGAAGCTTAAAAATTTTTTGGGGGGAAGTGTAATTTTGTTAATTGGTGTTTCATTATTTCTGTTCGAGTTTGTAAAGTTTTACTAATAAATTATTAAATTAGCCGTTTCCGAACGTCGGGTTCAAGTTCGAGCGAATCGTCGCGGCTAAAAATGTAAGGAAACAATATTTTCCAGGGCTTGTTTTTCGCAGAAATTTATCACACTGACGTGTCACCTACAGTGATTCGCTTTTAATTTCATGTTCCAGCCCCTCTGTCCTTTGTTACATTACTTTGCGGTTAAAGTTACTTTCCATGTTTTTTTCCAGCGCGACAAGAACCGAAAACAGCTACTACACTTCTTGAATCAGACCTTATAGGATTTTCAGAGAAGCTTATCGGTTCTGTTAACTAAATACCGACACGACTGGTTGGTAGACAAGAGGGTGAAGAATGGCGAATGGTTTCCTGGAATCGGGAAAAGGCAGTATCAGGGTCCATCAAGTTATAAAGTATGTGCACGTGGAGGGAAAAGAAGTCGAGTAATTTTTTTCATTCTTCGTACCACATGTGGTCATATCCTGAACCTGGCAAACCGGGAAAGGAAAACTCACCAAGAGTTGGCGTATGAAAGAAATGTGGACTCTTAAAGAAAAAATCGGACGATTCAAGCACTTCATGGCAAACAGCTATGATCCGATCAATGTGAAGATTCTGATCTGAATTTTATTTGTTTCTCCTGTAAATCTCGCTTTTCATAAGATGTATGTATACATTTATAAAAACGTAAAACGTTCTTTTAATGAATAAACTTGTTTATAACTTGAAAGAGTCGGCATTATTTGTAGAAACCCTTTGAATTCAAATCCGTTTTCCTTGCAGGTAGTAGGAGCCAAACCATTTTCAGTGCCTTGTTCTAGTGACACAAATTTAGTTTTTGTTTGCTCTATAAAACCAGATGTTAAAATTACAATCCCAATATAAGGGTTTTTTTTATCTCTAGAAAAACGGTATTTCAATTCTCCGCGCTGGAAAGAAAGGGGAATTGGATTACTTCATATATTTTATTTAGCTTTTTCCTTCTCCTTTACATACTTACTGATTTCACCGGATTTGTACCATGGTACCATGTCTTTTGAAAAAAAAATTTCTCGTCTTCACTCTAAAGAGGTGCATCACAAGGTTCTCAGCGTTTTTCTAAAATATTAAACCGACAGAACCGACGGAGTGGCTTACAAGCCTTCTCGATCTCTCTTCCGCTTCTCCTTTTGCCCGTGTCTTCTCTTGATTCTCGCGCTCGCTATGCTTTAACTTCACGCTCGCGTCCTCTTGCCTCGCCAAAAAAAAACGCAAAAAACTAAAAAAAATAACAATGAAGCTTGATTTCCTCGTTACATGATGTCATTTTAAAAACAGAATATGGTTTCGTGTAGATGTACTGGAAAATGGAAGCGTGTTCTATGTTTTTCAGTACCATACGAAAAAGGTAAACGAAAAACATGAAAGAAAAAACGAATTTAGAAACTAAGGTGACAACTCCGTTTTCACAATAGAGAAGAAAAACGAAAAACAGGAACATAATTTAAATTTCATTATACCTCGTCTTTGAAAAGTAGTTGGCACTAAAAGCTAATGTATGAAGGTTCGGGTCAACTGCGGCGGCCGGGGATGGGCGGCTAAATGGACTGATCGAGCATCATGTTAACTGATATTCCACCTGACCTCCCCGGCTTTTAGTGATACTTTCCCTCGCCACCCCTCCCCTACCCTTTTTCCCCTGCCGATAATCATGAACAGTATCAACGCTCTTCTCTGTACTCACAAACCTACAAATATGGCCTTAATCCATTTTCAGTAAGTTTTTATTCAATCTTTTCTTATCACAACAAAAGCGTAAGAATGTATTACGCTATCTGGGGAGGTACGTAAGATGTCACTTTCAATTAGACAATTTTAAGACATAGTATGTTCCTCGTTCTCGCTCAATTCACCCTCTATATCCTGATATTTTGATCAAAATGTATTTATTAGCATATAGCCGATCTGACTGAACTTATGTTTCCACCGATTCTTTCCATTTTTGCAACGATTTTCTGCACAGAATTTGAAATCAATGAAATTAGATTGCGTGACTGGACGATATTTAATTGTTATCCGCCACAAACACGCACACTTTGACAGCCTAAATCAAGTAATTACTTGCCTTGTCTTCTAAGTATGATCAGAATGATAAACAATGAGGTTTGATCGCCTTCGATTCGCTCGAATCGTTCTGCGGAGATAAATGAAATTGCTATCTGTTCGGTTTTGCGTGGTGTGTTGGCCAACAGAACAAACTCCTGCGATCGAGGCACTCATCCACGATTTTGCGGTCGAATAACACGATGAAGGTTCTTTGCGTTGAGTAAACAATTGCCTTTCAAATACCAGTTCAATATTTACAAGACGAAGAAGTGAACACTTAGTTTGTTTCCCGACGGGAGCCGCAGATTGACGATGTTACAAAGGATGGTCATAAAATTAATTTAACCCCTTCGTGTTTGGTCATTGTGAATTTGGCATATCTGTTGGCTTCCAGCAGAGCTGTTGGAGTTGAGTAAAAATTCATCTCAGATGATGTGAAGGAATGCGTCTTCGTATGATTCTACAGAGCAAATACGGAGAAAAGCGCAAAATCAGAGCTGTATCTTTCGTCCAGTTGCTGAAACTCAACGGAAACGTAAACATTGCATGCATTCTGTTTATTACGAGCTAGTTGTGGTCCACTTCACTACAGCTTGTCACGAAGACAGTGAGCCCTTTCGAGCTCTCGTCGTTATATTTTCTTTCCAAGCTGTTCACTAAACTAGACTTCCGCTCTGAGAGTATTGATCATTTAAATAACAAAAAATTGCCTTTAAAATTGGAGCTGATGCGTCGGCGGAGCTTATAAGCTGAGTGGATGTCTATTGCGCGATAGACATGAGGTTCACATGTTTTAAATGGTTTACCACTTTTACTTATGCGCTTCAGCTGGTCACAGCAAGACCTAGAACCTCACGAGAGGCCGGTAAGTAACGTTTCCTTTTAATATTATCTCGCGGAATTAGGAGGTTTCTTACTTTATTTTTCAAGGATATGCGTAAATGGACGTCTCAAAATTCTACTTCCGCTGTAACTTGTCGAATCCCTAAAAAAGATTCAGGGTATTTCACCTCCGTCAAATAATTAGGAATTTACTTGTTATTTTTACGGATTAGCCGAACTGTCTTAGAGGGAGCAAACTGGGAAAAGAAGCTTATAAGATAAGCGTTTATTCGTAATGACCTCGGCGGCGGGTTTGCACAATACACAAGCTTTGAACTTTTCCTAACACCGACGGCCCCGGTTTGTTCATTAAAATTAGATTATTCAACTTTCGCAGCAACTTTTGTCTGCGTAGGTTAGACATATCTATTTAATTCCATCGAAACGCCACAAATATATTACTTACCCTGAATTATGCGGGATAATCAAACACGAACAGCCGCGCAGATAATTCGTAGGAGATTAGATCACATTGCCGCGATTTCTCTTAGTGAAGTTAAGACAGAGATATCTAAACCACGATTTCCCGGTAAACTAATTTTAGAGTCAACAAAAACTCGGGCTGTTTTTAAGTGCGTAGATTTTGTCGGTTTTTTATTTAGTTTTCCTTCGTTTTCCGACAGATAAAGGGATTTATTCTTCAATGCCTAGATTAACTAACTTATTCGGATTGGAAAAACAGCTAATTCGAAAACAGATCGAAGTAATTTACCGCCATAATCCGAGATTGTTCTTTCCTAGATGTTTTGTAAATATTTCACTCGCTTTTTTAGGACTTAAAAAAACAATACTTTGAAAATTTTAATATTGAATTAGGCAGTCAGCAGGATAAATCGTTTTATTTTTTCCCTGTCCAAAGTGACATTTTTAATCTGTTTGAACAAGGTATATAATGCGCTTCACGACGCGTTGATGTTTTTTGCAAACAAGTTTGTAAACATGTTTTGCGGTAAGTCATAACCGGTTTTCCCTTTTTCTTTGTTTTTAAAAAGAATTTTGAATCACTACGTAAGTTTGAATCGCCCATATGGAAATATATTCCTCTAAGACACAATATCATAAATACTTGCGCAAAATTTGCAAACAATATAACTCCGTTTCCGCAAAATATAGGTCCTTGCATGTCGCTTGTAATGTATGGTTTAAATTTGCAGGTGCATGAGGCCGATTTTCCGTATTTTTATATTTACATTTAGTATATATTGTTTTAGCTAATAGTTTCTCTAATGAACAATATACCGGGATAACTTTTATTGTTTCCGATTGTAACTTGGCTGCGAAAATTTTCGGGGCGGAGAGAATTAGGGGCAATTCCGCAAACAGGAATTGGAATCTTGTTTCCCTCGAGGTACGAACAATACATTGCTATGTTCCCCCTCTCACCCCATTGGCAAATCTCCTGATCGCCTGCTGTTCCTCGCTACTATTTATAAACGTTATGTCACGCAATTCGGCTGGTTAAAACTATCGTCGAATCAAGAAACACATTAGTGAACAAAAGATATAACAGAAAAGTAACATACGAAAAACAACAGAATTAAAAAAACAAAAATAATTATTTGCAACAGTGACAAACACATAACGAAAGAAAAGGGCATGTTCAACAGCGAAGAAGATGAAAAAAATCGCCTTAATTAGTTACAGTGTACAAACAAATCATGACAAAAGCTTTCATTGCGGTTTGATGCTTTGTTAATATTCTACATCGCAGCTAGCAGCTCAGTGATAAGAGTTACATCATTGTACAAAAACTTGAAAAATTTATAGAAAAAGCTATTGTGTTTCGATTTAAGAAAATCGTGACTATACAAAAAATTTAAAATTTGTGGGATCCGATTAAAATCAAATTAAGAAAAAATCTGATGGCTATCTGGAAGAGTTTGCCCAGAGGAATCTTACTTTTTAAAAGTCGTAATTTATGCGTATCTCCATTCGACTCCACGTTAAAAAATATTTTGATTCCGAACTTCTGAAAATAAGATACAACAATATAATTTTACATTTTCTGGGTAAAATACTGCGTAGAATGGCCTCTAACAAGGATTTCTTCATAGTAAGTTTTTAGAAAGTTCCCGCCATGTTGGTTTGTCTGGCGGTTGGGGAGGGGAAGCTCGTTTGTCTGACAACGGCAGGTTGGCTGGTTTGTCGGTCGCTCAGTCGGCCGGTCAGTCAGTCGGTCGGTCACCCGGGCATTCGGTCGGTCAGTCGGTTAGTCGGTGGGTCAGTCGATCGGTGTGTCGGTCGGACGGGTTGTTGGTTATTTGGTTGGTCACTCAGTTAGTCGGTCGATCGGTGAGTCGGTCAGTCGGGTTGTCGGTCATTCGGTTTGTCTGGTAGACTTGTATCCGTTGGTTAGTGGTTGGTGAGTCAGCTGGTCCATTGTTTATATTGTTGGTGACTCAGTAAACTCTCTAAATTCTAGGATCGTTACCAATTGCTTGTCAGAGCAGAGAGCAACTTATCGACGATGAAGGAACCATAACAAGTCCAAATTTTCGGGGACCATATCCAGCCAACTCTTCCTGCACATGGATTATAACGCCCCCGGAAAAAGCGAATGTTTCTTTACGGTTTTCATCGTTTAACATCCAATCAAGTTCCAAGCAGTGTGGAGGGATTAAATGCAATTGTGACTTTGTCCAAATAAGCGAACTTGGTTCTGCGTCTAGTAATGCAGGATTCAACACGAAATATTGTGACGGTAATCGCCCTCCGGACAAGATTCTTTATTTGATATCTGGGGTCAGAATTCGATTCGTTTCTGACTCAACTGGCGAAGAGACTGGGTTCAAACTTCATTATAAAACCCTTCATACACCAGCACCTGCTCCAACGATGGGCGTATCTGGAGCATCTGTTAATCAAACCGTTGTCACGACAACATCTGGCTCGTCTTCAAATCTAAACGTGTCGAGTTTCAGTATTCCTTTGCCCACATTTACAAGCAAAGCGCCGATAAACTCTTCATCGGAAATTGTTTTGCAAGTTACACCAGAAACACGAATAACGACAGAACTCACTGGTGCTCAGACTCCGTTACCCAGAAGAACATTGCCAGTCAGTTCAGCTGGAGCGGGGAGTGCTTGGACAACACCGGTTCATACCGTTATGGCTAAGGAACAGAAGGTAGTCGAAGAGAAAGTCCCAGACATTATAGTCCTTGGGCCATCTGTTCCTGTTGTGATGATATTTGTCATTGTTGTCGCTGGTATTGCTTGGTGGAATTACAAGTTTAACTCGGAAGAGCACAACAGGTCAGTTGTGCTTGATCACTAGTAGGGTCAACATGTCGGTCGAGATAACTATAAGTTCGCGTTCACTTCTGAATATTTATCAGGGAAACAAAATGAAATACTGAGGGGTAATCCACAATGAACTTGTATTCTGCGGTCCAAGGGGAAAACCTTTGATCCTTGCTAATTCATGCCGTGAAATCTGAGGAAAGCTTTGGTAATATAGTACTACGGTCCGGAGGGAGGGCATTCGTTTGGAATTTTGGGGCTATTACTGAGTAACTGATGACAAGAATCTTTTCCGTACTTTCAGCCAGTCTAATGTCGTTCAAAAGAACACAGTAAAAAGGTTTATACTTTGATTGTAATTAACTGAAATTGAATTAACATTTTTCCAGAAGAAGTTGTGCGACAGGGTTTCAACAACAAAAGGGCTTAAGTTTTCAACGAAATTTCTTTCATTTCTCGATTTTTCGAACACTGATAAACGAACTTTAATAAGTTTTCTATACCACGATATGATGCCATCCTTAATTTTCAGCGTGATCACATGTTTGTGTCATTTTTTTTAAGGTATGAATCCTACGCAAAGAAAAGTGCAGCCAAAAAGCGGCAGAAGAGAACGATGCACAACATTAGGTAACACTGACGCTACTATTTTTAAATACTGAGTGGGACTCAACTAGCGAAGGCTCCTTCATAAAAAACTTTTCATTTGAGAGCGGTAAACATACGATGAGAACTCCAAGTTAATAAAAAGCATGTGAACAACCTCATGCGCGGAGAAACGCGAGTGGTCAATTCTCACTCGGTTTCGGTTTATTAGGTTACTGACCGGAATAGTGGAAAGTGTTTTTGCTCTGAACAAAGTTCTCTTTTCTGTTGCAGTAAAGGGAATCTCTATAATGAGATGACAAAGACCTGGAAAGGCCAGTCTTCTAACCCTAATGCAGGAAGGTAAGTCACAAACATGCTTGAAGTTGAATTACGAGGCTATCGAAAAACACCTCACTTCTGATCACATTTTTTTCTAAAATGTTTCAAATACAGCGGAGAACTGATTAAAACTTAACTAATCGAACACTAATAACAGTTTAGGCTAATAAGGGCTCTATAACTGTAAACCTGTCATACCCCCCCTCCGCCCCTCCCAAGAACACGTAGGACCCTGAACGCATACCCGTTGAGTGCTCCACCTCCATCCACGGCGACGCGTATAACGCCTAACACTGATTTCGCTGACGGAAAAATTTGAGGCTTTACGGTACGTATCCGCATGGATATGTCGTGCAAATGCAAATATCTCCTTGATCGTCCAAGAGTTCCCCATTTCACTAAAAATAGTAAGTAAAATTTTCCAGTCAAAGCATAGGGATCCAAAGAATAATCACCTTAATAAATCCTTTCTTAAAAACGGAAATGAAAAAAGGACGTACTCATATTCAGATCTGATATCAACTCATAGTTTCTTTTCATTTACTCTGCAGACCCAGTCCCATGGTTGGAGGATATAAGAAAATATCGTTTGCGGGAAGACTTCTGGAGTTAGCAGAAGGGTAAGCAAATGGCCTTATTTTTTCTCAAACTGTACACGTCAGCAGGGGTCCGCTTATTTGCGGCAAATATAACGTTTTAAAAGTGCTAGAAAAGTGAATGCGAAGCCCACTGCTCAAACTTGTCAGTCCAGCTTTCAAACAACCGGGACTGAAAGTTTTCACCGGACATTTCACTTGAGTACTTTGTGCTGGACGAGTACTGAAATTAAATTCCATACATTAAGAGAGCTTTCCCCGGAAGGGACCTTTACATACAGTGAGGAATCACAGCTCTCTAGAATGGCGATCCGACCTAAACCGTTAGCGAATTTATCGTTGGCTAATTGATTCGAAGGTGAAACGACTGTTTACCTCCACAATAGTTGTCATGCTTTGCAAAATTTATTTATTTTTAACCAAAACAGGTTTTCTCTAGCCTGAGAGCGACCAAAACATTGACACTCATTACATTCCCATTTCAGCGTACGAACTCCTAGGCCTTCCCGTCCATCCTCGTACGCGGAGGAGACTGTACCTCTGACAAAGCCGTCGACTAGCAAAGGTCCGTTCCTATCGCCGGGCGTGGCTACCACTGGAGGAGGCTCGAGACCCAGTTCTCGCCCAGCCTCTCTGTTGCTGAGAGATGCCTTGGTTAATATGTTTGGGGAGGGAAAAGAAAGGTAACAATTGATATAAACTAGTTGTGCTTTTGCTTCACTGTCAGTGATCAGGTCTAGAAAACTCACAACGCGCTCGACCAATAAGGTGCAAAACTGAAGTAATCGCGACTTAAATACTCTTGTTTCCTGAGCTTCAAGAAGTTTTCGTTTTTTTTATTCGCGGGATCGAATTGATTCCTTTTGCTTTCTTTGCCTCAACTTTTACGCAACTCGATCCAAAGTCGTTTTTTAATTGTTAAAGCACTGTCAGCCAAAAGACTAACTTCTCGTTGCCTGCGAGTCTTTTTTTAACCAATTTTTATTCAAAATTTATATATCATTTCATTCTATCATGCTTTATTTTGTTTTGTATTTTTGCTTTACAGTGAAAGTCAGACCCAGGGTTCTGGTTCCCCGTCCAAAAGAGCTTCCAAGCGAGTATCATTCATCGACGAAGAAGCAGGACATCCGTTGGTTCAGCACGAGACCATTCCACCCGAACAGTAAGTGGCAATTTACCACATTTCAGGGGTATGCTTACCATAGGTCGTCAGCCAGTCTTCGTCATAATTATTGTTGGCTTGGTCAGGCTAGATGAAGTCAATCCTGTGATCTGATTGGCTCCCTGGGTCAAACATGCTATTTCGGAGTTGCCCACTTTATTCCAGCAAAATCCGTTATTCTGTTATGGAATCTGGCTATGCAGTACCTCATTTCTTGACAAAGCTTGTGCGTTAGATGCCTGGGTATTTGTATTTATACCGTCTGGAAAATTATGCAAATGTACGACCAGTCAGCTTTGAGGATCTGAGAGAAATGATAGTTCCTTTTTCTTTTTTTTTTTTTTGTTCAGAATTGAAGAAATTCACGACGAACCAGAGGAAGATGATGACAATAGCAAAGAAGAAACAGACGATACTGTGAAACCTGCAAGGTAAAAAATTTTAATTTCCAGTCGCCGACTTTAAGCTTTGCAGCGATTTTTAATTGATTTTGCTTCGTTGCGCTCCGAGCAGGTTGGTCTCGGAAACTCTCGTAACCTCGTCAACTCTTATGGTTAACGAGGTTACATCATCTCCTTCTTCTCCTTCTTAGCATATCATACAAGTGACCTAATTTTAAAATTGTCTCTTTGCAGGAGATTACCGATCCCAGCTATTCTTGTTAGGCAACCGAGTGAAGATACAGACTTTGCAGTCGAGTCGCCTTCTAGAACTTCCAGGTAGATGCTTTGAAATCACAATAAAGCATATCCTCTTCCATTCGAAAAAAGAACCAAAAAGTCCACCAAAAGTGATGCTGTAATTCGTTTTTGATAGTTTGCATGAAAGAAAATAAGTTTGACATATACGTGTATATCTCACGTACCCATTTCTATTCTATTGTCATCCACCCTCTATCACCGGCGCATCACGCAGTTTTCATAAAGATGAGGACCCTGTGCTCGTGGAGGAATCACCGGACTTGCAGGCGGCGATGCCGGACCAAGGTGTACACCACGAAAATGAAGACAGTAGTGGGCCGCGTTGGAACGACTTTGGGTGAGTTTCTTCCGCTTATCTAGCTTCCAGCAGAAGGAAACTGTAGAGAAACTATAACACTTTCTAACGTGCTTCGTCGTTCTCGTTCGTGGCGAGTCTAAAGGAGGTTCTATTGGCATTCCCTCAACCCTTTTACCCACCCTATTTCTAGACCACTCAAAGTCAAAGCCTAGCGGAGGTACAAACGAAAAATTTAGCTTTCCAAAATTTTTGTGAGTGTGGCCCCCAACTAATGTTCAATATCCGTTACTGCTAGTAAGTGGGTTGACGAGAATATATACTAAATTATATAGATACAATCATAGTACCTGATGAGTTTTCAGTTCCTCATAGGTCAGTGCGGCTCATCTGAGCGGTACAAGATGTCACTTTGCAAGCTAAAGTGTGTTTTGTTCTATTCTATAATAGTGAAAATTACACGGACTCTTCATCAGAGGACATTCCAGATAGAAGCCTGTAAGTCTCAAAAAAAAAAAAAAGAGAAAAAAAGATTAAAATCTTTAAAATTTATGTTCAACTAATAAACGCAATTTTATCTTATTATTATTATTTATTCGCAGAATATTTCCTGATCTAGAAGACTTTCTTCTAAACTTAGATAAGGATTCAGACCTAGATGAGCCGCCATACAGCTGGTAGGTTTCCCTTTACGCCGAGCATCCTGTCATACTTCCTGGGGTCACTGTTTTTCATTAAAAAGTTTTATAACAGAAAGTTAATCGATCTATTACTCTAATGCCTAGCGAGGATATTCACTCAATTTCTGTATCACACTGTTGTCATTTGGTGTTGATCAAGAACAATAAGAGATATCTGCAGACTTACTGCTAATCGACAAAAGACCTAAACTTGAGCATTTGTCGAAAATACCTCCCCATTTTACGGTACAACGGCCTGCCATAATTGTGGTCATCCAAACAATGGAAACCAATCAAAAAGCGAAAGTTAAAAACGGATTCAACAAACGGGAATTCAGCCTTTCAAATGCCTTGCCATCCTTCCGAAACTTTCCGCAGTTTCTCAAGCATAATGTGATTGTAGATATTGCCATCCCTCTAAAATGGGTTACTAGTCAATCAAGAGTTACTCCCAAATCATTTAGTTAGGCTCTCGAACAGTTTTTCATTATCTATTCATAGATTTGGTTGATCAAATAAGTGTTCCGCCAAAGAACACATCACGGTGGTTCTGGCTGGGGTTTGAACTGAGCGTTTTCGACTTGGAGTCTAACGCGCCAGCCAGTAGACCGCTTCATCTCTGTCAGACTACGATTAGAATTCCTAACTTTTTGCCGTAAACAAAAGTGACGGTGTTAAACTCTCTCTAAAGAAACTAGAGTTAGCAGCACAACGCCTTACTTGTGCAAAACGGTGCCCGCAGTTTTTTCTTTATGGAAAATAACTCACCTTAAATCACAGAAAACCGTTTTCTTCAAATAATTTTCATTTCCGATTTCTTTCAGTGCGAGTCACATAGGAGACATTTTAAGGAAAAGTTATGGCGACGAAGGGCTAAGTGACCTGGGTCCAGAAACCGTGTTAGATGTTCCAGAAGGCAAGTGAAGAATCAGTTTTGATACTCCACATTAGATATAATCAAGCACTCGTGCTTGCGGAACGTGACGCGCAGAAGAAGCCACGCGAAGGTGTTACGGAACGAGCGTGTGAGAGGACGCGAAAATTGTGTAATTTGTCGCTTAATTACCAACAAATAAATAAACAAAAATATTTATATTTTAAAGTTTTTCTCCCTAGACCCTTTATTCTAAAGAGTCGGTTTGCGTAGAATGAAGCTGTCAGTGTCAACAGATAACTAGTAAAAAGTCCGGAAGTACTTTGTTTTCCCGCTAGATTGGACCATTAAATTAACGCATTATGTTAGTTGCAAAAGTATAAAAATTTAATCCTCAGTTTTGACACTTTGTTACTTATTTTTTAGAGTTCGTCGGGATGATGCGCAACCCTTCAATGTCACAGGATTCCATTACAAAAGAAACAGACCTAGTTGATGACGTGGATTAGATGTCTGTTTCAAGGTTCCGAGACCAAACGAGTGGTCTCGGAATCAATTTATCATTGAAGAGCATGCTTAGGTCTGGCCTCTGACTTGAAAAGCGCAAGACACCACTTTATCGTCCAACAGTTGAGTGAAATCACCACGCGCTATGGTCTTCCATTTCGACCTCTTTGATTCGACGAAGTTAGCGAATGACGCTTGAGTTTGAAGTCCATAAAGATGACAAACTTAAGGGAGCTCTGACTCTTTCTATTAATAATTCGTTTAAGGTATAACTTAGTTTTTCTGAGGAAAATCGATAAAAGGAACTCGTTTAAAAGTTAGGTGAATTTTACATAAAGGAAAGAAACTTTGCTTTCCTCAAGTGTCAATTATTCAATATTCAAGACGGTGGTAGCTTTTACCATATTTTTTATTACCACGCTGTATTATACTGATGATAAAATTTGAAGTACGAGCTCGACATTCTGGTGCTACTGTCAAGTAAAAATGTATTAAAAGCCAACTGAGATATAATAAATGAGTCGCGTTAACTGCAAGGGGAGCTTATTTAAGTCTATAGAAGACCGTGGATGGGTGGCTCTTATTCGATTGGAGGCGTTATTTGATATGATTGTTTTTATTTACCAATCATTTTTTAGCCATAACCTCTGCATTCAAACAACAACTGAAATTTTATATTGATGTACGGAGGTGGCCTTTTCAACAAGGTCTTAAAAGCAGTACTGTTAGTATTCTTGAATCTTTCTCCAAACCTAACGTGTCCACAATTTTAAAAAAATTAGTACGAAATAAAGTTGGGGGAAAAGACGCACTTTGAGCAGTTCAGTAAAGGTGATTATTCGGCTACAAAACACACCCGCGATGCACGATGACTGATCCTCGGCCTTCTCGGAGGCTGACTCACACCATGCACCTTTAAGTGAAACACATGACATGACGCGAAATACCGGCTCGGAATCGTCTTTACAATGCCATCGACAGAGCAGGTGACATGGATGTGGTTTCTGGCATGTCTATACACTCCAAACGACGTCATTAAAAAGATTACAGAAAAAAAAACTTGATCAATTAATGCAAACAATGACCAAGGTTAAATCCTATGATTACAATTTGTATACTTTTTGATTCGATGAAGGAGACGCTAAATTAACCCATTATCTCAAATGTTTTATTGATTAATGAGATCCACATACTTCCAGTATAACGGATCAATTTACGAGCAAAAAGACGGCGCCGGCATGGGGAGTCCGGTTTCCGCTGTTATTGCTAACCTCTACACGGAGAATTTCGAAGAACAGGCGATAACTACATCATCCTACCACAGGCGGCCCAAGCTCACGTCTGGAGAAAAAGCCAACGATTAATTCATGAACCCGTCACGAGTTGTGACTCGTTACGAGAGGAACCGTTGAAAATTTGAACACGTTATAAGGAATATGTGGAGAACGAATTATGGTCGATTTACAACGGTAAATATTTCGAAATATGAATATTTACACGTAAAATCAATATCACTTACTTGCATCCTGTGTGTCTGTTGTAGTTTCCGGCGATTTCTGCTGTTTTAAGCTTGCTTTACCATCACTGTTATTCCTGTCAAAAGACGAAGTCAAGGCTGCACACTCCGATTTCGACTGTTGTCCATGCGGAGGTGGTTTGTGCACCGAAAATCCTCCCGATAGGCATTTTTCCCAGCCATATTTTACGATCTAAGGTCATTGCACCCTGGGACATGTCTCAATACCAAAACTCCCCGCGCATTTCGCTGGAAACGATCGTTTTCTACCTGAATTTCCAAGTTCGCTTCTTTCTGGCTATGCTTTGAACAAGCAAACTGGACACGGTCGCGGATGTACATTGATCGACCGCACCACTCGCGGTAGAAAGAAAATTAACCTCGTACCCAAGTTTCTTCCAAGTTTCTTCCACGGACACACAGGATGTAAGTAAGTGTTATTGATTTTACGAGTAAAATATTCATAATTCGAAATATTTACCGTTGTAAATCGACCATATTTCGTACCCCCTACTATTACTTAGAACGTGTTGAAATTTTCAACGGTTCCTCTCGTAACTTAACACCGAGTCACACAACGCGTGATCGAAATGCACCAATCAGAGCTGTTGAAAAAAACAACTTATCACGGTAGGGCATCATGCTTTATAAGATCACACACGATCAGTCGACCTCATCGCCTGAAGAAGACTAGCAGTATGCAGTCGAAACGGCGCGATCTACATCACACGTGACTACATCGTGAGACAAACGAAGAACTTAACTTCTGTTGTTATTCACCACGATGAATAACCACCACCTTTCTCATATGTGTCATACACAATCGGACGATTGGTGGACTTACCCCAACAGATAGATATGTAATATTTAACACAACTATTAGCTTCCAGTCGTGCCATTCCTTTGAAGCTGCATTACGCGTCAGGGCCAAATTAAAGATCGAAATCAAAGTTAACGTGATCTTAGAATTTGAGGTTTTCATTCGACATTGTTTCACTGGACATTCATTTTATTACAATTAAATGTTAAATTTAACACGCACGCTGTCTATGTTTACTGTTCCGCGCGCGCTCCGTTTGAATTCATATATCGTAATAATTATTGCAAGGTTGGCCTTTTTAAATTGTTCAATTTAAGACGCGTAATCTAGTTGTTCGATTGTTCAGTTCAGTTTTAATCAAGTTAACCTGTTATTGTAATATTGCTAACCAGTTATTTGAAAAAGTACGGAGGCAGTGAAAAAGTAAGTTTCCGGTTAATTTCCAGGTTATTACAGTTAATTTTCTGTTTGTTTTGAACACTTGCAAGGCCGAGTGCCGACGTGGTTTCTTTGTATTTTATATCGAATCGTATTATTAAATTAAGTATGGTTCTTCCTCCGTTTTGGCTCTTTGGTCTTCTTTTCGACGAAAAAGATATGTACAAAATGGTATTCATCCTGGGGTTTGCCTTTGATCCCAGATCCTATATACCTCGTTACGACCCCGTAATGGACATGGTTTTCCGGCACGTCTTTTTAGTTACGATACCATTTCACTCCAGACGATACTATTCAAATAAATCAAACCTAATTGAGCAAAAAACTGGCAATGCTTAAATTTTTTATTATAAATTTCGTACTTTTTTATTCGACGAGGGAGACATCTTAATCAACCCATCACCTCAAACGGTTCGTCAAGGTAGAAACCGATTACTCAGATTATCACAAAATTATAATCTTCAAAAGAAAAACCCAAAAGAGCCTTTGCAATTGCTTTATTCAATCTAACCCAATACAATGTTTTTTGCTGTTAAACCGAATAAACTGAAAACTCAAAAAGATACTTTTTACTAACAACTTCTTTCGTCTCGAGTAACGAAGTATCGATGACAGGTGTTGAAAAAAACATTAAAAAACTACGAAGGAATGTTATTTTGTTCAGCTTAAAAAGAAATTTGTAAACTTTCCGGCAACTGAAAGGTTTTGAAAACACCTAAAGTTTTCCCTTGGACTCCTCCTTATCAGTCATCATGTTCTTCATCATCCTCTTCTTCGCTTGCATTTCTTATTTGTTTCTTACGATCAGCACCATCATCAGAATCTGTGATGGTTTTCTTGGCAGCGGTGGTCAACTCGTTGATAACTTTGGTACAACCGCTCTGCAAATTCAGCCATTGAATTAAGTTTTTTTACTGCGTCGGGAATATTTTCCTCGCCAATCGTACGTGAGAGCTCGTACAGCAAGACCTGCGGGTCCACCTTCTTGAGGTTGAGAACAGCAGCTTGTGTGTAGTAGCAGAACCCATTCCGACGTTCATCTTTAACTCCTTTGGATGAAAACTCGTATTTGTAAAACATAAAATCGACTCGCAGGAGAGCGTTACTGCTAAAGACGATGTGGTAATCATTCTGCTCACTTGCGCCAGCCTGTGTGTTTCCCAAGAACTGATTGAGGGATACGCTGATGAGGCCTACAAGACCCTGTATGATGTTTCCACCAAACATTTCTTTGATTGATTCAGTTATGTCTTCATCAGGCACGTTCGACACGTCGACAAAATATTTCTCTGATGTGTCGACAAACGCCGCAATCGGGACATTAGCGTCTTTGAGCGCTTGTTCCCTCATCTCTGCTGTAGCGGCGGCAACTTTATTAATCATCAACTCTTGCAGCGTCTGCAGCTCTTCCACGGCTTTATCGTCCTCTGCTTTCTGTTGTTCTTCAAGTTTTTTCGAAATGGATATTCCCATGATCTAGATTTTATCAAGAAAGAACAACTTAAGCTGGTGATTGAAACCAGAAACAATAAGCGTTTCATAAATCAGTGAAATGAGCATACTACAAATCAGGCATTTTTCCCATTTCGTTCCCAGATATTTTTTCGATTTAAACATGTCGTCGTATCTTTTTTAAAAATTTATGTGTACTTGAAGAATATACCAGGAATCTTAGATCGTAATGATACAAGCCACATTTCTGATTCAAGTTCCATTGGAATGTTCCAACTCGACGAAACTGCAGAAAACCAGCCGCAGAGTGCGTATCTTTTTTAAAAATTTATGTGTACTTGAAGAATATACCAGGAATCTTAGATCGTAATGATACAAGCCACATTTCTGATTCAAGTTCCTTTGGAATGTTCCGACCCGACGAAACTGCAGAGAATAACTCCTTCAGAGTTTGTTGAATCAGAGTTCCCAACACGAAAACCAGCCGCAGAGCGCACCAATCTCAGCGAAAGGCACCAAGGACTTTATGCTTCTACCTGTCAGTTATTCTTTATTATCCTTGCTTTTCTGCTAACCTCTACTGACAGCGGATTGACCTTTTTGGAAGATTAATTTTTCCCGTAGTAGAACCGTTACCACAATACTTTCACGAGAATCTCAAGACTGAATAAACGAACGAACTAACAGGAATATATCTAATGCTTCCGGACGTTATTTCATCTTTGACTGAGAAAACCACACTAGGAACTTTGTTGAGGTTCCAAATCAAGGACAAAATTAGTGAAAAAATAACTAAAATCACTTATTTCAGAAGACTTACAGAAGAACTACAAAATATGATCAGAGAAACCTATACGATAGCAAACACTAAAAAGAAAGTATATGATCGCATGACAGGGTCACTTCAAGCAAGGACATCGTGATTCAAGTTCGAAGAATCCGGTAACCAACCGGGACAATCAAACTAGGAAACGCATTTTGATCAGCAACAACCTCAAACTTTGAATTGAGATTCTGGCTAAATTCGTGAACACAAATTACTAAATCATAACTAAGTAACTAGTAATTTAGAGCCTTAATTGTTTGAAGTGTGGCAAAAGGTCCAGTTCGCGTCTTCGGTTTGTTTGCTTATTCATTCTGTTTTGTTTCAAAAAATTTCCTTGTCGCTCAACCAAACTAACAAAACACTTAAGCCAAGCGTTGCTTGCACCACTTGTCCCAACCCTCACGTACTTTAATCAGTTTCAATCTGGTTTAAGTGTATCTGTTGTACAGTTCAGGAGAATGATGAATGAAGATGGTTTATGAACATGATCGATGAGAGAAAGCGATTAATTTATGAAAGACGCCCTAAAACCTTCTCGCTTAAAAAAACTCAAAAAGACACTTAATATCTATAGACCAAGTCACGTTAGAGAATATTCTTTCTCAAACTTGGTGGTAATTATGATTTGTTTCACTTAATGTATTGTCTTTTCCACGCACGATAGCCATTTCGAATCTTATGCAGTCACCATTTCACGTTATTCTGACCAGCTTGAGCAATTCTGATTTGTTTTTGAAGACCGGGAGAAGATAAAAAGGAAAGGCCATGAATAAGAAAAAAAATCTGAAAGCTTTGATAGTCGTCATCTTACGCATTGCGTTGAGAAAGAGAGGAAGTACTTCAGTGCATTTTTAAGTGGGTTCAAAACTTCATACTTGTTCGAAGTCATGAACATTGTAGAGAAGGAGCTAAAAGACATGTTTTAAATATGAATTTCAAAGCTCAAGACCTTTGGAAACAAAAGGACAATGTACTATTGATAGATCCAGCTTGGATAAAATCGTTTAAAGTACATCAGCACTTAGCTATCAACTGTTAAGAACCACTGAGATATCCGTGCCCGAGACTCAGCTCTTTCACTTCTACAGTCTAAGCAGCCCAAACAGTAGCTGTGGAACGTTTGATCAAGCTGTCTTGTCGAATTGGCGGAGATTTAGTCTTTGAAAAATTTTGGTCTTCCTTTCTAAAAAGGAATGACAGTTCACCTTGGACGAAGATTATGGCTGACTTCGACGAAAGCGTAAGTTATATAAAAAATAGTTCTAGTGTACTAACTTTGATTTGACACTCACCAACTTCAATTTCTATCAAAGCCTTAACGTAGACGAGCCCAAATGACAGGAGACATTCACTGTGTAGGCACCTTACTAGAACTGATCTTGATAGCCTAGGAGTGTTAAATGTCTACCTACTGAAACATCCTTTACGTAACCAATGCGGCACAAGACACTTAAGATTAACAATTGTTTCATGTGCCAGCGAGCATTTATCAATTGGAACATGCAGGAATTCTGGAGAGTCGATCGGAAATGACGCGCAGATTATGACAAGAGACATTCACTGTGTAAGTACCTTACTAGAACTGATCTTGATAGCCTAAGAGTGTTAAATGTCTACCTACTGAAACATGTTGAGGTGCATCAGGCAAAAACATACAAATCATGCTATACTAAGAAGAGAAAAGGCCAAAAGTTTCTCTGGCACCCCATGGTATGTGTGACCTTATAAGAAACGTGCTGGAATGCGGAAAATAGAGACCGGTCGGGCAGGAAGCCAAATCTATCTCACAATCAGCAATTGCTTCATGCGTCCCCGCGCGCACATAAAAATATGAAACACGCAAGAATTTTGAAAAACAGAAAAACACAAAAGAGTTTCTGGCGATGTAGCTGGGACTTTCTTGGTCCTCTGCGTAACCAATACGGTACAACACACTTTAGATTAACAATTTTTTCATGCGTTAGCGAGCATTTATCAAGATTTGGAAAATGCAGGAATTTTGGAAAGCCGAAATGGCGCCAAAGAGTTTCTCATACCGTCTGTGTACCCGAGAGCACTACTGACCCTATAAGAAACGTGGAAAACTTCGGGAAAATAGAAACTGTTCGTGACTCAAGACGAATATATCAGTGTAGGAATCCAAATCTACCTCACAATCAACAATTGCTTCATGCGTCTGCGCGCGTTCATAAAAATATGAAACATGCAAGAATTCTGCCGCTTGTAAAGAATATTGTTAGTCAGCGACTGTTTGTTTCCTGTCAATTCTGTTGAAAGGAGTGACGTCACTTGATCACGCGATGATACCTGTTCAGCTACTCGTTGGGTTCTGCTATTGTACATAAGGTTAGTTTTCAAAAATGCTCTGTAGCATTACTCCGCCCGAGTGGTACCGAAGGGTCACATCATGGACTATAACAATTATACTTCGCTTGTATGGAGTTTTGGTAAACATAGGCGGTTACGCGCTAAGGAAAGGAATACCGTGAACATGACCTCTTGCATAACTGCCTTCCAATGGTTCGCATCGCAATTTTTTTTTTTTTTTTCGTTTTTCTGCTAGCGGACTGACCTTTTTGGAAGATTAAGCTTCTCTTATCAGAACAGTTACCCCAATACTTTCACGAGTATCTCCCGAACGAACAAACAAACGAACGAACAAGATGGTAGTTAGTGCTTCCGGTCATTACTTGATCTTTGACTGCGAAAACCAAAACAGGAACTTTGGTGAAGTTTCAATTCAAGGTCAAAATCGGTTAAAAAAATAACTAAAATCACACATTTCTGAGAAACCTAAACGATACTAAAAACTCAAAAGAAAGTACATGACATGATTATATCGGGCAAGGACGTCATGATTCAAGTTCGGGGAATTTGCTATCAATCTAAGAAACTCATTTTGACCTGCAATGAGCTAAAATTTGAATTGAGATTCTAGCTAAATACGTGAACACAAATTACTAAATCATAACTAAGTAATTAATAATCTAGAGTCCTAATTCGGTTTGAAGTGTGACAAAAGGTCTAGTTCGCGTCTTCGGTTTGTTTGCTTATTCATTCTGTTTTGTTTCAAAAAGTTTCCTTGTCGCTCAACTAATAATCTAGAGTCCTAATTCGGTTTGAAGTGCGGCAAAAGGTCCCGTTCGCGTCTTCGGTTTGTTTGCTTATTCATTCTGTTTTCTTTCAAAAAGTTTCCTTGTCGCCCAACCAAACTAACAAAACACTTAAGCCAAGCGTTGCTTGCACCATTTGTCCCGACCCTCACGTACTTTAATCAGTTGCAATCTGGTTTAAGTGCATCTGTTGTACAGTTCAGGAGAATGATGAATGAAAATGGTTTATGAACATGATCAATGAGAGAAAGCGATTAATTTCTAAAAGAAGCCCTAAAACCTCTTCGTTCCAAACAACCCAAACAGACAATTAACATCTATAGACCAAATCATGAAAGAGAATATTCTATCTCAAACTTGATGGTAATTATGATTTGTTTCACTTAATTAATGTCTTGTCTTTTCCACGCACGATAGCCATTTCGAATCTTATGCAATCACCCTTTCACGTAATTCTGACCAGCTCGAGCAATTCTGATTTGTTTTCGAAGATCGGGAGAAGATAAAAAGGAAAGGCCATGAATAAGCAAAAAAAATCTAAAAGCTTTGATAGTCGTCATCTTACGCATTGCGTTGAGAAAGACAGGAACGACTTCAGTGCATTTTTAAGTGGGTTCAAAACTTCATACCTTGTTCAAATCATGAACATTGTGGGAATGGAACTAGAAGACATGTTTTAAATGTGATTTTCAAAACTCAAGACCTTTGGAAACAAAAAAGGTTAATGTACTACTGACATATCCAGCTTGGATAAAAACGTTTACAGGACGTCAGCACTTAGCTATCAACTGTCAAGAACCACTGAGAAGTCCGTGCCTGCGACTCAGCTCTTTCGCTTATATAGTTAAAGTAACCAGAACAGTAGCCGTGGAACGTTTGATCATGCTGTCTTGTCGAATTGGTGGAGTTCTAGTCTTTAAACAATTTTGGTCTTCCATTGTATAAAGAATAACAGTTCACCTCAGACGAAGGTTATGGATGACTGCGACGAAAGCGTAAGATGTATAAAAAATAGTTCTAGTGTACAAACTTTGACTTGACACTCACCAACTTCAACTTCAATGTAAGCCTTAAAGCAGACG